AGTCCCTGCCCCCCCCCCCCCACAGTGCTAGTGTAAGGACTTACCTTAAATGATGCCTCTTAATTCGATCATCTTCTTTCCCTGAGTTTTTAGCTGTCCCTCCAGCGCTGGTGCGGGTCTCCGATCCAGTGCTGACTCCTCCGTCCTCCTCTTCTCTGATGTCCCACAGAGTCTGTGCGGGTGCACGCTGCTCCATAGACTTACCTTGTGTCTCTCCTCGTCTCCCGGTCGAACATCTGAAGTGCGCATGCGCCCGCCCCAAGATCATTTGCGGCCCCCCCAGAAATTTTCAGATGTTCGGACGGGAACGCGTGGTGGAGACACAGGTAAGTATTAACCCTTTGAAAAAGTTTTTTTACTGCTTGCTAGCTGTAGATATATGAAAAAACAAATGAGGGATTAATAACCCTTTCAGCTCTCAACCAAACTTTCAGGGCCTCAAATGGCTAGCTCTCATAGCTGAACATATGTGTAGCACCATGGCAACTGCATTCCAATTAGAGGTTAAGTTGGCACCTTCCCTGGCTGTAAAGGATAAGAGGTTGCAGTCCCGCTTTAACTAAAAAGTTAGATGTAATCAACTATAGTGCAAGATTAAGAAAAATCTTGTTAATGCAATACTGTGTGTGATATTTTTCTTCCTGCCTCTATTAGAAAGAATATAAGAAAGACTTGGAAGAATGTATTAAAGGCAAAAACCTTTCTGGCTTGGAGGTCACGCCATCAATGTTACATCTCAGACATGCTACAAAAATAGCAAGCGAGGTAGCATCTGCTCTACATTTCACCGCTGCAAAAAAATTATAATAATAACACTAATACCCCCTAAATGCCTTTATTTTTATATTGCTGTTTGATGTTTATCATTTGTTAATTTTTTGTCTTTTTTTGTAGTTGTGCTATTACACGGCAAACCCATTTTCAAAACAATTAACGTTCCACTTAATCTTTTAATTTTTTCCTCCAAATGTTGTAATGCACATCTTTTTATACACCTTTTTTTTATATAAATAACCCAAACAACATTGCCAAATTATATGTGTATTGTATCTTATAGCATAGTTTTGTTTTCTGTCTTAATTGTTTATTGCGCAGTCTGCGGTTTTTGTTTTTTTGTTTCTTGTATTCGTTTCTTGGATTCAGTGTTCAGTTTATATCTTTCCACATATTTGTTACTGGCTGTACATTAACTGTTATTTTATCCCTGGACTTGTAGAAAGTGTACAGAAAGGATCTGGTTGACACTATAGGACGGAACATGACAGTGATGGAGGAGACTCCTGAGCTTTTAAGAGCCAAGAATGCTACACAAATCTTAAATGAGGTATGATTATTCCTTTAATTCCCCTATGTCCGTTCTGGTTTTCCTGTAGGGATGTTGGATTCACGTACTGCTGAGGGATGGAGGGTTGTAAAAAGAAATAGGGTGTTACCTGGATCCTCGCTTTTTCTGGAAAATAGAACTCACTGGGGGGAATTTATCAAAGCAATTGCGACTGTTTTAGCCTCTTAGATAATGTTTTAATGTGCAAATCTGTTTAGTCGTTCCTTTTAACACGTGCACCCGTTTTGACCAGAGCTTGCACTATTTTCCTGATTGCGCCTGTTTTGAACATGTTTTGCGAAAAGTTCGCAACTATTAAGCCTTGTTCACACCAAATGCAGAGCAGATCCGGTCAGGTTTCTGCACACGCAGTGCAGTGGGTTGTGCCGCGTTTTTGATGCGTTTTTGATGCGTTCCGGGCCGTATTTGCTAAAAAAGTTTAACATGGGCTTTCAGGCACTTGCATGCGTTTTTGCATTTTGCATGCGTTTTTGATGTGTTCCAGAGCAGATCCAGAGCAGGTAAAATAGGGCTTGCCGCAGTTTTTTCACCTGCTCTGGATCTGGTCTGGATCCGCACGCTGCGATGTGAACTGGAGGTCAAAATACCATAGGAATACATTGGACGCAGTTTTGATCTGGTCTGCACCTGCTCTGGTCTGGATCTGCTCCGCGCTTGGTGTGAACAAGGCCTTAACATCTGAGCTTGTCCTGTGGCTGTCTTAAACTGGAGCATCACCTACCAAAACAATCGCTACTTAAGAAGTCCCCATGACCACTTCTTCAAGATGCGACAGTTAAGCTTTGTGCCTGGAGTTCCGAGTCTTCTTTCCTGGAGTCTATTGAATCTAATTTATGAACAACATTGCACTAGCAACATAAATCTGGCTCAAATATATCCCATGAAACCATATGCAAGTTCAAACACTCGTAATTGCTATGATAAATTCCCCCCGCTGTGTTTATCCTGTTTTGCATTAAAGGAAACCAGTGATAAAATAGATAGGCTGCCATTGCTGACTTTTTACTGGACAATCTAGTTACCTGGCGTTCATGCTGATCCTTTTAGATTTACTATCCACTATAAAACCATTATTAACATGGCAGCCAAGAATCATCACAGCAAACTATAAAGGTTAACTAGTGAGGACAGACATATCAGAGTCTCTATTACTGATTTGCTTTTTATTTGCACAGTCATGAGCTGTCGTCATGGTACTGTGAGGTTACCAGATTTTCTCCGGGGACACCCTACTGATCATGCCCACTTTGTAACCACACCCATTAAAGCGCACACACATTTAAGCCACACCCACAAAACTGCACCCCCCATTTTTAGCATGCCCTGAAACAATTGGTTACAGACTTCTGGAGGAGGAAGCAGACATTGAAGATGTAATGACAAAGTGCCCAGGGCACTATAATGAATAAATAATGTGGCGCACAGTGCACCGCGGCGAATCATGTATGCAGTCAAATTGAGCTAACAGTGGGAGCGGCTGAAGATGCACGGTTAAATAAAACCTGAACTTACTATACTATGGGTCAAGCATGTGTAATGCACAGAGAGAAGGGATCAGGAGTGTATAACGCACGGATTTCAAGGGGTCGAGAGTGCATAATGCAGGGGTCAGGAGTGTGTAACACGGAACACAGGGGTCAAGAGTGCATGGAGCAGAAAGCAGGAATCAGGAGTATGTACATACAGAGTGCAGGGGTCAGGAGTAGGTAACACATGGAGTACAGGGGTCATCAGTAGGTAACGCATGGAGTACAGGGGTCGTCAGTAGGTAACGCATGGAGAACGGGGGTCATCAGTAGGTAACGCATGGAGAACAGAGGTCATCAGTAGGTAACGCATGGAGAACAGGGGTCATCAGTAGGTAACGCATGGAGCACAGGGGTCATCAGTAGGTAACGCATGGAGAACAGGGGTCATGATTAGGTAATGCATGGAGAACAGTGGTCATGATTAGGTAATGCATGGAGTATAGAGGCCATGAGTAGGTAATGCATGGAGTACAGGGGCCATGAGTAGGTAATGCATGGTGTACAGTGGTCACCAGTAGGTAACGCATGGAGTAAAGGGGTCATGAGTAGGGTACAGTAGCAAGTAACGCAGAGTTCAGAGCTCAGTAGTAAATAAAAAAGGGTTTAGTAGAAATGCAGGGTTCCAGGGTCAGTAGTAAGTCATGCAGGGTTCAGGGGGACTGACATTCACCGCTCCCTGCAGGGAGATGATCGGGAAGTGAGCGAGCAACGTTATGTGTTCTCTTACTTCCCGATCAATAGAGCCGACCTGTGACAGCTTCATTGTCACAGGTCGGCTTGAATGATGTGTTTTTCTCTCACCCCATAATTCTCCTTTAATTTGTGTATTTAGCTGATTGCCGGGAGTTCAAGTTTAGGGTGTTTACGTAATTAGTAAACTTTCAAACACAAGAACACAACAGAAACAAACAAGTGTCCATCTGTGGTAACTGCTATAGAAGCTACAGTATAATGACTATGAATTCATTTTTCTATTGGTAAATGAGAAATTGATACTTATGGTGGTAACATGAAATAAAAAACATCTTCGGAGGTCTCTGTAAAATGTTGGTTTGGCTACCATGTTGTACAGTAAATAGATCAGATTGTATCAATTGCATAATGTATGTATTGGCTTTTATTACAGAAAGAGTATAAGAAAACTCTGGAACTGGAAATTAAAGGAAGAGGTCTAACAGGATTGGTCTTGGAAACTCCAGATTTCCAGAGAGCAAAGAATGCTACTGACATTGCCAGCCAGGTAATTGTTGCGGTCTGCAGAAAATTATATTTACCAGCTTCTGCTTCGTGAAGTTTAGCCTTTAGAGTTCTGAAACCTGATTTGAATAGCGGTTGCTGTGTTTTTTGTTTAGTGTTCTAAAAAGAGTTTTGGGATTGTGACTCATGACCATAGTGCATAATAATTTCTTGAGATGTGTAGTAAAGACCACAGTTTCCATAATTTATCAGAAGATGGGATCCACCACTGTTTTGCTTGGTCCAAAATGGAGGCTTGGTAGTATTTGGCTACATCAGGGGGTCCAATGCCTGCTGGAGATCGCAAAGCATATAAACAGGACTTAGGAATGCGTGTTTTTTTTAACTCCCTCTATAAAAGAATGTATGACCTGCTGGAGCACAGAACAAGTACAGAATATGGGGGAGGATAAACATTTTAACCAGTGCCATTCTTCCGGCCCAGGAGGCTGAGGTGCACTGTAGATCCTTGTAAAGGTCATGAATTTTGACCACAAGTACGGTATAGTTAATAGGGAATAGCTTTGAACTGGGAAGGTCAAGTTAATTTCTATGTATTTAAGGGAGGCAGTGGGAGCCCATGAAAAAGGAGAAACACAAATAATACTAACTTGAGGCTGAGGCAGTAAATTGATTGCCAACATTTGAGATTTGGAGTTAACTTTATATAAGGAGATGTTCCCAAAGTTAGTCAAAATGTCTTGTAATGCAGGGAGGGAATGCAGGGTACTGATTAAGGAAATTATTACATTGTCTGTATACAGGCCTATCATGTGTTCTGTGCCATTCATAATGAGCCCGGTAATTGTAGTGAATGTATGAATTATTTTCGCAAGGGGTTCCATAACCAATGTGAAAATCAGTGGTGACGGAGGACAGTCTTGTCTAGTACCATTAGTAATATTGAACAATGCTGACAGTAGGCCAACGTCCATATCCAGGTGCTGGGATTGCTGTTTAGCGCATCAATGGCCAGGCCACCTCTCAGATAGCAAGGATAACTTGCCATAAACTTGTGTCGGGGTTAAATTGTAATTCTTGTTAACTTACTGCACACATTCCCTGGCAAGTTGTAGACTTGCAGAACACTCGCAGCACAAGTTCTAGTTGACAAGTTTTGAATTTATAGCAAATTGGCTTGGCAAGTCTACAGCAAGAGTCCTTGCAGGTCTTAAGGTGCCCATACACCTGCTGATTATTGTACGATAATCGCGGGTGATCGCGCGAACGTATGATTATCGGCAGGTGTATGGAAGGTGTATGGAAGGTGTATGGAAGGTGTATGGAAGGTGTATGGAAGGTGTATGGAAGGTGTATGGAAGGTGTCGAAATTATTTTCGCAAGGGGTTCCATAACCAATGTGAAAATCAGTGGTGACGGAGGACAGTCTTGTCTAGTACCATTAGTAATATTGAACAATGCTGACAGTAGGCCAACGTCCATATCCAGGTGCTGGGATTGCTGTTTAGCGCATCAATGGCCAGGCCACCTCTCAGATAGCAAGGATAACTTGCCATAAACTTGTGTCGGGGTTAAATTGTAATTCTTGTTAACTTACTGCACACATTCCCTGGCAAGTTGTAGACTTGCAGAACACTCGCAGCACAAGTTCTAGTTGACAAGTTTTGAATTTATAGCAAATTGGCTTGGCAAGTCTACAGCAAGAGTCCTTGCAGGTCTTAAGGTGCCCATACACCTGCTGATTATTGTACGATAATCGCGGGTGATCGCGCGAACGTATGATTATCGGCAGGTGTATGGAAGGTGTATGGAAGGTGTATGGAAGGTGTATGGAAGGTGTATGGAAGGTGTATGGAAGGTGTATGGAAGGTGTATGGAAGGTGTCGCACATCTTTCTTCGCACATCTTTCTACACACATCTTCTTCCGAGCACGCTTGAAGACCTGCCGAAAACCGTAAGATTTTTGGCGGGTTAGTGGCGTGCTCGGAAGACAAATGCCGAACGGGCAGTTCAGCATTGAAATCATCGGAAGCCCTTTCCCCAGCAGGGCGGGCTTGCGATGATCGCAAGTACGATCTGCCTGTCCAAGATGGGCAGATGGTACGAGATTTTAATTACCTTACAACCATCGCATAACGAAAGTCGTGCGATGGTTGTAAGGTGTATGGCCATCTTAAGCAAGAGCTCTGCAAGTGTACAGCACTTTTGCAAAGCATGTTGATCTGGAGACTTGCAATGCAGTCTTGCTGTAATTGTGCAACAAACTTGTGACGCTTGGCATATCTAGCAATAGTTTAGCAAGTCATTTTCACACTAGCAGCTCAATTGCTTGCTATCTGGGCTGTGAGATCGAATTTCTGCAGAACTTCTTTCAAGTACCCCTTAAGTAATAAACTGTATTGATATAAGTGATTCTGCGCTGGACCTAGAAAAGTGTATAAGTGCAAGTGTGCCAATTTAGTTTGAAGGCTGCAGCAAAATCGACCGTGGGGTCAAAACAAATAACTTACAAATTATGCAGCGTCCGCAACATATAATGTGTTGAATATCATAAACCCTAAAATTAATTAAATATAAATATAAGATAATTCTAATAAATAAAACTGTATTACTCTCCCAACAGATAAAATATAAACAATCCGCAGAAATGGAAAAGGCCTGTTTCACAAGTGTTGTGGATACACCAGAAATTATCCATGCTCAGCAAGTCAAAAATCTTTCCAGTCAAGTGAGTATATACTCCATTTTTAATATACTCCAAATAAAAATTTCTATAGCTGTTTTTGCTCTTCTCTAACTATGGAAATGTATTCACATAGTATGTACTGTATTTGTTTTGTTCAATAATCACTGAAAATATTAATATAGAACTCTAAGGGGCTGATGTATTAACGTTCCATCAAGTGTATAGTTGGGCGAATGCCATTCGCATGATGTTCACGCTACTAGATGGTGCCCCGGAGTCATAGCTAGGGCACATAGGAAACAGTTATTTTCTATGTGCTCCGTTCACACCAGAAAGCGGGTGTGATGTTCATTTTTCTGCAGCGCACTGATTGCACCTCGGGTCACCACAGCACAGTGCACCTTGGTGCTGTACGTAGACCTGAGTGGAGTGTACAAAAAAGTAAACAGTGTGATGCAGCATCACACCGCTCTCCGCAGAACCTCATACAGCTCACTAGTCCGCACGCTAAAACTCAGTCAGGGGAATTTATCAAAACTGCAGCAGCTGTGCATTGCAACCAATCAGCTTCTCTCTTTCATTTTCAAATCTTAACTGAAGAAACTGAAACAAATGAGCTGGTTGTCCTGTGCAACTGCTCCAGATTTTGTTTGCTCCTGTATTGATAAATTCCCATCAGTGTGTTTTCACTCCGATCATGTCCCCGTGTCCTCTTCTTCCTGTGGTGACAGTGAGTGGTCCTTAGTGATGTAAAAAACATCGCTACATAATGATTGTGTCAATGTTCTGTGCATCACCTCATTTAAGCCCAGGCAGCTTGAGGATGCCCCCCTAGCATGCCCTTGACGCAATAGGCCCATAGGAAGTGTGTTGAATTATGAAGTTTTAACTTTTATGATTTTTGATTCCTGCTTTCATTACTATTATTTATTCTCACATTTTATGCTTTATGTCATGCAGAAAAAATACAAAGAGGAGGCAGAGAGAACCAGGTCTTGTTACGTGTCGGTATTTGACACACCTGAAATGCACAGAGTCCGTGAAAACCAGAAGAACTTCAGCACGGTAAGTCGTTTATCTCTCCTACGATTGCGTTTTGTGTGCTGAAAGGTGTTTGAGAAGAGAGAAAAAATGGAAAAGCAAATACAGCACTCATCTCTCACTTTTGCAGTAGAGTCCAGACCTAGGCATCTATCCTGAGCACATGTACTGGCCTAAGGATGGGCAGTTGTATTTTCCATGGCTGGACCTTGTACATGTGAAGTGACTACAGAGGACGCTGAAGGATGAACACTTTATCAGGCCAGCTGGGTACAGAAAACCGCCCATAAGCTGGGTACAAATGGAGCGTATTTTGGCAGATTCAGCAGGGATTCACTCTGTGACCCTATCCCCTTTACAGTAGTTGATCATTAGATCAACCTTTGCCGAAGGAACATGTTGGAAATTTCTCGGCTGAACGGTGCATACAGCTAATCAAGCAAGCACTGTTTGGGTAATCTGACAGCGTCCGGCGCCGCTGTCAGGATACAAAGCTCACAGCAATACAGTATATACCCTACTTTAGTCTGCACTTCATTTCTCTTCTACTGTTCAGAAATTTGATGAGGCAGGTAGGTGGTGGTGGTGTGTGAGGGGGGAAGGGGGGGGGGATTCTAATGATAAAAGTATAGTCATCCTTTTGGATGTTCATAACAAATGTCTTATAGTACTTTTCACTGTTCTCAACATACATTTCTTACACGTGATTTGCAAATCAACATTAATTGTTGCTGATTATGACAAGATACTGCCTTTTTCTGAGGTCTCTCATACAAGAGAAATCTGATATATGTGACCTCAGTTATAATATTGTTGAATATTTTTGCCACGAGGCAATAAAAACCTATTCATGCATTGTAACATAAAAAAACATAAAAAAAACTATCATTCCTAAAATTGTAAATTGCAATTGTGTTATCAGACACAACGCCAGCCAAAGCTCACATTCCATTTTGGCACGGCTGATTACATGAGTACATGAGTACATTGAATGGTAAAGCAATTCCAACTAGAATTTCAAACCCCCCATCCAACAAAGTTAACACACTCTCTGAATCGATTCTACATAATGTAAAACAACCAAATAATTGGGGAATCCAGTTTTGATAACGTTACACCTTTGTTGTGGTCTTGTGGGATGGGGAGAGTCACAAAATACTGTAGGGAAATCTCACTGTTGGAGTTTTTAAGATATATGAGAAGCTAGCAGATAATTCTTCACCCCTGTGCCCATCAAAAAGTGCAGGCGGTGCTGTGTGGAGTTGGCGTCTTTCATTGTTTATGATCTTACAAGGACTTTCAAAATTCCTGCATGGAAAATGCGTATAAGGGTCAGTCTGCATATTTAGATGGTTTCACCCAAAGAAACCTGAAAGGCCAAGTTAGGAGACATTTTTGAACTTTTTTGATTACATAAAATGTAATCATTTGTTATAGTGTAATGAACAAAAGAATTGAAGCTAATGCCCCAACTTTATTGCTGGGGTACTTCCTCATACAGCCACTTCAGTTATAATTCATTAGGAAATGCTGCCCGCTAACTGTTATAGTGGCATAATTTCTTGTTGAGAAGACCAGTCACCCAAACTGGCTAGCTGTGTGCTGATTGATCTCCTCAATGCCCACCCTAGCTCTGCGGGGTGTGCTCATGTCATGTAGGATGCCCTGCAGACTCCATCTACCTGTGCCACTAAAAGTGGAGGGTTAGGGCACCAGGAATTTTTGTATGACAAAACTTCTGCTTTTGTATGCCAAAGGCAGAAGTCATTTAGAGTCTCATCAATGTTCCAGTCATTGGAAGGCCATAATCAAGACAGGTAAACTAATAGTCCTAAGACCTCTTTGCTAACTGTCAGCTATGTTCGGAAAATTTGTTCAAATGTTGATTTCCCGTCTCTACAACTGACTGAAAATGGTTGTGCTAAGTGAAACGTAATACATTTGTGTTGATACAAACGTACTGTTGTCTTTTTCATTAAAAAAAGTATTCTTTTAAAATGGGAATACTTTATTATTATTTATGTTAAGTCTGTAAACTTCAGTGTTCTGATTTTGATCTTGATCTTCCTCTAATAGCCACATTCTTGACAGCCCTACACTTCTCATACTCTAGAATTGTGTTCTTTTCAAATGAACCTTAACAATGTCTACTCTTTTCTTATAGCTACAGTACCAAGGTGACCTTAAACAAATTAAAGGAACAGTCACAGGGGTTAAAGACACGCCAGAAATTCTGCGTGTTAAAGAAAATCAAAAGAATTTCAGCTCGGTATTTTCTTTTTTTAAGATTATTTCAAAATGTTCTAACACAAATAATACCATAATAAAAGAAACGTAATCTAACCTAGACATCTTCAGCACAAGCTAACATTAACGGCCATTGATAATAAGCTACTGCTTCCTCTGCCTGCAGTATATAAACCCCTTACCAACCTATCCCAAGAGGCGATGTTATAGTGATATGACATATTTTGGGGTCTGATCAAAATTGTCTTAAGTCCTATATGTGTATTTTGTGGTGAGTCTTTTTGTGTTGGGTCTTTTTTTTATTATTTTAAAATGGAACTTCTACCAAAAAAAGTTTAGTTTGGATAGTGTAGAAGGATGATATTCTTTGCCAGGTCATTATTGTTGTCTGTGCTCCCATCAGGAAAATGTCACCTCATGTTTCAAAGATACAAAGGACATTGATATGGACTGTTTCCCATCTCAGGGCTTCATTCTGCATCAGTTTCTTAGCAATACAAATCTGATTGACAACATATTCCTTTCCTCAGCTATCCAAACTAAAAAGAAAAGTTCTGTATGGAGTCTCACTTTTGTTCGAATTGTATTGTCTTTGCCTGTTTTACCATTGTGTTTGTAAATGTCAAGCATTCGTTTTTTACATGTACGATATATTAAATGTTTACCATTTCTCTTTATCTTAAATTAGTTAACAATAGCATAATAAGCTGAGAACAGCAGCTTCCAGGATAACTAAATTAACATCAGCCATGCTGCTCCTGCAGATAAAATTGTAATTGTTTCAAATTCTGAATCTTTAAAAGGTTGGATGTGTTAATGCTATTCTTTTCACCAGTGTCGAGCCTTAAATCAACCACAACAAAACCCAAAATCTTGTTTATTAACCTGTTACCTTGATTCTAACTTACAAGATACTGTACAAAGATGAAGTTGGAACAGGAATATCTATTGGGCACACCCCAGAGATGGAGAGAATTAAAAGAACGCAGGATGCCATTAGCACGGTACAGACAATAATAAAAACAAATAAAAAATATAACAATAATAATATTGCTATAGTAATCATTCAAGCTTTCTAGCTGCCCCCTTCTAATAACTCCCTAAATGCCTTCATATGATCTAACAATTACTAAGATAGAAAGGTTGTCTACTTAATAACTAGCATTATATTAACATTCTCTAAACAAGATTCACAAGTATAAAATAATGTCTAAAAAATTCTAAACATATATGTGTAAAGTATTTTATAGCCATTCACATTGATTAATATATTCAAATATAATACTACGTACTACTTAACACAAATAATGCTAACAAGATTTATCTTGAACTGATATTGACATTCATCTTCATTATTATGTTTTAATAAAATGAGAAACTATATTTGGGTAACGAGTACATTAATACAAATGAATAGTTGCTCTGAAATGAATGTTTAGGGCCCCTTTCACACAGGCTGATTAGGAGAGTATCCGTGCACCGATGTGACATCCGTGTCCATACAGTTTATTCCTCCATCTTGTGGTGGAGAAAAAAAACTGCAATTACCGGACCCCATATCTGTCTTTGGGGAATCAAATGTAAACGGACATCAGATTACCCCAAATCCGGCATGATCCGCTACGGCGAAACAAATCTCTGATTAATTTGTTGTTTTGTACCTGGCCGGAGTCAGGGGTAACACGGCTGCCCATAGACTTACATTGGGCATCCAGTTTTTCAAGCGTACCCAATCGGACCGGCCATATGAAAGGGACCTAAAGGGTTTATTAAACAATAAAAGCCATTTTGTAATGAATATTATGGTGTCATGTAAAATCAGCTATTTGAAAGTCAGACTTAAACCTCGTCTAAACAATTTAAAGTACAACGTAGAACTATGGCCAGGCTATAGATATTCCAATATTACATATTTTATTCAGCAAGCTGCAAATAAACTTTAAAAAAAGCCCTCACTCACCTCTGTAATTGCAGCCAGTTTAAAGTTTCCAGCAGCAGCTTTTTAGGTTTACTTTCTTTCTACTTTCTTTGGGTATCTAAGCTCACACTCGCAAGCAGTGGGTTGGCTGGCTGCCGACTATCTTATCTCTAATGTAAACAAGTGCTGAGACCCAGGAAGGTGAAATAAGGAAAGTGCTGAGACACGAGTTGAACACATTTAGTGCTTCTATTGTGAACTTTGAGTATGAATTGCTCCTTAGTGCGTGTACCTACAGAGGTCAGTGAGGGCTTATTTGTAAAGCTTATTTACTGTTAGTTAAGAATATGTAAATATATTGAGTGCCCCAGGAAAATAAAACAGGCCTGTCCTAATATAAGGAGGCAAGAGTGGTCATATAAAGGCGCCTACCTTTATATGACCACTCCAGTGGCGTAACAACCGGGGGTGCGGGGGTGTCACTTGCCCCGGGCGCAGGACTGAGGGGGGGCGCCGTCACGACCCCCGCTAAACGAAGCCATGGCTCCCTCTCCCTGACACGATCACCTGGCTGTCATCGGGCGGCCGCTCGCTCTTCCGAGGCCACTGCGGGCACTTGACTCCTTATGTTAGTTTAATTTTTTTAGAGAGACCACAAACCTTATTCTAATTGAATTTGTTGAAATGGATCATGGAGTTAAAGGAGAATTATGAGGCGAGTGATTTTTACTCAGCCTCATAATCTGAGCCGACCTGTGACATGAAACTGTCACAGGTCAGCTCAGTAGATCGGGAAGTGAGCGAACACATAGCGTCGCTCGCTCACTTCTCAATCTATTCCTGCAGAGAGCCGTGATTTTCACTCACGGCTCCCTGCAGGGATTCCCCCCTCCCCTGTCCGATCATCCAGCGCTGACTGGTGAAACGGATTGAGGAAGGGGGCGGGCACAGCTGGCTCTGCCTCTGGATAGGCAGAGCCAGCTGTCAATCCCTCAGCTGCGTGGATCCAGACAGTAATGTCGGGATCCGTCCCGGCTGTGGTGTCTCATTATACTGCGAACTGGGTCACGGGAGAACGCTAGTTTGTGTTCTCCCGTGACCAATGGGGAAAAGCCCTGACCCCATAGTTCTCCTTTAATTACTATAAACATGATGTAACAATATTTGCATACTAGAAGTTATAATTCCCATCAACCACCAGATTCAAACTTGTCTTGAAAGTTTCAATTCCCGTAGAGAATTAACTCCAGGTCTTAAAGAGAACACGCTGAAACATCAGGAACATTATGAGCTGAAGCAGAATTGATTCACAAGCAGTTTACTAGAAAGTGGTAAAGACACTGAAGATGCGGCCTGTTCACTAGAGAACTGTGTCATTGTTGATAACACGGCCTTTAAACTTGCTAGTTCTTCTGTTTACTCAATGCGTACTGTACAGTTGCCAATGAATTAATAAGCCATACAATGATAAAAGAGTTCATAGGCTGCATTATCACTGATGTCACTGATTTAAAGTCTGTAGTGAACAGGGAGACAGCACTTTAAATGAATTATTTTAGTGAAATAAAAAAAAAAAAAATCAAAAGGCGCAAATCCATAAGATTGATATGAAATATGAATATGAGTTATCATATTCCAAGTACCACAACCCATCACCATTCTGAATATCATTTCGATGTCACCATTTATTGCATACGTAGTCCATCACACATTCCTGTGTATAAACATACATGCAGCCATGTATGGAACTGTCTTATGTGCTAAATGTGCATCATTTTTGTTTCTCCATTGTGTGTAAACTTATAGATAAAATACAAGGAAATTGTTGGAACAGGAACTCCAATTTCTGACCTCCCAGAAGTGAAACGCGTAAAGGAAACACAGAAGAACATTAGCTCGGTAGTGGCTGATTATGTTTATACTTTACTCATAGTTTGCTGGTGCCCTTCATGCTTCCCCTTTACTAAAGAACCCTTCGTGTCCTCGGTTCCTTTCTAATGTCAGCACTACTCTTATGTCTCACTGTCTCTAAGCTGTAGTAGATGTGTTAGTTTGCATTTCTTATGTAAATGAACAGAATTGATCTTAACAGTATATTAATTACATAACTAACTGAAGAAATTTCCAGCCTGGTTTCCCTTCCCCCCCTTTTAACCGTCTTTGCCTTGTTACCAAAGATTGTCCGAACTGTATTTTAGCTGATTATATTCATTGGTCAGTATTGTCAGGAACATACAGTATATATAAGATGCAATAATGTTTTTTTTTCTATATTTATTGACCACATAATACTGGTTGATGGATAGTTGAGAGCAAACTAAACTAGAAACATGTTATCTGTCGTAGGGACAGGTTTTAATTGTTTTTTTTTTAAATGTGCAATGATACCCTCCCCAAACAGTTCCTTTACATTGGGATGCCTTCCAAATTGCTTGTTCATAAAGCAAAATGTAATGGAAATAGAAAATAATTTGATTTATTGGAGAACTCTTCGGGGACTACACTCCAGCACAGAATGAACAAACATATTTAACTGATTCCTCCTGCTGTGTTTTACAATTTTTTTGGGGGGGGAATGCATTATTGTCTATGTAACACATTAAACCTGTACTGGAAAGAGCGGACACTGTCAACAGGGATGAGCAATAATAAGAGTTTTAATTTCCCCAAACTCTTAGCAAAAGTCATGAGATTTGAGCAAAATGTCACCATTTTGGAATTAATAGGAAAAGATGAAATTAAAGCAATTGTAAACCTAGATATTTTTCCACTGTTAAAGGGGAACTCCAGGATTTTAATTAACTCTTGCAGTGGGGCTACCCCCGCAATGGGTTAACTGCTTTTTTTGTATAGGGGTGAAAAAAAGAAGAAATATTCACACAATCCTCGATCCTGTCTGACTACTAGACAGCCCACAGCCTCTTCTCCCCCAGGCTCCAGCGGTCTAAGAACACCATCATGTCTTATACAGGTCTATTAGACATGGAGATGCTAAAGGACATACCACAGCCGGAGCGGAGGGCGAGAGAGGTGAGTGGCCACTGCCGCAGGACTGAAGATCGGGTGAGTATTTCTTCATTCCATCCCCTAGAGAAAAACGAGCAGTTAGCTCTTGCTGTGCAGGGGTGGCCCTACTGCAAGGACTAATTTGTAAAAAAAATCTTGGAGTTTTTCCTTTAGAACAGGGGATACCACCAAGAAGGTCAAATAAAAAGTGCATTGATCACTCAAATAACGATCAATAGACATGAGCACTGGCAAAATTTGTTTAGTTTCGTTCCGTTTTGATTCGGATTTTGCGTTATTTCGTTTTTCGGGATTCAGGTCCGAAAGTCAATTCTTTTCGGGATTCAGTCAAAATTAGTTGGCGGTTATTCGAATCTCCGAATAACGAAAATTTGTCCGAAAAAATAACGCACATGTCTAACGATCAAACACACACATAAAAAATACAAAGAACACTAAATGAAATAAACAAAATTACCCTGAATTAAAAAAACACCCTCTAAATTAGTAAAACAAAAATGAGTTAATTATTGCCAATGGCAAAAGTGGTACTTTTACACCAAAATCAATTTTGCCAAAATCACCCCACTCATCCATAGTTGTAAGTGCTGACCTCTTTCTGAGGCAATAGCTGCAGTTATGTAGATTAGGGAATTCTGACTTTGTAAACTGCATGTCAGATTGAGGTCAGTACTGGAGCCAGAGAGAGCAAGGTAAAATACTAATAAGTATTCTTAGAAGGAGGTCAGCGTCCATGGCTGCTCATGTATTTCAGTACAGGATTTCCTTAATGTTTTGGGTTGTGTACATGTATGGAATACATAATATAGTATAATACTGCATTTTTGTAAGGTACCTGCAACACCTTTTAAGCTTTGTGTACACTGGAGGTCTGCTCTACTTCCCTGTCAAAAATCCAGATGGGAATAGAAATAGTAATACATCACATATATAGTTCCTTGGAAACCTGTGGCCTTGTGCCTCAGTGATCAGATTCTAAGCGCTAAATGAACCATCCTCAAGCGGTGAGCACAATTTACCAATTTCACAGTGCATATGCAAAGGAAAGCTGCCTCTATAAATAAACATCATAGAAGTGTTTTAGGTCTTTTGAGAATAATTGATCATAGTTATTGGTGCTATTTTGAGTGCTCTTTTGTGTCTTCAGGTTTTGTACAAGGAAAGCTTGGGGGTGGGAACCTCCACACCCGTGACTCCAGAAATGGAGAGGGTCAAACGCAACCAAGAGAACATTAGCATGGTACTTTCATATCTGAGTATTGGTTTAAATTGCCTCTAACAACAACAATCTAAATTAATGAAATAATAACCAATGCCTGATGATGATTTCTATTCAAATGTATATTAACATAGTTGTACCTCAATAAGTTTCTAAATAATTACATTAACATACTTTCCCAAGAAACCCTAAAACATGACTAAATAATGAATGGTCTCCAATGTACTTTTTAAACCTTCATCCATTAAATAATCACATTACTCATTGTAACTGGGATGTACTATATCAACAGTCTATTAAAGTGATTCTGTTGCTGGATTAAAACAATGTAGCAAAGTACCACCTATAAAAACAGAGTTTTTGTTACTCACCTGTCCCATAGCCTGTAGCCTGTTCCTCCGATTTTTGCTTTCTTGCAGGGCAAAGGCCTCTCCACACCCGACATGCTTCTGGGTGTGTTGCATGCTGGACACTAAGGATGTACTGATACTGGTTTTTGACGTGCCTCCCGGCTTCCTGATTGGCTAGGGATGCGGATCCTAACCCAGCGTCCGTCTTCCTGATTGGAAAAGAATCCGCCTCCCATGGCACTGGCGGTCAAAGGGAGATACCCCTCTGACCCGAAGTTTCGGTATCGGAGGTAAGTATCGGAGCATTTGGGAGAGTACTCGCCCAAATACTTGGTATTGGTACCGATGCTATAGGAATTGGTGCATCCCTACTGAACACTGTGGTTCCTTACCTCGCTACAGAACACAGTACTGACATAGGTGTTAATGGAAGGAACCACCACAGGGCACAGTAGGGGGACAAAGCATCCAACAGTCCTGAAAGTGTTGAATTGGAAGATTTTTCAGGTGAAAAAGAGCCAAAGCTCTTCCACAAAGTAAGGATCAAAGGAACTTGTGGTCGGACAGGTAAGAATAAAGGCTCCTTTTTTCAGGAAAAGCTTTAACCCAGCAACAGAGTCACTTTTAATAAGATATTTGACATGTGGACTAGCTCTCTACTGACCTTTTCGTCTATTAGTCATTGCTCAGAAACGTTTTAACAAAGCTTATTTTTTTAAACAGTTATATGTTGTGTTTTTTTGAAATATTGGTAATATTTCTGGGGTACTTTCTTGTACCATCAGGTTGTATACAAAGAAAACTTGGGAACACCAACACCAATGCCTATGACTCCTGAGATGGAGAGAGTAAAGCGCAATCAAGAACATATTAGCTCGGTATTTACAAAAACTAAAAAGATCCCTTTTAATGTTTAATTTTAAATCCCTCACCATAACATCTTTAACTCTGACCTCAGTAACCTAAATCATAAATGAATGACCTTATTACATTTCTATTTACACACTGCAGTTAGATGCATTTCAACCTTTTCCATTCGTCTCCTTGTCTTTAAATATAACACCAGTTCCCTCGACCTTTCCTTGTGTTTCTGTTCCTCAGCTACCTTGCACATTTTTCAACACAATATCCTACCTTCCTTCCATTCCTAAGCACACTATATACACTTTATAACATTAACATATTATACAAAATAAGTATTTTGCTTTCTTAAATCCTTGCACATCTGCCTTTTAAGTTCTCCATTTTGTTAACTCCTATTCAACTGTTTCTAAAATGTACATTATTATTTTTTTATGTCTCAGACAATTACGTTTGTGACTTTTAATGCCTGCTATCCATTCTAATTCCGGGACAAGCAGTCTTTTTAATGAAATAAGTGCAAATGCTTTTTTTTACTGCTAAAACTTTGTCAAGTTTAACATTTTTAATCGTTCTATATTATTGGATTTTTTATTTTATTTTATTATTTAGTGTCACATCATTCCCCACAGAAATTCTACCACTTACCATTATCCTAAATTATGGATTAAATATTCCTTCTCAACTGCTGTGAACACTTTTTCCCTACTCCCTGTATGTTTTAATCATGCAATAGGTATTCTATTAATACCAATGCATTTCCACTCCTTTAATGGCATTTCATTTTTTTTAACCATATTTTATCTCTTTCCAAAAAAGAATCCCATTTTTTTATGTTTTTCGTATCATATAATCTATCAGAATCCTCTTCCTAACATAATTCACATGTTTGCCTTATGTTTGTGATCCTTTACTATTTTTACCACTTTAACAATATAATATTATATATTATTTATCTTTTATTTGGAACAGCTATCTTTTCAAGGTATTTTTTTTTTTTTTTAATAATTCGGAAAATGTTCTCAGGTTCTTATATGCTAAACTAATATAAAAATGCATCAAATAATATATCTGCAGGTTCATCATCTTTAATTTTAAAGTTAGGTAATCATATATTTAATATTTTTCACTTACAATACTTTTAGTCCCTTATCTAAGTTTTGAGTTTCAAGTTATAATTTTTTTTAATTCCTGCATACTGAACATATTTTGGTCAACACTTAGAAATATATGATTTCCACATGACTTCCAGTTCGGTTTCATCTCTGGAAAACATGCTTAGTTTCTTTCAAATCCAACTGTTCAGAGCTTCACTTTTCACATCCTTGCCAGCATTTCACAACTATTTACAGAAAGTAGTCTAGAATATCAGCCTGCATACAAGGCAATCGTATCTTTGCAGGATTGTAGTTGACTTACTAAAGGCAAAAAGGCTGTTCACTGTGCAAAGGAATATTCCCTAAGCTAAGTGAATGTGATTAAAAAAACTTGACTTTGCAAAGAATACCCAATCACGTGTCTATTTTTGCATACCCATGATTGGATATCTGGAAGTCATCAGAGCTTCGAGCTTCACTTCATTCACTAAGCTAAGTGAAGATTCCCTTGCAAACTAAGCAGCCTATTTGCCTTTGGCAAATCAACCACAATGTGCTCCATTCCTTATCATGGCATATTTATTGTACTTGGTTTAATTTAAAGTGACACTAAACTTTGAGTTACATCTCAAAAAAGCATTCAAGTACCTTAACGATTAACAAAAATGTATCTTATTTAGGTTTCACTCGGCTATAGATCTTCAAATCATCTCTGAATTGGTGCTGACGCTGTCCTTCCTTCTGGAGGGTGGCTACTTTTGTTCCCCAAGGTCCCTGTGTGTGTTGTAAAGTAGTCAACGCTTCAGAAGGAAGAACAGTGTCAGCACCAATTCAGAGATGATTTGCGGATCCACAGTCTATACAAATAAGCTATTTTTGTTAATAGTTAAGGTACTTGAATGCATTTTTAGGATTTAATCCCTGCATTTAGTGCCATTTTAATGTAAATGTTATAACATTTTAAAAGAAATTGGGGCAGTGTTAAAATCCCTTTTTTTAAGGCTTCCAATTTTTTTCAAGAATGGAGTTGTGGATGGATGGCAGAAAAGACAAGCCCTCGGACTACTTAAGTCTTGCTTATATTTTTTTCTGTTGAATACACAGAATATTCTGAGGCTTGCTCATTTTGTAGTTTTTGGAATCGTCAAAGAACGATGAGAACACTAACAGGGATATTCAGAAAAGGGTGAATAGTTTGGAGAAGGCAGGAGAAATGAACAATTGAGGACAACATAGCTGATTTGGAAAAGATTCAGCTCACTTTCCAGTTCAGCTATGTTGTTCTAGATTGTTCACTTCTCCGGCCTTCTCCAAACTCTTCACCCTTTTGTGAAAAACCCTATAAATCTATAAAATGTTTAAAATGGTTAATCCTGCTTACTTTTGTAACCTGTAGGTTTTATACAAAGATAATCTGGGGAAATGTACCCCCACTACAGACACTCCCGAGTTGGAGAGAGTCAGACGCAATCAAGAAAACATTAGCATGGTACTTCCTGCAGAATATGCTAATATCAAATTGCTTAAATAAAACCAACTGCTGTAGTTTTTAGAAATAAATCATGACACTATAACACAAGTAACAACACCTCTGTTTTCCCTTGGCAGCAACATCATTTACAGTTTTACTTACTTGTTTTCTGGTTCTTATTCGCTTTTGTAACAAGTTAGATCCTCCCAAATTCACTCAAACTCTCCCTCCAAATAATAATCTAGATGTTTTCTGAACAGGTGTTATTACACAAATATTGGGTCACATGGCACTCAAGAAGAATTGGTTGGCATATGAGATAACATTTTTGTTAAAGAAAAAGCTTTTGTAACCGACTAATATGATTTCTGAACAATTAAATTACTGACATTTTATTGACAGCAGCAGTGTTATACTGCAAGTGGTAGCTATGTATTTCTGCCATTGCTTCAAGCCTAACAGTAGCGTCTCTTACAATCTCCTGCTAAGTGCGGTGTTATGACAGTCTAAACAGTAACCCTAGCAATATGTCATGCTCGTATATGTATAGTGATATATGAATGCTTCTTTGTACACTGTAGGTATCATATAAAGAACATTTGGGAAAAGCCACACCAGCAACTGTAACTCCTGAGATGGAGCGTGTTAAACGAAACCAAGAAAATATTAGCTCGGTATTTTTATGTAACCCAGCCACAGCGTTCAATCTTAAAACATAATCCTGTTTAATCTGTGCAGTGTATGCATATGTTAATCTAATTACAGTAGCCGGATAATATTTTTGCACTTAAAGTCAATAAAAAAGTAAATACAGTTAACGTTTTAAGTTTAAAAACTAAAATATAACATTTTTTAATTACAATTATAATACTTAAAAACTAAAATATTAATGAATATAACTTTGGTATTTTTTGATGATCTTTTTTTTAGTGGTTAATTTGACTTAGAAGACAATTTTGGCTAAAACCTCTTAGAGATTTGCATAGAGGTGAAGAAGTTTTGTTAAGCTGGCCATACACTGTTCTGTTCTTTTGTTCAACCCACAGGCGAAACAAAAAAAATAAAACAGGTTCCTCCATCAATGCTTGATCTAGGAATCCCCCGTTAACTTTGTATCCTGATAGCTGCCGCCAACGGCCGCTGTCAGAATACACGAACGGTGTTGGCAGCTTATTCAAATGAATTCAAAGATTTTTCCAGCTGGCTCCTTCGATCAGCTAATCGAGGGATGCCAGCTAGAACGGTGCGGACAGCAGCACCTACTGTGCGAATTTCAGGTGGTTGCTGAAGAAGATGCCAAAATTTGCATAGCGTATGGCCAGCTTAGTCTTTTTTTGCTTTGTCCCTATTGTGGCAATTTCCTCTAACTGCCTGTCCCCCTGTCAAATGAAATGAGGGGAAATCTCCCCTACTGAGACTTAAATAGCAATTAAAACATATTTTTTAGAACAGGAAATGAGTAGGACAACAGGAAGGTTCTTACTGCTGTCTCTGTCCTTGTTGGGAAGATTTTTTCTTACTTCTGTCAGGTTCAGATGCAGACACTCCAGTCGAGTAAATAGCAACTGGTGGAGCTTCACCTTTAGCAGCCCCTTTTTCTAGGCCTTCTGGTACTAGTGTGCCCAAAATATATATGCTCTAGCTGTAGAATGTCCAAAATGGACCCAGGGTAGGATAAGTGAAGACATACTGTGCAGCAATTGTGGGGAACAAGATAGTGGGCACACCAGTGGAACAAAGATAGGTGACAGACAGCAGGCATATTTGAACATAGCATATGTCAGGGCAGGTGGCAGACAGTAGGCGAAATCCCTGACTGTAGCAAAGCTCAAGCCGGCAAACATGTAATCCAAGAACAAAGCAAAGGTCTGTAACAGGAACACTTGGCCAGCAGGAACACTATTTCTGGCACAGAGGCACAGTCTGATAAGGTTTAAATAAGGTGCCTCCTGCACCGATCCCAGAGGAGCGGAGCATATGCAGAGACATGGTGCCAGCCAACCAACAAGGGAAGCCTTGGGAGGAGCAGGGAGGCAAACCAGCAAGAGAAGGAGCAGGTATGGGAAGAGAGATGTTGTGTCCCATTGCCTGGAAATCGGGACACAATGGAAGAAGACAGCGGGGGCCACTGGCAGACAAGTAAGTATATGAGCCTCCTTGCAACTTTCCTTGCAACCCCCCTGTGTAACAAGGTGTGACAGAGTGTCAACAGGACAGAGAATACAGCAATAAAAATTTAAAAGAGGATATATATATATATAAATATCATAAAGCAGCTTGCTGTATTCAGTACAATCCGCAGAGCTGAGTCATACTCAAGACCTTTACGTATGCTTAAAAACTCCAGACAGGAGAAAAGCTTCAGGGTGGCCCGATCATATCTGCATTTCCAACTTCTTTTGTAGGTCTATGGCCAGCTTGTGAATTTGAGGAAAACCTTTCATAAAGAACAGGGGGATGACCTCAAACTAGCAAGAGGGAAATTCAAGAGTTAGGTTAGAAAGTATGATGCTATTTCACCAACAGAAAGTGAATATACACATGCTTGGAATGAACATGGGTCTATCCCCAGACAAAAATGTTATAACAGGGCAGACTCTATGGACCAATTAGTCTTTTTCTACAGTCAGTCTTCTATGCTTCTGTGTTTCTAGTAGTACAGCAATGTAACATTTCAGAAACTCTCTGCAGAAACAATTATTGTAACCATTACAATAGAAATGCTATAAACCGATCACTTTGGTGTTACACACATTACAAACGTGACTAATAGAAGCCTGTAGTAACATTAACTTAGGGAAACTACAACAATCTAATATGTTTTAAATAATTAACTTATTATGTTTATCAATATATTGTCTAAGAAAAAAAAAAAATCTGTAACTCATTTGAAGGTTTTCCTCTACTGACGATCAGGTAAGAAATATTTCCGTGTCCTGACCCCGGTGGCTTGTGCTCTAGTTACTTACGGTTTATTGATAGTAATTTAACTACCACTTGTAACAACTCTCCTACCACCCAGACAGAAAACTGAGCTTTGTTCAGTCCAATCACTATTTGTTTCTTCGCCCTCAGGTTCTATATTCTGACCAGTTCCGTAAGCAGATACAAGGCAGAGCTGCATTTGTGCTGGATACGCCTGAAATGAGACGCGTTCGTGAAAGTCAGCGCCATATCTCATCGGTAATACTTCAAGCCATTTGGGTTTTGTTATGATTAAAAAGTGCTGATATTTCTCTGCTGCACTTAGGTTAAGTGATTACAGGTACCCTCTCGACTCATACCATCTGACTGGAGGGTAGGAGTAGAGGAGAGGCAGCACACTGCCTCTCCTCTATTTCTCTGAAGGGAGAGGCAACACACTGATAAGCTCATCTCTCTTACTCATGCTCTCTCGTCCTATCAGCATGCTCCTTGCATCACACCTGATTGGCGCCTATTACTGTTTGCAAGAAAATAAATTTAATGATGTATTAAAGCAAAACTTCATACACAAATAAACGCCTTTTCTTGTTTTTATGGTTGACCCGCCCCCTGCCTCCATTCTCACCTACAGGGCCGTATTTCCATTTTGGGCGCCTGTAGGCACAAATGGAAATCTGTTTTACCTGCTACGGGACCCACCGGATTTCTCATATGAAGAAAAGGACCCCAGCGTCGCGTAATGCCTTTTAAAGCTACCTGGAGTTCAGCTTTTACTAGTCCCGGCATCAGTTTACCGGGGAAATAACAGAGAATGGGCAATATTTTTAAACCTGTTTGATCAGTATTTCACCTATGATATATCCATTGGGAAAGAAGCCACTGCCAAGATATGAGATTATCACCGAGTGCAACTAAACTCTTTTTGATGCAGCCAGATTTTTGTCAATATAGTTATACAAGAAAGATGGCTAACTACATTTATTTATGTCTCATTGTTCTTAGGTGAAATACCATGAAGATTTTGAAAAGCAGAAGGGAAGTTTTACTCCCGTGGTCACTGACCCAATAACAGAGAGAGTGAAGAAAAACACCATCGACTTCAGTGACATTAGCTACAGAGGAATCCAGAGGAAAGTTGTGGAAATTGAGCGCAAGAGAAGTGAACAGGAACAAGATGTCACAGGTACTTGACATCATCTGCAGTTCCCATGTTTTGTAGTTTAGGAGCAGTGACTTCAAGCTCCTCCTGCGAAGAGAACCCTTTACTATAATGTGTTACTCTAGTTTGGTTAAAACTGAACTCCGGGCACAAAAACTTTCATGGGAATATATTCCCTAATAAGCCACAAGGAATATAAAGCCATGTTGTGAGCACCAAATGCCTTGTATAATGTATTATTATTATTATTATACTTGTCTAGATTTAAATGGGTAATGCAGTGGTGTGCACTAAATAAAAGTATGGCATGAAGTACTTTTTTTTCAGTGCAGGGCCGTGGTGCGACACGATACAACTACATTGCACCGTGCTGTGCTGATAGAACTTAATAAAATGTCACCTGTAACATATCAATAAAGTTCTAACAGAACAAAGTGCCTTGCTGGTCTGAATTTGCCCTTAAGTAAGATGTGCTTACAATCTCTGGGAGCCCCAAAACCTAAGGCACTACAAAAACAAAAAATAATCTTGGAACTTGTCACGTCCTACCCTGCACATAAATTGTTCCAGCAAAGTTATGATCTAACACACAGACCAGTAAGAAGATGTGTAAGGAAGAAGAGGGCGGGTCAGAGGACCAAATACTTAAAGGAGAACTATGAGGTTGAGTGATTTACACTCATTGTCATAGTTCGAGCCGACGTGTGACAATGAAACTGTCACAGGTCGGCTCTATTGATCGGGAAGTGAGCGAACACATACCGTTAAAACCCCCCCCTCCCCTCTACGATCCTCCAGCGCTGACTGGAGGAATGGACGGGGAGGGAGCGGGCAGAGACAGCTGCCAATCAGCCAGCTGGGTGGATCTTGACAGTATTGTCGGGATCTGTCCCGGCTGCTGCAGACAATAGCCCGCTATGTACTGAGCTTTGGGTCATGAGAGGAGGTTAGTATATGTCCTCCTGTGACCCTAAAGAGAACTAAGGGCAAAAAGGTTACCCCATAGTTCTCTTTTAAATAAGCTTTATAGTTACAAATTGATGATCAAGCTTAGGGTAATATGGTTTGATACTGTTTTTAATGTAGTGCTCTAGCCATTTACATTTTGTAGTGAAATAATTTGGGGATATTTCAAGTACTGTTTTATTTAATATTGCTTTAAAATGTATTATTATTAACTATGCTTTATATTAAATACCAGCTTACAGGTTACAGATTGCAAATTACAGATGAGGCCAAGTTCCAGCACACATGACAATCCAATTCATGTTTTTTTTTTTCCTTCTCTCTCGCAGATCTCAGAGTGTGGCGTACAAATCCTGGATCCGTCTTTGACTATGACCCAGCTGAGGATAACATACAATCAAGAAGCTTACACATGATGTCTGGTAGGTATCTCGATATATTTCAGTGCTTTCTTACTTGCTTACTTTGAATAATTTTTAAGAAACACACTGATTTACACAACAAAATAATGTAATCAAATAATATAAAATTTTAGGTTACACTTAAAAAAAAAAATCATACAGTAGTTTAGAACACACCTAAGAAAAAAATACCAATTTCTATAAAATTTGATAGTCACTCTTTTGTTTCAAATGCCGTTAAAATATCGTGAGCATAAATAACAACGTAATCAGCCATGTACGTGTAAAACTCAACGTGGAACCCAACTCATTCACAAATATCACAATGGTCATATTAAAGTAGTTCAAGTTTTAAATTTTTGACCTTTTTTAGAATCCCAACAATTGCTAAGATAATACATTCAACCTGTTGTCTCATACTGTATTTTGGAGAGTAGCAAGTGGAAATGTGGGCATGATATGTAAATTGAAATTGTCAATAAATCGACTTTTGTTAACTTCACTTGAAATATAGTGTGCTGGTGACATCCTTTGAAATCGTGATATGTAAATTGTTCTCTCAGGTTATGGACATTCAAATATTTACATACAGTATCCCCAACAAGCAGTCAGTGGGCTTTAAAAAAACTGTCACTGAGTTAAAACATTTTAAAGATCATGAACTGCAAAAGAAGAGCGTTTATACTCACCTGTCCGGCTGCCTGTTTCTCTGACCTCCCTTCTCTTGAAGAGCAATAGCCTATACATATCCAACACAGTTACGGGTGTGCCAGATGCTTGGTCCCCCACTGGACACACGGTTTCTTTTGCTGGCCCTATAACAATACCGGACAAAGTAGTGATGTAAAGGTCAGCAGAAGAAACAACAACACTTTGGTGTGAGATGTAGGCACCTATCATTTCTGAATGTGTCGAATGTAACTCTTGAGCAGAGCAAAAACCGGAGGATTGGGAGGTGGGATATTTGGCCATAAACACTCTTCTTTTAAAGGTCGTGCTTTTGGACACTTTTTGAACTTAGGGAAAAGTTGCTTTAAAAGAGAACTATGGGGTCAGGGCTTTTCCCCATAGTTCTCCTAAGGGTAACGGGAGGACACAAACTAGCATCCTCCCGTCACCCAAAGCTCAGTATACCGCGAGCTACATCTCGCGGTATACTGAGACGCCGCAGCCGGAACAGATCCCGACAATTCTGTCTGGATCCACCCAGCTGCGTGAGCGACAGCTGGCTCTGACTACCTAGAGGCAGAGCCAGCTGTACCCGCCCTCGTACGTTCCGTCAGTCAGCGCTGGAGGATCGGACAGGGGAGGGGGAATCCCTGCAGGGAGCCGTGAGTGACAGTCCTGGCTCTCTGCAGGGATAGATTGAGAAGTGAGCGAGCACCGGTATGTGTTCGCTCACTTCCCGATCAATAGAGCCGACCTGTGACAGTTTTGTCACAGGTCGGCTCAGATTATGAGGCTGATTGAAAATCACGTGCCTCATAATTCTCCTTTAACCCCTTACTGACCTCTGTATTGTAATTATTCTCAAGTTCACAAGAGAAGCAGTGAAATGGTTAAAGTTCGGTCTAAGAACTCCGCTCTTCCCTTCCCTATGTGCATCTGCTCTGTATTTACATTAGTGATTAGAAGGCTGGAGGGCTGCGCTTCTGCTGTGAATTGAGTATGAATGACTGCACAGCACCTACAGCTACAGAGGCCAGTGGGGGCTTCTTTTAAAGCTCATTTACCACCTGATAATATGGATATATTTGAAAGTTCACAGTCTGGCCACAGTTCTGATTTAGGGGGGGTAACTTGTCTGCCTTTTTAAACTAAAAGGTCCTACCTAGGTGCAGGAACCAGAGCGTTGTTTTCTTTCTGCCCCTCTGATTGGGTCCATTGTGTCAACCCTCTACCTGCCATACCATTACCCAATGTGAAGTAGCCAAAGCTGAATAAAAGTGACATCCTCTCTTTAATTATACAGTGAGGGTAATAAATATTTTTTTTCATATAGTTCAAGCCCGTCGCAGTCGTGAACAGTCTCGTTCTGCTAGTGCGCTAAGCTTGAGTGCCGGGGATGAAAAATCGGAACTGTCTGAGGCGGCTGACCATCACCATTCCTATTATAGCAACGGAGGCCTGTTTACCACCACTGTAACAGGTATAGTGAAAATTATTGATCACATGAAGTTTATAGTTATAGTGCAATAGTTGAGCATTTACCACATTATCGTTGTTGTTCCATAAAACTTATAGGCCACAAGGAAAGTTCCCATGTACTACTTTACCAAGGTAAGCACACATCGCACAAGAACTTTACCATGCTGCCCAGCAAGCCGATTTAGCATCTGCCACTAAATACCAGCTTTTAGCAGCAAACTAAGGCTTACGGCAAAAGGTTAAGATTTCCTTGTTCTCAATTTTTGTTTTTTGTTATATTCTAGGCTACAAGCAAGCGAAAACTACTGAGCTTCCACAACAGAGGTCTTCTTCTGTGGCAACTCAACTAACAACTGCCTCATCAGTGCCATCACACCCATCCACTACTGGAGTAAGTCATCAAGATTGACCGTATCACCTACATACATTTGCCAATGTCAATAATCACACACACACACCCCCTTAGGATGCCCATAGATTAATTCTGCTGGCTCACAGACTGATGGAAAGGCCATCTTTCATAATACACATCAGGGCATATTTGCCAGAGTATGTCTGTTCTTTTTCTACTTTACAGATGGGCTGCCATGAATCTGTAAGGGCAATGTCACACTTGTGATCCTGATGCTGGGGAGAGTTCACCAATGGCAGGATGACTAGAATATGTAGGGAGAACCCTTACCTGCTTAACATGTCTCGCTCTCTCACCAGCTTTGGCAGCGAATCATCACTACCTTGCTGTTGAAAAGAGTGCAGAACAGAAGTCACTGTTGAGAGAGGAACACTTCACCTACTCAGTCAAAATGTGAAGTTACATAAATAGCTTCCTTTTCAATTGCTCAGTATAGTAGTGCAATCTTGTCTTCTTTTGTGAATATGTCTGTGAAGGTTCCCATTGATCAAGGTAATTTACAGCAAGTCCACTTGCCTTTGACTTATTTTTTTACATATATATCTTTTGTGAATAGTAATCATCACCCATTGATCCTGCCAGTTTCTTTTGCATCCAAGGGCTTCCTGTGATAGGACGACAACGGTGACCACAGGCTGTCAAAGCAGCGTTAGCATTGTCACCCTTGCTCTTGCTGAGGAACCATGGGCAGCCATGACGACTCAGTGTGCCTGGTTGCTTCCCCGCCTGCCAGGCCAGGTCCATACCCCCTGCACTATCAGTACCAGCTTTCTGTTACATTATGTCGTCTTGAAGTTTAATGGTCAAACACGATTCCAGGACATAGTAGTGACTTATACGTAAAGCAAGAACAACAGCTACCCATAGGGAAGCTCTATCTGACACACTTGAAAGTGCTGAATAGCAGTGGCATCAGGAGCTCCTCAAGATGGGGGAATATTGGACTTCTGCACATATGATAGACACAGCAATCAGCTTTGTATAAATCTAATCACATAATTGTTGTTTCAGAAAACGTTCAAAGCCATGTATGACTACCGGGCCGCAGACGGCGATGAAGTCTCTTTTAAGGATGGTGACACCATTGTGAATGTCCAGACCATTGATGAAGGATGGATGTACGGGACAGTTCAGAGAAGTGGCCAGACTGGCATGCTACCAGCTAACTATTTGGAAGCCATTTAAAGAATCATCCATAATTGACAGAAATGGCACTACCTAAAAAAAAACAACACTTAAGGGCAGCAGCCATTTTTTTATTATTCTGTCAACTTACCTTATATATGAAATAAAAGCAATTTAAAAAAATGTAACATCTTAAGCAGCAATTTCCTAACATCAGACTGCAACGTGACTGTACTTTATAGAAATATAGATTTTCTTTTTTGTTCTTGAAAATAACATCAGCTAATGCCAGATTGTCTTTGGTTACCAATTAATTCTAGACTGACATATGTTACGATTTACGACTTGAACAATGCCTTAGGCATCTTACCTGCTATTTGTATGTTCAATGTTCATGTTTTCTTACTGTACACAGACATAGCATATTTCTTGGTGTTGTAAAATCCACCAATTTAAACTGATTTAATCAACTGCCCTAGAATATGACATGATGAAAGAGCCTCTCCCCTCCTCTGCTTGTGAATGCTGCATGCATAAGATTATGTTCTAGGGTCAAAAACGTATAATCCCTGTACATTAGCGATCAATAAAGCTGGGGTTTCTGCAGAATTTGCGGTGTCCGTAAATAATGAATACGAAGGTCTGTTAAAAACTCCTGGTGATGAACCATCAAGGTAGCCAAATAAGATTTTGGCTGCAGTCTATGAAAGTCAGCATAAAATGGATTCATCTAACGCAGTAATTATTTCTATGCTATATGGACAAAGGTTTGTGGACAGCCATCACACCTATATGAGCTTAGGGGACTTCCCATTCCAAAACCATAAACATATACCGTACTATATTATATATGTATGTATATTTTATATATTGTAGAGTTGGCTCCCCCTTGCAGCAAGAAAAGTCTCCACTCTTCGTGGAAAGCTTTCCACAATATTTTGGAGTATGTTTGTGGGAATTTGTGCCCACATGGAGAAAGTGAGGTCAGGTACAGATGCTGGATGAAAAGACCTGGCTTGCAATTGGCATTCCAATTCATCCCAGAAGGTATTCAACAGGGTTAAGGTCAGGGTTCTGTGCAAGCTACTGGAGTTCCTCCAAACCAAACTAATCAAACTATGTACTTATGGAGCTGTAATTGTGCTCAGGGACACAATCATGCTGGAACAGTAACGGGCCTCTGCAATTGTTGCCACAAGGTTGGAAGAGTACAATTTACCAAAGTGTCTTTGCATGCTAATGTTTGTAAATAAGATATAGCGCTGCTATGTGCTTGAATTAATGCACCTTGGAATGGGATGTCTAACAAGTCCATACAAGCGTGAGGAGTATAAACTTTTGGCCGTATACTGCTGAATATGGTATTCTTATTTGAATGTCCTTTTAGCCACTTTAGTGGCTTTTTAAAGTCAAAGACATGGAAATTGTACAAATGAAATTGGTCACTTACAGCTAAAATTTCAGGCAGATCCAGAAGATCCACCAGGGCTGTAAGTAGACCTGCTAACAGGTGTGTTGATGCAGGCAGATTGGAAGCCATGAACCAGAGGACTGGTAGTAAAACTTTAGCCTGCACCCAACTGATATGCAGGTTATCCAAGTGTCAGCAAAGCTTAACAGATGAACTTTGGGAAGTTGAAACGCCTTCCCCTTTGGGAAGTTGAAACGCCCCCTCATGCTGAAGAGGAATTATCTGAGAACTTGGAAAGTCCAGGGTTTGAATGAGCCTTAGGCTTCTTCTGCTAGGAGTCCTCTTGCCCCCCTGGTGACATCCTTTATGAGAGTATCCAAGGCAGTCCCTCAAAGAGCATGCAAAGCAATCACTTCTTGCATGCAGATTCCGCAGCACAACATAAGTCAGAGGGCTCGCCCCACATACACTGGCAGGAGTTACCCCTTGAAGATGAGGCAGGAGATTTCCAACATCTCATCCACATAATAGTTGGAGGTGTCAATGCTTGATGGTGAGGGGAAAAAATGTGCATATAACATTCTGCCCAGTGGATGACATTATTGCCCAGTTCCTCAGGGTGAACCGCTTCTGCGATGAAATTGATGTAATGTGGTAAATTAAATCGCGTACAGCAATCCAAATAGTGAGGTAGCTCCCAGTGCTCAGCCCGCATGCCCTACTCACAAAGTGAGTCTTCAGACAAAAAATCGTACCTGCGGCTGTGCGATAGGTCAGCGACCAATTTAACCAGTACACTCTGGTATGGAATGCAGAGCCTAGTGCCCAAAGGGACCAGCTCAGCAATGATGACGTATACATTTAGATTGAAAAAAGCTAGTAACGTTTTTTTTTTTTTCTCCTCAGAGCAAAGAAAAAGCCTCAATCATCCTTGAGATTAGTGAGAAACTGAGGCATGATGGGAGTAAGAGGGGTTATGCTGAACTGGCCAATTTTTTGTTTACCAGTGTCCAAACCTCCTGTAATCCTCATTTTTAAGGACTCCTTAATGACTGGTAGGATCCCCAGTGATTGGCGGAGGGCTACGGTAGTCAAGCCGGATAACATGAGTCTTTCAATTTCTGTGTCCCTCAATGGCCGAGAAAGAAACACGTGTACTGGATTGTAACTTATAGGGGGCCAAGTAGGATTTTAACCCCTTCGTGATGGGAGACGTACAGTGTACGTCCCGTCACAAAGTGGCTATATGACTGGCCACGTACACTGTACGTGCCGAGTTATATTAGCCTCTGTAATGCTACATATAACAAATATAAAGTAGATGTCATCCCAATTTGGCTTCAAAAGTTAAACTAAAGAGACAAATGAAGTCAGAGCTATAACAGGAAATTACACACTTGTGCAGTATATAAGAGGTGCAGAAATCACAAAACTGTCTGACCAAAATTAAAATTTCTTGCCTAGAGTTTCACTTCAAATGTACTTTTAGAGAGAACTAGGGTAAGTGTTTAGAATTTTTTTTTTTATCAACTTCAAATAATATTCTGCACAGCAGCACTGATTGGGAAAAGGGCAGGCCTTACAGCTCCATTATTTTTTTTTTTTTACACACTAGTATCAGTCTAAGGCTGGGCACACACCTTACAACCATCGCAAGACTTTTGTCTTGCGATGGTTGCAAGGTACTTAAAAAAACATACGATCTGCCTATCTTGCATAGGCAGATCGTACTAGTGATGAATACAAGCCACACCCCCCGAGGGGCGGGCTTCCGATGACCACAATGCCGAACGGGCAGTGTGCGCTTGCGCACACCAGCCCGTACGGCTTTTATCGTACGAACATGCCACAAACCCGAACATTGTACGATGCTCGGCGGGTTTTCGAACATGTCCGTAAGTTAAAAGTCATGCGACCTTACAGTAGTAGAGGTCGCACGGCTTCCACACACCTTACGATAATCATACGATCACAGGATTTCCCACGATTATCGTAAGGTGTGTGGGGACCTTAACACTGAATACACCTACAGGAGGGTTGAATGGATGACCTCATTAGTGTGCTGCTGCACCTTCATTTTCAAGGCATAGATGTGTGGGTGTGTCAGCTCTATTGTTTTCCTGCAGAGAGGTCCAGGATCTGACTGTTGTCTGGGATGTGTGCCTGGACCTCAAGACTGGCTAGATGATTAAAATACATACTGACAAATAAGTACATCCTATACTTTTTCAACATACAGACTGGGATAAAGGTGATATACTTGAATAAAAACAAGAAAAAAAAATAGCATTTTCATTAATTTAATGTAAAATAATTTTCTCGGAGTCCATTGAGGTACACAGCTCTGAAGAATTGTGAGGAGAAATGGACACTAGGCAAACACATTAAAAGCTTGTCACTTTAAAAGACATAACCCCTCCCACTTGTAGCAAGCAGTACAAAAGGAACATGAGGGGAGGCAGCAGTGTTCCCTTAAATGGACTCTAAGGAAAGGATTTTAGGGTAAGAACAAAATTCTATTTTCTCTATCGTCCATTGAGGGACACAGCTTTGAAGAATTCTGAGATGTAGAGATGTTCAAAAATAATCCAAACGGAGAGGCGGGCACAACAATAGCTCAACAAAAAATGGACTGCCAAAGTACACTTCAAGAGCTAGCTGAAAAACTTTTCTGCCAAAACTAGCATCCCGAAGAGGCAGAAACATCAACTTGATAAAGCTTTGCAAAGGTGTGAACAAAAGAGCAAGTTGTAGCCTTGCAATTTTGAATAACAGAAGCTTGATTTTAAAACACCCAAGAAGCACTAACTGCCCCAGTAGAATGAACATTTCTTCAGAGCTGTTTCCCTCAATGGACGATAGGGAAAAGGAAGTATCAAAAGCTAGTATTGCCCCCTTAAAATGACTAATTTTGTATAACTGCCCACTAGTCTCCGACATCGACTGTTTTACCATTTCGCTGCAAAACTCCTCCAGTTGCAAGATGATTTTGGGTTTTCTTGCATGATGATTTCAAACCCCCTTCCCTACAAAATTTCAGTGGGAATCCAATCAGGGCTTATACTAGGGCAATCCGTAAGCCTTGATTTTTTTCATTCCTTGGTGTAATTGCTTGTGTGCTTTGGATCATCATCATGTTGACTCATTTCTGGTTCATCTTTAACATTTGGTCTGATGGGCTCACATTGTAAATCAAGCATACTTTGCTAAGATGCAGAAAGTATAGATGAGCGCATACACTTTCACCCCAGCTATTGCAAGTTACCTTAACACCCGATGATGAATGTTTAGGGTGATTGGAGACTGCTTTTAGCATCAAAATGTCAGCTAAGTTGGAATTAGTATACAAGAGTATTAAGAATGACATTAGATCTCCAAATCTGCATATTAGAGCTGGGGTCAGTGACTCCATGCCAAACAATACTAGCTAAAAAGAAACCTGGAAGATCCAGAGCCGTCAGTTTGTATGAATGCTCTGTTCCTAGTCTATTATTACTTACAAATAAAAGACCCAAAACCATGTCCCTTACACTCCTAAAGAAATGTTTAAACTGTTAGACATCAGAGGTACAGGCACAAATTATGAATTCACTTTCTCAGCTGCAGGGTTGTAAACTGGAGGCTGTTCCCACAGTAACTTTCTTTTACACGTGCATGCAATGGGCCTGGCCAGAGGATGACTGACCACCTTTCGTTCACCACCTGTGCACTGATCAATCACAATTTATGACTGGGCCTACCAAATGCCCAATGACTCGAAGTGTACAACACTGAAAGCAGTAACCAAATGTCAGAATACCAGAATAAAAGGTTTGCCCTTTAACAGGTTACATTGATATTTTTGCTTCTTATATGGAGAGGGATGTTAAAAGAAACAGTCCGAAATCTTAATTAAAACTGAGCATATGATCACAAGATGCACAATGTTATCTTTAGTGACAACAGATCCTCTTAATTATATTCAAATCGTGACTCTCACCATTAAGGTCCAACCTGAGCTTCCCTGTAGGTTTGCTAATATGATTGACACTTGCCAAATGCTCCATTCAAATAGCAGGTTCACATTAACTTTCTCCACCGACACCCCTATTTCCCCAAATCCAACTCGCATGAAATCATATACAGCACTTTCAAGTTAAAAATGCAGGTTTACAGACATCAAAATAACTTATCAATAGTTCACAAAGAAAACAATTACTGCTAACTGGCAAAGTACTTTAATAGGTTTAATTTTACATTTCATATCTAAAAGGGAACTCATGCAGCAAGTGAAATTTAAGAATCCTGCTGGAACCAACTGTTTAAATTATATGTACATAGTGGATTACTATTTAAACTAGTAACCTGCAGTGAGGCTATTTACAGAATTTACAAACAAGGACAAGTATTGGTACAACAAATTCAACATGAAAAGTATTGTGGCATACTGTGTGACAAAGCTTCAGAGGCAAAAACTACCAAAAATACCCTCTTTCAGTTCCTAAGAAAAACATGTCGCTGAAGGAATTTACAATATTATTACATAAGCAGATCAAATGTGAACATTTAAAAATAGTGTATACTACAAGTGTTAGGAAGAGAAACTGAAGAAACGCAACAATTAAGGTGTTGCTCATAACAAGAAAGTTTCACCTTTACTCCTCGAGAAACGACAAGGTTCATCCGGCTGGTCGCTATTGACATGCAAATGCCTAAGAGTACACAATACTCTCCCAAGGGGCGACTAATCTTAGCGCTAACAGTACTATGGAAGATCAGCGTTCTGATCTGTTGCAGCCCTGTTCCTTATGCCAGACTGGCAAACTAAAAACGAATTCTTTGTCCTAGAAAACACACTTGCCTCTATTAATGAACCAATATCCAGTTTATGCATCTAGTTGAAGATAGAGCAGTATAATCCAAAAGAGAAAACGAAGACCACATGATGGATCTCTTAAAAATGTAGACAGTCTTTGTATTAAAAATATATTTGGGCAAAAAGAAGTAAAAATGTCCCGTAAATGGTAATGTAAAACACAAAGCTGACCTACACAGAGCTGTTGTGAGGTGGTGAACTCCATCGAGAGCGCAGATGATGAAGAATGCAGTTTGACATTGTACCAAGTTTTTCCTGCATTTCAAAAAGCTGGCTTCCGGAATATTTGCCAAGCTCCTCTGTCACCAGCAGCAGAGAAAGTGCATTAATCTGTGCTGGAAGGTCTGGGGTGGCTGGAGCTTCCACAGGTGCGGTGGCGGATGCCTCAGGAAGGTCTGAAAGGGAAGGTGGAGTTACATAAAACATCTATGGTCAAGTAACCGTAAAACTCATCAATGGAAGCTGACTTAGTTGACTAAAATGTTAGGGAGAGACGATTTGGGAAGAGATCCAATCAGAACTAATCTCTCTGGATTTCCAGTTCCAACCTGAATGGACAGCTAATAGGTAATATGTACAATGGCATTAGAGCCAATAAAGTTTTCATTTTAATATTTTAGAGTTGCACTTCTTCTTGAATGACATATGCAAATTGTTATAAATCAGTGCATATCATATTCCTGGTTCTTTGATGTAAACACTCAATATTGTTTATTTAGAAGACTCGGTTAAAAAGGAGATTAGGTGAGTGATTTTCACTCATCCTCATAGTTCGAGCCGACCTGTGACAATGAAACTGTCACACGTCGGCTCAATAGATCAGGAAGTGAGCGAACATGTACCGTCACTCGCTCACTTCTCGATCATGTCCCTGCAGAGCGCCGTGACTGTCGCTCACTGCTCCCTGCAGGGATCCCCTCCCCTGTCCGATCCTCCAGCGCTGACTGGAGGAACAGACAGGGAAGGGTGCGGGCACAGCTGGCTCTGCCTCTAGATAGGCAGAGCCCGCTGTCACTCACGCAGCTGGGTGGATCGAGAGTAATGTCGGGATCCGCCCCGGCTGCGGCAGTCTCAGTATACCGTGAGACTTACCCCATAGGTTCTCCTTTAAATCAAATTTTGAGATACATAAACACGTTACATATCACAATAGTTACATCTGTGTCTGTATTGCATGTTCAAACTTTAATACCATAAGTAACAAGTTAACAGATGTTTACTTCAGGAGAATAAAATGAGATTGGAAATTCTAGAGAAACTTTTATTACTCCTTAACTGAACCCACTAGATTTTACTCGACTATATCTACTGTAGATCTAGCCGAGTAAAATCTTACGGCATTTAGTTGACTAAAACAATTCAGATGACTAAAATATGACTAAAGCTAAATGGCATTTTAGTCAAAAGACTGACTAAAACCAAAATTTGCTGTCAAAATGAACACTGGTCGGCTTACAGTAAAATGTCCTATTAGAAGGGAATTAAAACTGTACCACATAAAAGCCTCATCGGCAACAAAAAACATTTATGTAGGCAAAACTGTCTGTTTGCTGTTAAACGACGCATATTAAAGCTGCTGATTTTGGTCTGTGAAAGTTATTGACCTATGGTAACGAAACTGCTTAAAAGAGAACGATGGGGGTAAGTGTTTATTCCCCCATAGTTCTCTTAAGGGTCACAGGAGGACATATACTAGCGTCCTCCCATGACCCAAAGCTCAGTATACAGCTTGCGGTATACTGAGACTGTCGAGATCCACCCAGCTGCGTGAGTGACAGCTGGCTCTGCCTATCTAGAGGCAGAGCGCCAGCTGCGCCCGCCCCCTCCACTGAGCGCTGGAGGATCGGAGCGGTGGGAATTCCTGCTGGGAGCCGTGACTGAGTCACCGCTCACTGCAGGGAGACGATCGAGAAGTGAGCGAGCGACTGTATGTGTTCACTCACTTCCCAATCTATTGAGCCGACGTGCGAGTCCGATTGTCAAACGTCGACTCGAACTATGAGGAGTGATTTTCACTCCTCATAGTTCTGTATTTCAGCATTTGCAGAAACACATTAGACTTCTGAGCCTGATGACGGGGACCCAACGTGGCCCCGAAAGTACTTGTGATTTTGAATGACCGTTGTCATTAAAATATATTGAATCTACTTTTGGAGTGCTGGTGACATCTTTTGGAATTACACATTAGACTTAGGCCCCATTCACACTGCGCGATATCGCGCAAATTCTTGCATTGAGCAAGCTTGAATCGCAGCAAGATCCGCTCCAAAAAGGGTCCTGCTGTAGCGACACACGACCCTTTGCCCCATTGCAAAGCATTGAAGAGCGATATCGCGCGGTAAATAGCCGCGATATCGCGGGAATTACCGCACGATAAATCGCTCAATGTGAACGGGGCCTAAATCTGAAATGCTCTTGACAACCATCACAGATAACTATTTTTTTTTTACTATGCAAGATAAGAGTGATAAAACAATACCCGTTTCAAGTTTTTCTTCAGCAAACATCGGCTTCTCCTCAAGACCATTTAATGGCTTTTCAGCTTCATCAAGAGCAGCAAATTCGTCAAATCCCTTTGCCTTTGTCTGTAACCAATGGAAAAATGAAGACTTGTGTGTAAGCAATACAAAGGCTGTTATGTAGAACTGGTCAAATCTACTTATAATTTTAATAGTTTACCTGCTGCTCATGGTAAGTTCTCAGAGCTTTCTTCACAGTAGATATCTTTGGAGAACGGATCGGTAAGGTCTTTATTTCGCAGGGTGTAAGCGTACTGAGGTCACCAATGGTTTTGATATTTTTAGCACGGATGAGCTGTCCAAGTCCTCTAGCCCTAGAAAGAAAAATTAATCTTTAAAACATTGCTGGTACAAGGAAGACAAACTTCAGATTTCGCCAAGTTTCTCACCACATATTGGAGGTAATCTGTGGAAGAATGACATCAATGGATGTTGCGCAGTTCATTAGGGCTGGATAGACACTTTCTTTAGGAGATGGCATAGACTCCTTGGTCATTTCGGAAATCTAAAACATTAATGCATTTCAGTTAGCAATTTCAAGCACATAAAACATGAAAACTTGATACCAGTCAAACTTTTCAGCCTTATTCACACTAGAAACGGCCGCCACGTACAGCTCCGTGCACGTCCGCGCATTGGGCAGCTCCCGGGAAGGACAGGTGCTGCGTGAGATTAGTACACAGCTCCTTCTCTATGGGAGTACATGGCCATACGCTCACCTGACATGCATGTCCGTGCGGGTGTCCATACTTGTACGCGGACAGGATGGATCCTGTCTGCGTCCAAGCCGCGACACCCGCAACTGTATGGACGTGGACTTGAGGTGAGCGAAGGGCAGCGTACAGCCGCGTAGTCCCATAGAGGATAGGGGCTGTGTACTAATCACATGAAGCACCTGTCCTTCCCGGGAGCTGCCCGATACGGCCGTGTACGCAGCACGGAGCTGTACATGCTGGCCGTTTCTAGTGTGAATGAGGCCTTATGGATGGGCTTTTAGTACACACAAGATGATGATATCCAGGCTTACCAAACTCTTTTTTGAACTTTTAAATCCAAGAACACGAGACCCAGGAGACACAAATCCTTTGGTTGGAGTAGTGATAATCTAGTGAATTAAAAGGATAGTAAAAAAAAAAAAAAAGCCAGATTACTAAAAATGCAAAGCATACTAGACGCAAAAGTAATAAAAGCATTGTCATATTACCTTCGGCTGAGTACTTGTTAGCATTTTAAGACTTCTTGAGGATGGCGAGTTACTTGAATTGCTTCGGACCACGGGGCTACGGCGATCAATGTCATCTGCCAATCCTTCCTGATATATTGGATCAGCAAACGAAACTCTCCGGATCTGCTTACAGAAAACAAAACTTTAGCTTGTTGATTAAAAAAAGAAAAGAAATGCAAAGTGTTTAATACTTGCAACTTCAAACTGACCCTTAACTCAGACAATCTATGATGCAAAACAAGTACTACTAAATAAAGTAAGCTCATTACGATGGTGGTGCAGGGGAAAAAAAAAAAAGTTAAAAACCGTAGACTTTTACAACAGTGTGAACCTACTTCTATCATTATACACTTAAGTCTACGATTGCAATGCTGGCACACTTCTAGATATAAAAGGTATTCTACATCACCTTGTTAACTGGAGAGGGTGAGTCCATTTCCTGCTGTTGTCTCTTTATCCCTTTCTTTAGGATGCTTGTTGAAGGTGATGCAGACGGAGACCAGCTGAAGCTCCCACTGGGGCTATCATTGGCTAGAGCCATAGATATCAAGCCTTTCAGTTTAGGTGGTGAATCTGTGTTGGACCGTCCTTCACCCAGATCCATTAGCAAATTTTCAGATACCCTTGGAGCGGCACATTTCTCTGCGGCAGTTGTAAGATCTTCGTCCACTTTCGCTCCCTCGGTCAATGTGACCTTATTTGGCAGTATGTCAGCAGATGGAAATATACAGGTTTCTGCATTCTCCTCACAAGTTCTTTGAGCATTTTCCTGCTCAAGGTCAATGTTTCCTTCATCTATATTCAGAGTGTTCACTTCTATTGAGGTCTCAGTCACCGTAACTTCCCCTGATTCCTGACAGACAATGCTTTCTTCAGTCTCCCCGGGAGGGGCAGTGTCCACCTCTGCTTCAGATTCGTCCAGAGTAGCTGGGTCCAACTCCGCATCAGTTGCATCGGGAGTAGCTGGGCCCATCTCAGCATCGGTCGCTTCAGTAGTAGCTGCGCCCCCCTTTGCTTCTTTCTCTACAGAAAATGTGTCCACTTCTGCTTCTTTCTCCTCAGGAGGAGCCATGTTGACCTCTTCATCAGTCTCCCCTACTAAAACGTTTTTCACCTGTGCTTCATTCCCCTCAAAAAGATCTTTGCCCACTTCTGTTTCAGTCATCTCAACCACAGCTTGATCTCCAACTGGTTCAATCAATTCAACAGAAGCTTTTGCTTCAAGCTCCTCAGCTGAAGCTCTCTCCACGTCTGCTTCAGTTTCCTCTGTGGGAGATGACTCCGTTTTTGCAGGAGCATTGTCTACTTCTGTCTCTTCGGTAGGAGCTTTGTCCACCCCTGCTTTATTCTCTTCCTCAAAATCCTGACTTGGTGCAGCAGAGTGGTCTATATTTTCCTTATCTTCAGCCATATTATCCTCATCCACTACTATACTCTGAGCATCTTCTAGCTCGTCCTCTTGATTTGCAAAAGCCTCGTCACTTGCAGACCCTTCAATGGCCTCAATGTCGAAGGTCATGCAGATTTTGGCCTTTTCCACAATATCATTCTGTTTATCTTCTGCACATGGTTCTTCAACACGTTGCTTCTCAACACTCACATCCTCAATGAGTGTATCTCTTTGAATTTCCGTCACTTCTGCAGAAGGTTCCGTTGAGGATTCCATAGCTTCCACAGTTTTTGTCTGAATACAAATTTCCGTTACTTCTTCAGTCTCACTCCTACTTAATGAAGTAAGTGTTTGATCAAGCTCTGACTCTGTGTCCGATTTTATCTCTGTGGCAGAGACTTTGAAAAACGCTTGCTGTCTTGCCAAAACGAGTGGTGTGCTGACAGCACATGGCACAGAGAATGTACAGTTAAACTGCATGTCAGAAGATGAATCGATAGCCTTGTTTTTACCTTCAGCTTCTTCGGATTTGAATTCCGAAAAGGACTTTTCTTGCCTTCCAGAGGACTCGCAACACTCGCAGCTCTTTGACTTTCTGACTCTTCGACTCCTTTTATGGGAGCAGTCAAGCAACTTTAAGGTACTTTCAGAATTTGTAAAAACATCAGACACTGCGGTGGAATAGTCACCAGCGGAAGGCTCAGTCATTAAGCTTTGCATCGTGCTGCCGAGTTTGGAAAGTTCATACGTTTTGTTGATTTCCACGGTAGCGCCTAACTCTGTATTTCTGCCATCCCCTAACCGCGGAAACTTTGGCCGTGATGCAGAATTGTCTGTAACCGTCGTGTAGGTTTCTCCATCTACTTCTAGCTGAGAATCCACCTCGGAGGCAACATCAGAAGCACACTCGCTCTCTTTTTCAGTTTGCACTGTGTCAAAAGTAGCTGCATCTTCAATCTGTGACTCATGAGAGCTTTCAGCTTTTTCCGATTCATTCAGTTTCCTAGGCCTACCTCGTTTCCGCTTGCCTGCTGCTTCACGAGGTTCTGAATTATCAGACTCTGAATGCTCACTGCCAGTCTGAAGCGCCTGCAGAGACCTTCGGGTCTGATATCTAGAGCTGCTTCTTGTCATCTTTTCGCTGGAGACTGGAAGTTCCTCATCTTTAACATCAGTGACATTTGATGTTTTATCTTGTGAACTTTCTTGAGAATTTCTGGCAAAATCAGGATCATTTTTTTCTTCAGCTTTCACAAGCTTTTCGCTTTGTTGCTTAACCGGTGTTTCCTTAGACGGAGGAGTCTTCTTCAAACCAATTTTTTCCTCTTCTTTGGTCTGGGGAATTTCTGTTGCAGCCTCCTTTTTAACAACTTCTATTATTTCTGAATGTCTCCTGGAAGAGCGCCGCAACACAATTTGATTACCAGACGATTTCTGAGGCAGTGGAGTGTCTGCTTTTACTGTGGTGTTAGTCTCTGGTGGAGTATTTTCTTTAAAATCTATGCTATTCTCTGGTGCTGAATTTTCTTTATCATGGTCCACAACATGTTCTTCTTGAGGAGGAGGCTGAGATTCTGGCACACACTCGCTGTCCTCTATTTCCTCTGCAGGAACAGCGCCCGATTCACTGTCACATTTTAGATTAGGCTGTTCAGGTGCTTCAAGTTTCTTCTCCGTCTCTTTAGCTTGACGTAAAGCTCTTGACCCCCTTCTGGATGCATGTCTTGATTTATCATTTTGCGATTCAGTCTCTGAATTTTTTTTATTCTCTCTCTCATTACGCTTTTGTTTTGTATCTTTAACTTCTTGACTATCTGGCACTAAAATAACTTCTTTTGCTTTTGAGAACTTTGCTTCTGACAAAGGACTAAAAGAGCGATTCTCAGAGCTGTCAAACTTTTCTAAGGTAATAAAGGACTGTCTCCTGCTAACGGGTTGTGGTGGAGTGCCTAACACCATATCCGAAGAGGTAGAACTGTTGCTGATATTTGATGTGTTCTGTGCTTCTTTGGAAGTGTTTAACACAGCAGAGTCATTCAAAGATTTTGATCCTTCAACTTTAGCATCTAACATTTCAACATCTGCAACTTCTTTCGCTTCAGTTTCCTCTTCCTTAACTTCTCTTCCATGTGGAGTATGTTCTTCCTGAAAAACCAACAAAAAAAAAAAAACACACACTGATAAAGCTTATAAGGATTAAAAAAAAACTTGCGCCGGAAACAAGTGACCTAACAAGCGAGCACTAATTCAAACAAATGAAGGAATAACTAAAAAAATATTAACAATGTGCCACGCTATAACGCTCTATACCATGTGTCAAATAAATTTGAGTTCATATGTGATCAAATTACAATCAAACAGCTCAATTAATGACATGGTCTCACAATCCAGTGTTGTGTGAGATAATGTCATTAATTGATCTGTTCGTGATTGTAATTTGATCACATTTACATTTGTGACACATATGATCTAATAGATCTAGTGCCTCTCTTTGCATGTACATAGATGGAATAGGACACAACCAACTAAAACCTCAATTTACTAAGCTATAATGCATGTATTATTCACTATAGAGAATGATTTTCTGAGGTCCTTGCTAAAAGTATTGGATGTTATGAGAAATCACAAAATTTGGTATATTGAACCTTCTGTAAAGGCCATGCCACGCAGTAGTAATACACCGCTCGTAATTCATGCTGACAGAACAGTTTACTGCTGCAGTCTACAAAAGCCAAGGGTGCTTCTCCCCAACATTTGCCCATCCTGCAATGCGACCTCATTGCTCCCTGGTGGCCTGTACTTAACCACATGACTAAATTAAAATATCAAAACTACGCTATCAACAATAACTGTAAAAATTACGATTTTTACTAGTATAATGATTATTACTCGAAGCTAAAATGGCAAATTGTTTACAATAAGAAACACAGTGGTGTGCGCCTAACCATATAAGCCATTATCAAAATATTAAGTGTGGCAGGACATGTGTCACAAACTGATACCTTGGATTCAGCAGCATCTTTATTATTAACCATTACTTCTGGCTTGTCCCTAATAATGAAAAGAAAAAATAGAAGTCAAATTTGGAGATGAGTTTTAAATGTAACCAATAGTGTATTAGAAAATGGTCTCTACTTACAATGAATTGTCTTGGCTCTGACTATATTGTGTGAACAAAGCGGTATCCTGCGATGCATCTAAATTGTTGTACATGGTCGGTATGTCCACCCTGGTGACATTGAAGGGAGGTTCAGGCAACAGTGTTCAACAAATTTACATGAAAACTTTATAAATATCGTATGCCATGTTTCCATCACACCTATTAGCATGCTTTGCTAAGCTTTATGAAAAAGGGAAAGAAAAGACTTGCAATAGGCAAACTCATAGCAGTAGTAAATATTAGTCAAATATTTAAAACAAACCACACTAAAATCTAGACGAGACACACTTTTAGCAAAAGGTTGTTTTTTTTACATTTCTTTACTTAACAGGAACCTTGATAACACAGTAGGGACCTAGGAAACAAGATACTTTTAGTGAGGGCAAATGCCCATAGCAAGAGACACGGGGTAAATGGCAAGCAGTGATTTCAGGGTCTTTGCCAAAAATAAATACTCTAAAAACACTCTAGAATTAACACAAAAAAAAACAAAAAACACAAAAATAGCAAAAGACTGTCACTTATTGCAATTGTGACTGTTCAGAACCAGCCTGGGAACAGGGTCCAGTAACTATGTAACCTGGCTAGCTGTTGTGGTGCATTCACAGAATCTAGTGTGACATGACAGTGCAAAAAAGGTCTCATGTAGCGCAAGTACCGCTCAGGCATGCCTCTTCTGTGACTGAGTCATGTGCAGCTTTGGCTGACACAAAGGAAAGCCTACATTTTTTATTAATAAGGACGTCACTGTGCTTGTTCTTTCCAATACAAGATGTCTTTAAACCAGCAGATCCTCCCCCCTTATGACATTAAGCTAAACTGGGCTCTACAGCAGAGGTCCAGGGGGTTTAACCCCTTCGTGACTGACGACGTACAGTGTACGTCGCCAGCATCGAGTCATGAAGGGGTTAACCACTTGAGGGAACTGGCCTTGTTTGGCTTTACTGTGTCTAATCCTCCTGTAGCTTGTTAAAGATGTCACCAGCACACCATATTGTAGTGAACATGTCTGTTTGACGGTTAATGTCCTAACATTTCGGGGCCACTCAGGGTCCCCTTCATCAGACTTGAAATGACAAAAGACTTTCGTCAGCTCAAGCCTGATAAAGGGGACCCTGTGTGGTCCCGAAACATTATTTGTTATGACATGAAGCATCAATAAACGGACGTGTTCTTCACGTCGATATTGTGTGCTGGTGAGTTTCATTATTGGCGGCGCCATCCGCGGTCATTTTGAGCACCCACACCGACAGGGATACCCAGTAAAGAGTGCAGCAGGAGTCTGGAATATATGTTCCAATTCTCCTGTACAAGGCAGTATACATGCAGGCCATGTATATGAAAAAAATCTGAAACTTTCAAAAAATGACAGTACCAACATCACCCCCAAATACTACTTCATGTAAAACAACCTAAAAAAAAAAAGGCAGCTTATAGCAGAAAGTCAGAAAAGCTAAATGTAATACAATTCTAACCGCAATGTTTTGTGGTAAAAGCGTTAGAAAGTCTGAATACCAAACTGTCATGTTTACTTTTATTTCTATACCAAACTAACCAACCTTTTGGTACGGAGGACTTCCTTCTGATGTTCTGTGAGAACTCTCTCTTTAGTTGTTTCAGGAGGGATAAATACAAAATCCATAGACTGTTCCTCTTCTAAGATTTTCTTTTTAGTATTCGGAGAAGAAAATTCCAGCTTCAACTATTAAAAGTAATAAAAAAACAAATACAGCCTGATATAGCATCATAGGTGCAAAGTGTAAAAAAACAAGTGCTGGGTTTACCACACAAGCTAAATTCACTAAGTTTTATCACAGGGTAAAGATATTTGTGTCATGTGCTTTCCAGCCAATCAGCATCGAGCCGGCCAAACAGCATGGAGACGGCTTCCCGGGCAATCAAGAAGCCAGGCAGTCGGCTCAATGCTAGCAGAAGTACCGGTATTGGCAAGTACTGCAAAAAAAAATAAATAAAAAAATGTACTCGTATTCGATTCCGAAAAACGGGTATCAGTGAATCCCTAATACACACACTATTGTGAAAATAAAAATTTGGGGCAGCCAGCTATATAGCAATTTTAAAGTCAGGAAAAAAAAATAAAACCATCCAAGGACATAATTATGAAGAGGCAGAGTTCAAATGTCAACCATATTTTTGGACACTGAAGATGAAACATGTCAAAGTGCCATCTGCATCTATTCTGCGAAGTATTGTACTGTTCACTTACATCTAGCCCTAAATAAGCATTTCATGGCTGTAAGCACTAGGTGGGAACAGCATCTTGGCATTCTTAAACTTATTTTTGGTCTGTCAGGAGAAGAGAGCTTGAGCAGTCTAAAAGATGCATGCCTTACCTTGGCCTGTGGCGGTTTTGTTGGGGTGCCTTTATTTTTATGTTCTTCTGCTCTGGCCAGTAAGGAGTCTCTTTTCCCTGTGGATTTAACCTCAATCCCGCTAATCTTTGCCCCCAGCTCAGAGTTGTCCATCTACATAAAAAAAAGCATTATAATCTTACTGCATGGAATACCATTTTAAGCTGGGGGGACAATGTGTTTTCCTTTACAGAGCCCCCAAAATGCTAAAGGACACTAATACAAATATAAGACTCACATTATCAGAATAGGGGCCACTTGACTCCCCTGCTGTAGTAGTAAAGGTGAAGCCAGGTAATAGGAGGGGTACTTTCACTTTAACTTGACTTAAAACAGGTCTAAAAAAAAATTAAAAAATAAAACATGTTATAAGAGTGAAGTTTCAACAAATTATATATTATATTCAAATTTAATCAGAAGACACTTCATTCATACCAGCATCACTCCTCACAATATTTGACAGGTACTCCCAAGCACAACTATGACTGTAACCCCTAATGCTAAGTCCTGCCTAGAATGTCCTGACTGGTCACAAAGCTGCATTACCAGGCATATGACACATTGTGAGACTTTAGATTCAAACGTAAACTGCACTGTGGCAGGCCCAACACAAATGACTAAAATCTTTAGTTAACGTGACCCTTGTAAAAAAAAAAAAAAAAAAAAAAATGGAATACATCTGCAAATGGAGTCTATACACTTGCCTGGTCCAGCACCAGTTTCAGAATCTTCTCCCTACGGCAGAGCTGAACTGCCTGAGAAATTCCCATGTCCGACACACTTCTTGGTGTGTAAAGTTGGCCCCTCACAGTGTTTCCATCCATAGGGCCCTATGACACTATGGCAGGCATGTGACACACCTGTAACTGTATTGGATGCAAAGATTCTTCAAGAGGTGTTGCTCTGCAGCAGAGTGAAGATTCCCAAACAAGCGCTGCAACAACCATCAGTCTATTCCTTCCACGGCACCATTTGTTGGAAAATGTCAGCTAGAGGGTCACTTCACACATTGTGCAACATGTTTTTAGTAACATCAGATAAACATTTTTCAATAAATAAACCAGAATGACCTCACTAAAATGCATTAGCCTCTGAAATGGTTCAACTTAAAGTGACATTAAACCCTCAGATTTTTGAACATAAACCAATACTGTAATCTGCGCCTTTCTGTAATCCATGGTAGTTCCCCTTCTCTTTGCTGCTCCTCCTTTTAAATCCTCATGTCTTCCCATGCTGGGGGAGAACTCCCCTTTACAGCCGAGTGCCTCTTCCTTTAGTGCTGGCTCAGGTTGTGAACCTGCACACAGACACCATGTATCCATTCCAGAGACAAGGCAGTTTACTGCAAAACGGAAGTTCTGCCCAGCATGAGAACAGATACAGATTTAAAAGGAAGAGCAGCAAAGAGAAGGGAAACAACCATGGACTACAGTAAGGCACACATTACAGTATTGTTTTATGTTAAACAATCTGAGGGTTTAATGTCACTTTAAAGAGGAACTTTACCCAGATCTTTCAAATGACAAAGGCACTTTTAGAAATGTTTAGTAATGACAATCTACAAAACATATCCTTCTAGATAATTCCCGGCTTTGTATTCTTTGCCTCCCCAGTCTTCTGACAGTGGCCATTTTAACTAAGGGCAGGTTACTAGATCTCCCTTTACTTCCTAGAACTTTGGCACATGTGACTAGGACATGTGACTATGCACATCATCTCACATCTCAGAGGAGGAAAATGCCTTTTCATGAGATCTCATGAGATTAGATGAGATTTCCCAGCAATGCTCTGCTAATGTAACCTTCCCAGGATGCAATGCTTGGGCACGATTACATCATTTGTACCGAAGAGGGCCAGCAAGTGGAAAAAAAAAAAATTGTAAGTAAAAGGAATATGTTTGTTTAGCTAATGAATGTAAGATGATTTTATATCAGCATGCAGAGCTGTATGCTGATGTGATCTTTAGTCAAAGGGGGTAAAAGTCCACCTTAAGCGATACTTGTGTTATTGAGCAGGAAGCAGTGTTATTGAGCATGAAGCAGCAGCAGAAGTTCAGCACATCATGGCAGTTCTGTCCAGTTTTTGATTTGCTACAATAATCTAGCAGTTGTTGGTTTACAAAAAAAATAATAATTTAAAAAAATTAAATTGCAGCACTCCAAATTCTTAAAACACTTACTTGAGTTCATCTGGGTAAACCAATGTAGCTGCCTTAGCAAATGACCCATTCCAGAATTGTGCAGCCTGTGTGCGGAACTGCTTGTTCTTGTGTAGAAATATGGCACAGAGCAAAGGCGAGAGGGCTTCAAGCAGATCGTTGTCATAGGATCCGGTGTATCGAGAGCCCAAACAGAAGAGCACCTCACCAAGAAGTTTATCCAACTAGAAAGAAAGACACCAATAAGTACAGCAGTGACAATACATTGGGGCCTCCTATAAAATAATGAATGACAAACATACCAGTCTGACAGAGAAACAAGATTACTTTACCTTACTGCTAAGAGAACTGTACACTTTCGGAGAGTCAGACCTATAAAAAAAAAACAAAGAAAGGTTAAACAAAAAATATTTCAGCAGATCATTACTATGCAGCAATGGCTCATCCAATTTACTTTATTTTGAAAAGCAAATATTGATGAGTGATGGCTAACTGGACTAATGCAAAATAAAAGAAGCCGGGGACTTTTGCAACATGAACCAGAAATCTTGCTGAATAAGCAAGCTGTCAAATGACGAAGGAAAAAAAAAAAAAAACTAAGTAAAAGTCTACAGCTACTTGAAGTTGATCATTCAGCATCTGAAGATATCTGCACAGACCACAGCTGAATCTACAAGCATTTGGTGTGAATCTTGGAGGGGAAACCTTGCTTCTAGAAGTTCTAGAAGCAAGGTACGGAACCCAGATGCCGGCATCGGCCAGAGGACACAGCGGGGCTCGTAGGGACAAGGTAAGTGACGCTACATTGTAATCCGGAGGCTCGGGGTTACCGCTTTTGGTACTGAAATTTAACCTCGGGATTATTGCCAGGGAGGTTAAACACCCAGAATAAATTGTCAACTGTGTCCATCAGGATCAAGCTCAGGTTGGAGGGGGGGGGCGGCCACAGCAGTGGAAGACAGGTCATGTCTTCTCTAAATGACGTACAATTTTCTACTGCAATTACTGCATTTTTCTACTTTCGTGTACAACTGTTAAAACTATGTTTTAATAAATAGCAAACATTTCTGATCACAAGTAGGGATGCACTGATAGCGGTATCGAGTGCCGATATTTTTTATCCGGTACTCGCCGATACCGAAAGTCCCATTAAGGAAGCCAGACTGCATGTAATGACTCACCACCTGGCTTCCCGATTAGCCAAGAAGCTGGGAGGCGTCTAAAAACTTGCCACCCGGCTTCCAGATTAGCAAGGAAGCCGCCCCCATGGTTCTCGTCACTAAGTGACGAGTAAGCATGGAGCCGGCTTCCTGACTGACCGGGAAGCCGGCTCCATGCTCCCTCGTCATGAAGCCGGCTTCCCGGCCAATCAGAGAGCCGGGCACGGATGCCAGATTTCTGATGGGCCGGGAAGCGAGCTCCATTCTCCCTCGTCACAAGTGACGAGGGAGCATGGAGCCGGCTTCCTGGCCAATCAGGAAGCCAGGCAGCATGTAATGACACTCTGCTCAGCTTTCTGATACAGGAATTATCGGGCTAGGCATCGGAGCATTTGGGCGAGTACGAGTAATCGCCCAAATACTCAGCATTGGCAACAATACCGACACTAGTATCAATTGAATTGTTGCAGATAACATTTTGAAGAAGAGAACACAAACCAACAATCAGATTCAGAAGCACAAAATATCTTCAGCACTCACTTTGTCTTCATATAGAACACAGCAAGAGGCTTTGTCACTAGTGAAAATACTGTCCTCAGTATGGAAGGTAAATTGACATGGCTGATGCAGGCAGATAGAGCATTCAGAATGGAAGATCCTATGGAAGACAGTGGCGAAGCATTTGCCTCAATCTGGGACTGATCAGAAGACAAAGTGTGAAATTCTTCAGTCACTCTCACAAGCAATTTCATTAAAGAATTGAGATTTCCCAGAGGCCCTTTCTTCTTCTTCGCCCAATCAGTTGGAGTATGAGGAGCTGAAATCAGACAAGATTACATTTTTATAGACAGATAGTTCCGTGTTCAAGAAACAACCCGGGGAACACATCCAATCTACAGCAGTTCTTTACCCTCTTATGAAGGCCACTGCATGAAGTTGGCTCTCACCTTTTGTTTTGGGCTGGTATTTTGTGCTATAAGGAGAGAAGTTGACACAATCCACAATAACTGTAAAAACTTGAACAATCCTTTCCAGCAGGGAGAAACTCTGAAAAAACAGGATAGCCTGATCAGTGGTTACATCATTTTTTTAACCCATACTACATAGAAAATACAAATCACACACCAATTATATAGAAAGCAGTCTATAATACACTGCAATATGGCTGAGTGCCAATACAAATTGATAAGATCAATACATTAGACTTACCATTGGCTGATTGCCAATTGCTGAAAGTATTCGAGCGCAGAGTTCCTCAGAGCACACATTCTCATCAGTTGTAGTAACCAATGAAGAACAGCGGGCGAAGGTTTTATACAACTCGGACCAGGTGCGCATCAAAGTCTTCAAAGTGGGCTGCAATAGCAATCAGCAAGACAGTTTACTTTCTGTATTATGACAAGTGTACGAGCTGATGTATTCACTTGATAAAGATGCATTGCACCACTCACCTGTGGAAAGGAGGAGACTGGGAAGATGTGACTTATAGGAAGCATTAACGCACTGTGCATGGCACTAAAGTTGTGTTCTAGGGCATCACCTTGGTTAACCTCATTAGTCTGAAAGAAAACATTTAATTACTGGTACTTTTATAAACACCAATTTACATAGTTGCACATTCACATCAGCCCGTCCTCAAGGAGCTTACAATCTAAGGTCCCCAACTCACATGCATACATACATACATACATACATACATACATACATACAAGGGCCAATTTTACTAGCAGACACTTATCCTAACAGCAAGCACAGGGGGAACATGCAAACTTCTTGCACATAGTAACCTGGCAAGGACTCGAACTTCTGCAAAGCAGAAGTGCTAACAACTATGCCATGGAGTTGTTCAGTACAAATGAGCAGTAAATGCACTTTGTCACATATTTAAAAAGGCTGCATATACAGAAAAATACCTCTTTGATTTGCCATTGAGCTTATAACCAACTTATAACAAACTGCCACCACAGTTTATCTGCGGCACTGAAATCCCAAACAGTGTTATCAGCTCAGCCTGAGTGATGCACCGATACCATTTTTCCAAGTACCGTTACTTGTTCAAGTACTCACAGACACAAGTACTGATACATTTCTGTTTATTGTCATGCGACCGTTTTTCTAAAACAATACAGACTAATGATTTCAGGACAGTGGTGGAGCGCCAGAGCCAGGTCCCAACTGCAACCTTGGTAGCTCTCGTGAAAATGCCAAGTATCGGCGCTGGTATCTGGACATCCCTAAAGAAAAGCCAAGGATACAAAACACTGCTTTCTTCCAAGATAGCTACATACACTATATTAATTTCAGTCACTATGTCCATGCGGAAGATTTTGCATTTAGCCTGCAGAAGCCCCTTTAAAAAGAATAACGCCCCTACGTGTAAATCAGTTGAGAACCAGGTTAGCCGGTACAGGTAATACTCACCTCAATGTCATTATCCTGTAGCTTAATATTCTAAAAATATAAAGCAGGCTAGTACTGATCTGACTTCCAGCCTGAACACTACAAGTATGATGTCCAGACATATAACAATACAACTAGGTAAAGCACATCTCTAATCCAGGCAAAGTAGTGAAGTAATGTGGACGCATGTATACGCCAGAAATACTACATGCATTTTACCTCAACACCAAAGCCAGCAGTAAACACACTGACCGCAAAAGGAGATCACCATGAGATTTTACCTGATTAACTTTTGCAGTCAGCGGATGAATCAGAATACTCCACATGCGCCAAAGCCGTTCTTTGTTTTCTACGAACTTGGCACCTTGATTGAGTACACCAAGAACAGATTCACTAAATGCCAGGGGTGAGGTAGGACCCGAGAAGACGTAACTTACAAGATTTTCAAGGTTTACAAAGAATCTGTAAAGTTGAGGGGAAAAAAAAAAAACAAGAAATCACTAATAAAATAAAATCCCATATTGATAAATTGCCATGTATAGTTTAATGTAATGCACAAGGAGCTACAATAACTACCTTTCCTCTGTAATGCCATGTTCCAAAATTCCAGCATGAAAGTGAAGTTGAATTAGAAAGAGAGCTGGAGTTCCCTAGATAAATAAACAGATACTGAACACTGATGATATGTCACACATGAAGCTTCAACAGGTCTATACAAAAGCCTACAATTAATGCACACTACAGGAGCCATATAGCACCCTTTTTAAAGACCAATACATCTAAAATACTATAGGTTTCACCAACTATTAAAAGCAGAACCAAGTCTGCAAATACTCTCTTCCAAGAGCTCCATTGTAAGTGCCAACATCTTCTACCCAGCTTCTTCCTGTTTGCAATTTTTTATTTTATTTTAAGGCTACAGTTCACTTTAAGGGCCTATTGTCACCAGCAGGCCTCACTGAAATTGCAACCACTGGTGTGCAGTGAGAGCTAACAAAACTATCCATCTGATCTCAGTAGCGCCTAAAACTGACGTCAGCGCACAAGCCCATATAGAACCTATCACCTCCTAGAAAGAGGTAGAATTCATAGTTCACTTTAGATAAAGATTTAGCACCCAAGGTTGAGGCAATGCGGTCAGTCTCCTAATGTTAGGCAGTAGGTATATCCCAAAAAGTCTTGTGTGACCAATAAACCATACGTTAAATATGTTCCATCAAGTGTGTCTGTGAAGGTTCTCATTCATCCAGGTCATGGTATATCTGCAAAAAAGAAGTGAAGGCAACTGGAAAAAAATAAGTCAAGCTGGCTTGACTTATTTTTTTACAGATGTTCCATCAAGTGTGTAAAACTGCAAAAACCCAGATGCTGGCCAATTTACAGTACAGTTTTTCCTTGGCCCCTAAACAATCTATCCATGAAAAGAATGATCCATTTTAATTGGGGAGCCAGTCAACTCAAAATATGTAGACAGAAATGGTAGTTTAATGCTCACTCAAACTTATCCCTAGACAAAGTCAAACTATAATAGGTAGCCATCAGTCACAGATAAATGTTGGATACCGTGTTTCCCGAAAATAAGACACTGTCTATTTTTTTGGCTCAAAAAAAAAAAAACACTACAGGTGAAACTCGAATAATTAGAATATCGTGCAAAGTTATTAATAGGGTGATCAGGGCAATCAGGGGTGCCATACCTTTCCAAGAGAAATTTGGTAACCAGAAAAAGCGAAGCGCAGTTTCACAATGGATTCCTCACAGGCGGAGTGCATTTGGTATCACTCCGCCTGTGACAGGAGTCGGCGCTATAAAGGAAACATCAGCTTTTGCGGCTCTGCTCCCTGTGCTGCCGCCTCGCTTCCTCTAGTGCAGGCTTCATTGGCACCGCTGATTCTCTGCCGCGGCTCTTCAGGTTCCCCCTTACGCCACCACCAGCCCTGGCAATGGTCACAACTAGGTCTTATTTTCGGGGTAGGTCTTATATTTTAAGAATTCCCAAAAATAGTACTAGGTCTTATTTTCGGGGTAGGTCTTATTTTCAGGAAAACAGGGTATATATCTCCCATCATAAAAAGGTATATACTCTCCTTGCCCAATTGATCCCTTTACAGATGTGCTACATAAAGTTACCTGAAAACATGACTGAACCCCGATAAAATATGAAACCATGACGTAGCATTTTAGATTTAGAGGTCTTTAACCAGAAGTGCAACAGATTCAGCCTAAGAGCTCAACGGTGCAGTGGCAAACATCTTATACTAAGTCTTACATTAAGAAGATCCATATTTGCCACCTGATATGCTGCAGATCCCAGTACTTTTTGAGGTAGTCCTTTCACTGTGCACTCCAGAAGACTCTAAAGAAAGCAAATCCTCATGAAAATACAAACACTTCCAGTACTTAAATATCCGCTACTCTACACAACCATTACTATGTACTTACCAAGCACTTTTCCACCTGAAGAGAATTTGAAGCGATTATATTTTTCAGCGCTTGCAGCAAGCAGGTCAACACCTCGGAGCCTTGTCGTTCCTTCTTGTTACCTAAAAATAATGAATATGAATGCAAATATAAGGCTAGATTCACACAGTTGTTTATACACTATAGACACGTAAAATGGGCCCTCAAAGCGGACACCTACAATTTCGAACTTCTCAGGTCAACAGACCTAGAGCTCAAGTTTCCCCAATAGTGTTATTTCAAATATGTACATTAATAAAAATGAGGTATCCCTCTACATAGTCTATAGCAGTGGTTCTCAACCTGTGTAACCTCAGGACTCACATTTGTCCTTGGCAATTAAGTCGTGACCCAAGTCGCACTGCAATGGAAGGCACAGCATTAGGGTACCGCGCGCTCCGGTGCGGGAGTAAGAACTTGGGGTGGGAGGTGCATTTGGGGGTACCATTCAAATGAATGGCAATGCAACACACCTCCAACACCAGAATGCACGGTAGGTGGGATTACATGGTACTATGCGATTAACACACTGTACTAGTGTGAACGGGCCCTCAAAAACACTGACATACATAGAGAACCACAGAGAGTCTCACACACTCCAAAAAATGTTAACGTTTTTTCCATTTTTTAAGGTCCACCCACTCTCCCTACCTTACGAGAACTGGAGTGGATCCTAAGCCTGGAGTCCAGTGTGGGCTGCTGTGCTGTGACGGATCTCCATCCATATGTGCATTGCTTGTACAGTTCCCTTGCACACCCTGTAGGAGGTGCCGGGAGGCAGAATTTGATGTCACTCCAGTCCAGGCACCTCTATAGGATTTGTAAGGTACCTGCAAGCAATGCACATATGGATGGCGCTCCCTCGCTGCCGTAACCCCAGCAAACCTCAAGCTAACACTCGGCGCCGGGCAGCATATTTTGAATGGCTGCTTGGCGCGAGAACTGACACTGCTGCGTTAGGGGGAGCCCCTCACCTAGAAAAGTGGAAGGCACGCGGCATCCCACTGAACACAGTGTTGCGACCCACTTTTGGATCACGACCCACCAATTGAGAACCAAGTTTTTATAGAAACTGGGTTTATATTGAAAAGGTCAGCAACAGCCACAAGAAATGTGGAAGGGGATTGGGAACAGATGTACCAGGAAAATTCACAATATATCCTGATTATCCACTCCCTCTAGCCGCAAATTTCACTATGTATAGTCCCTTCAATAAAACATGATCTTAGACTGAAGAACCACGAGCACTTTACCTGTCTCCATAGCTCCCTTTACAAATTCTATCATGTCTTTCCACACTGCATAAAGCACAGCGCCTATTTAAAAAAAAAAAAAAGGTCACAATTTGATTTGTATCATGCTACGTTCACTGGTGAGGCTGACTACCTTATGCACATTTTACCTGATGCACTGCTTCCAATGGTAATAAATCCGTCTTGTACAGCATTCAGCAAAGTACTGGCATGTTTACTGAAGAAAGAGGAGCTGCTGATCAATGGATGCTGAAGAGGCTCTGTAGAACAGTATAACAGTATTGACTATGATTATCAACATATTCTTAAAACACTACAATGTGAAACAGAGGAAAACATAACATACCTAAACTGAGCACAAGCTTGTGCTTACTGGCAAACTGCACAACTTCTGGACCCAAGAGGAAATGAAGCATCATCTCTATGCCCAGAAGATGAACAGATGGAAATGCTACAGATGCCAAGAGACTGGAGTTCAGGTTCATTTTTGGAGTGACTGGACTGCCAAATGGTAAAGTCCCTGTAAGTCAAAAAGCATAAATCACACTAGTTAGTCATATATTGTAATGTTCAAAAGTTTCTGCCTTTAAATCTAAACCTTGGGATTGCCTTAAGTTCCAGCATTCCTATCGGACAAAGCACACACAAGGCAGGCCACATTATGCTTAAAGTAAATCTGTGAGGAAAAAAAAAAATTTGGGATCTTTCATTGAGCACTTTGTTTTCAAAGGCACGGGCTCCAGACAGGCCCAGGCTGTTAATCTTGATAAAATAGAAAAAGCCAGCACCCCATGATGAGCCTTGGTTGTTGAACGCTAAAAGAAAAAAAAAAGACAAAGTGCCAAAAACGTGTTCACTAGTTGGCACTCATTGTCATTTGTTTTTTGGAGGCCCCAACAAATAACAGGCTCATTATGGGGCGATGGCTTTTTCTATTCTATGAGCGGTTTTCATTGGTGGCCATGCACTGAATATCAGTGTTCAGGTCAGGTACTGCATGAATTTGTCTATAGTTTTTCTTAATCCTGGTCTCAGTAGTTAATAATCTTGAACAAGCATGCAAGATGGAAGTTCATCATTTTAGACTTCAGTGGATGTATGCATGTTTAAGGTTAATGACCCTCTACCTGAAGTAATTTATCAAGGTGCCATTTGTCCTTACAGGTTCACTTAAACCTGTATGCTCTTACAACTTTTGTACTCCAAAGATGCAGGGCAAGACATGCAGCAACACACATTACAGTTGTTAATATAAAGTACAGTCAAAAGTTAAGACACCTGACCATCACACCTGTATAAGCATTAATAGGCAGTTGCCCCCTTCATCCTGATTTTGGAGTGCATCTGTGGAAATGTATGCTTATTCAGCCAAAAGAGCATATGGTACTAATGTAGGATGAGAAAACCCAGCTCACAATCAGCATTCCAAGTCATCCCAAAGGGTGTTCAGTAGGGTTGAGAGGTCAGAACCCTGTTCAGGCCACACCAGTTCCTCATCAAACCATGCCATATCAAATCTTTATGGAGCTGGCATTGTGCTTCGCAAAAGTTAGCAGCAAGCTATTGTCTAAAATATGTATGATATTGCAGCATAGGTGGCAATAAAAGACCTCCCTGGTGTCTGCTGAAGCCCCCAGTAAGAGGAAGGATTTCAAGGTCCTTCTTTCCCAGCAATTCCAGGTCCATTATCTGCATAATGTGGGTGAAACAATAGGTCATGGGGTATTTTCTTGCTGAAGGGGTGTCTAGTACAAAATACTGAAATCGGCCAGAAATGTAGACCACCAATACAATAAAAGTACTATGTTGAATTTGTCACCTGACAGCAAATGCTCTAAAGTATCAATGGCTGTGCAGGAGTTTATTTACACCCATCTGGTACCCCGTTTTGTGCAAAGAAAAAGAACATTTGCACTCTCAACCAAAAATAAATGTCTCCCGGAATCCATCTTTATTTTAATGGATGCATGGCACCTTATTTCAGGCAATGCACAACAATTACGTGCAAAAGCGTCAATAATTTCTACAACAGCAGAAAGAGTGGCTCGAGCATCCTTGACCAAATGGCAATCAAGCATCGCACAGTACCTTTCTGTAAGGGTGTAGAGGCAGTGGTAACCAGGTTAGCAGACCGCAGTTGATGTGCCTGGGGTGAAGCTGCATCTACACATAAAGCACTTTGAATCAACGGTAAACAAACCTGCAGACAAACAAATAGGCTTCAGAATTGTCATTGATACCAAAACATAAGGTGGTATCTCATCTTCAATTGGAGTAAAGCATTAGACACATGGACATAATTGTTTTTGTTTTTTTTCAAAGGAGCGGATATTCAAAAACAAAACAAAAAATAATCAATGTAGAGGGATGCAGTAATACCTGTTCAAAGTGAACTGGCAGCTGAGATCCAAGACGCATCAAGAGATACCACCACACTTCTACTTTAGTCAGAGCCAGAGCTTCCGTTCTAACATTGATAGAACTCAAGGGCTGCATTAGAAGTTTCAGTCTCTTTGAGCTGCACAAGATCTCTGAGGACACAGAAGGTCATTGCTTGTTAAGGACTAGATTTATTGGTGTCTCTACGCTTATACTGTATCTATATACAATATCTATAAACGCCAACCTAAACTGCAAACTAATGTTGGTACGGTTAAAAAAAAATATTAAAAGATAAAATTGAAATTTCTCAAAAAGACATCCAAACATCTCTAAGATCACATCTATAATTTTCTACTGTAGGCCAAAAATTAAAAGCGCAGCCCACTGACACAAATAAGCAATTGTCTAAAGCTGGCCACACACCTATAGATTATCTGCAGACTTTCTATGGTCAGATGGAAAAAGTGCAACAGATTCCTCCATCTACACTAAACTGTGTGGATGGAGGAATCTCCCACTGGGCCAAGCTCCAGTATCTTGCTAGTCGGCACCGGTCAAAATACCCCAACAATCTGATTGGATGCAGGCATTGTTCTGGTATTTTGAGAGCCATCGGGACCGACTAGCAAGATACTGAAGCTTGGCCCAGTGGGAGATTCCCCCATCCACACAGTTTAGCGTAGATGGAGGAATCTGTTGCACTTTTTCCATCTGACCATAGAACATCTGCAGATAATCTATAGGTGTATGGCCAGCTTAAAGCTAACAAAACTATGTTCAAGGCCTGAAAGATTTACATTATTCTAAAAATAAGTGCTGAACATTTTCTGGGTAATATGAATAAGCCACATAAGAGGTAAAAAGGAGCAAAACAAACATACACCAACATTGCTTATTTAAAGCACAGCCATAAACAAGTAAAACATCAGCAGAATATTGAGATATACAAAATGATGTACCAGGGTTTAGTGCAAAGTTATCAATGAGACTTTTCCAGGCAATAAATGCTATCTTCTTGATTGCAGGGGATCCATTACGAAAACCTAACTCTTCAAGCTGTAGCAAGGAATTAATGAAGCTGCCACTGCGATGTAATGTCTGGAAAGGCATCAAATCATCAGTGAGAAAATAGGCAACGACCCACAAAATCATATATAATCTTATGGATACTGCCGGTTACCTTGCCAAGCAGCTTGACAAACAAAGGCCACAATTTCAAAACATAGGTCTCATATTTGGAACTAAATAGCTTGTTGAGTTCTCCAATAATTTTCTAAGGAAGAAGAGGAAAAGATTTTAATTTTGCAACTTGAGTTAAATGATCGGTAATCATACATTCAACCAATTTAATCGCCAATGTACATTATACATTAAACAAAATTAGCCGGAATTCCAGTAGAAGTAAACTTTCATCTCCAAAGTACAAACATTGATACAAGGTAAAGGCAGGCACCTACACCCTGCTTTAATAACCCCACCCCCCCTATATTAATAGAAACATACGAGGTCAGAGAAAACATTTAGACAGTCACAGAAGTACTTTATATTGTGGCTTTCATAAAATCTGAATTACTGAAGACTAGTCTACAGCTCCCAAGCGCATTAACACAGTAAGCAAACTGAACTTTACACTCCATTGCTACTGTGGTGGTAATGATCATTTAACCTTTTTGCTGCCAGAGCCATTTCGCTTTGTAAAAGAGAAACAAAAAAAAACTGCTAAACATTCCCAGCTTGTAGAAGTGATTGGGTACCTCGGGCCAGGTTCACACCATTTTCTGGACCAGATCCGGAACGCAGTGCGTCGCGTTTTTGCCAGGTTACAGAGCCGTTTAAGCTTAAAATGGGTGTTCCAGTGTGTTTGTATTTTTGATGCATTTCCATGCGTTCCAGACCAGACAAAATGAGACCAGCAGTATTTTTCTGGTCTGGAACGGACTGCGCTGGTGTGAACAGAGGCCAGAAATAGCAGAGGGGATACAATAGGATGCATTTTGGGCCCATAAACAATCTGGTCTGGTGATCTGGATGTGGTGTGAACTAGCCCTTAGTCTCCTGATTAACCTCTAATAAAGCATAGAGCCAGCTGAATAAAAAGCCATGATGTTCCCTGAAGGCCGTGACACACTGCAAACGAAGCCGTGCAGAGCGAAGCAAAGCTCTCCGGCACAGAGCTTCGCGCGCAGTGTGTGAGCTCAGTGCAGTCAGATGATTGACTGCACCTTCAGCCAATCGGCTTGTCTGTAACAACCGGCCAGACTTTGCATCCCGTCGCGCCGGTTTATACAGTTGAAATTGTTCATCTCGGCACGCTCAGCTCTGCGAGGTCTCGCAAGCTGAGGTGCCGAGAAGAAAGGGACATGACACACTGCTCGCAAAGGCAGCGCGCCACCGCTCCGCGCTGCTTCGCGTGCAGTGTGTCACGGCCTTAATACTTACAGGCTGCAGTAAAAAGGTTAGGTTGTAGATCTTACAAGTATGCACAGCAGTCTATGTAGATATACTCACAGATGTCATAAGCTGTTCTGTTAAGGTTGCCACCTCCTGCTGCTTCTGAAGCAAGAGCGGCACACTGAGCTCTAATGCTGTTGCGGCTCTTAACCGAACCTTGGGTGCAGAGTGGACAACCAATGGGAGAATAATCTTTGCCCATCGGACACCTTCATCTGTCATCTGAGTAGGTGTCTGTTCCAAAAGTCTGGGGAGGGGGAAGCAAAGAAAAAAGTTAAGATTAACATTTCATATTCTGTCTGCTTTTACAGAGTCTAAGTACATGCCCGCAAAATAGTTTTACATAAATTATTCTTGCATAAACTCTTATGATTGGTCCTCTTTAGGCCATGCTAAAGGTCCTGCTTGGGAAACAAACAAATTTAAAATGGAAGGACTGCAACACATACCTTTCACTAATATAATTCTGTTGCAGACTACCATCAGTGAAGGGCATGTGGTCAAAAGCATAGCTATGATGAAGTGGCAGGTCAGAGATCAGCTTTGCCAATCATCATTAGTCGAAATGATGCAACAAAGGCCCAGGCTTCTGGTTATTTGACAAGCACTGAAGGCAGAGTATTTGAGTATATGGCCACTTGCACTGACTATGGTTAGTAATGCACAGAACCTACAAAAAGATAAGCTCTTCTGCAAGCATTCAAGATTTGGCTGTGACCATGGTTGTAAATATCATAAAATACATCAGATACAAAATAAGTTTAATCTATATCCCCCAAATTACTATTTGCTAAAAACCCCTCTAATAAAATATATTTCTTACTTTATAATGACGTTCAGTGCTTCGTAGGCAATGACAACTGACTGCACATCTTTATTTAATACATTTTCTAATGTAGAAAGTATTGACGGTACCTGGAAAACAAAAAACCTGATGTTACCATCCAAATCACATTGCTGGTTTAAATAAGTCAACTTTAAAAATAGGAGCATAAACTGGGACCCGGGCTAATAAAGGAACCATTAAGACCTCAACATTGCCATACTGTAAAAAAAACAGCACTATTTGCTACCTGCATGTACCAGGCATACACAAAATGTCTTATCATCATTATTACAGTGCAAACCACAGGCGAAATGCCTCATGATTGCCCAATTACACATGTAAACACTGCCATCCTCCCACTTTATGTGACCTGTACATCAACCCCTTCACCTCCTCCCCTTGGTTTATGACATGTACATTAGGGCTTGTTCAAGCCATGTCTGTTGAGCTATGTTTTTCTACAAACCACTGCACATGCACAGTATGAACAGGGCAAGCAAAAACAATAGTTTTCTGTGTGCCCTGTTCACACCATAATTGTAGAAATGTCACCAGCACACCAATCCTTTTAAGATAGCAAAAGCTTCTTGTCAATGCTAAAGCCTGATGAAGGGACCCTGCGCAGTCCCGAAAGCGCTTGTTTGGTCATATGACAAAAAAACTTCAATAAATGAAGCTTTTGCTATCTTAAACTGGTGTGCTGGTGACATTTCTACAATTTTGCTGACATTCACGGCGCCATCCGCGGTCACTGCGAGCACCCCCCACTACAAGGGACATATCGGTAAGGAGTGCGACAAGGATAGTACTTACTGTTCACACCATACACGTGCAGCCGTGTGCAGAAAAAAAAAAAGCAGCTTGACACGATGTGAACAAGCCCTAAACAATGCTCTGTATTTAGTGAAATATTACCAAGCTCCATTCCTTAACCCACCTAAGTAACAGCATGTTTTTACATTTCCCCTTGGGGTATCTACTTTACAAAAAGTGGTCATCTTGGGGAGCGTACGTACTATAATGCCATTTTTATGTTATAACAGAAAGGAAAGAGCTTTTTTCATTATATAGTAAAGAATTCAAAAAAAAAAAAAAAACAACATTGTTTAATGGTAGCAAAAGAATGGCAATGAAGGGGTATTACGAGCTGGTTCTCAAGTAATGAAATACATTCTGAGGGAGTGCTCAATTAAAGTTTACTAATGAGATTAGCAATTTAGCACTTTTTGTAATGGCAGACTGGCCAAATATATTTTTGGAGAACTCACCGCCTTTCCAACGTCATCTTCAGAGAAGTGCTGTTTAGAAATCACCCAAAGTGCTCTTGTGCATGTGTTTTTATCAGATGCTTTAACAGCAATACTGTTAAGTGACGACAGTAATTCTTGCACCTCATTTGCTAAAAGAAAAACATGCAGAAATGGTGTTGGGGAACATATCTACGGTGTGCACAGAAACTTCAGATTTGTTTTGAAAAAAACAACGTTTTATTTGAGTCAGCTGAACACATACCCTGAGTCAGGGAAACTGGCAATACAGATGTCCAGGGCCAAGGGAGTTTTATCCTCGGGTTACCCAAATTAATTTCTGGATTTTAAGACTTTCATGGAGAAATATACATTGAAGCGATGGCAAAGAAAAGACCTGTATTAGGTTCTCAGCATGGCGACTTTCAGGACATCTGGATCATTGGCCAAGCAAGAAAGGAGCTAAAATGTAGTTTGCATCCTCATTCCCCTTATTTGGACTTACCTGGAGTTCCCAGTTAAACTACAGCCACTGATCATGCACAGGGAAATAAGCCATTTAGAATCTCCCAATATTTAAAACGCGTCTAAAGCAAACTAATTGTACCGAAACTTTTTTTTTAAATGTAGTACACCATGATCCACAGGTAAGAAAACAGCAGTAAACTAAAACAAAAAGGGGTGTCAGTTAACCAGACTACAGAAAAGCTAAAAGATTCTTGTGTCAGAGGCATGAACGTACAACACATCCAAACCGGAAAAGAAAACTGCCTCCTCTTTAAATGTCAAACATATACAGGTATACCTGTATATTAATGCGTCTGATATTTACTGAGGATACATTTTGACTGTATTGAGTTATACACTCATGGTTCCATATGACAAAGGTGAGATAGGTCTACGACATAATGTACCCTGCAAGTTTACGACAGTCAAATCGCTGGGGTCTGAAAAGCTTTTTGCCTATTGCTGATGAAGTACAATGGGGAGGGAGATTTATCAAAACTGGAGCCGATTTGCACTGCAGCCAATCAGGTTCTCTCTCTCATTTTCAAAGCTTACCTGAGCAAACTGAAGAGGAATGCTGATTGGTTGCCACGGGTAACTGCTCTGAATTCTTTTTTCTCCAGTTTTTATAAATCCCCCCCACCCAGTATGTTTAGGGGAATATTGGAATACTGTGTTAACGTACAAGCAACCTGCTCTTTAAATCCCAACTGTCGCCAGTTTTAGACGGGGAAAGGAAGACATTCCGTCAGGATTTTATTGCTGTCTTTGGCCCTATTGGAGACATTTTTTTTCTGTGGAGAGACACAGACTGCAAAAAAATACATTAATAGTAAAACGAGGAAGGCTTCTGACCTCTATCATGTTATCATTACAAGTGATACCCACTCCCATCATTTCTTTGCCAGAGAGAGAGGAAGTGAGGTGAACTCTCCCAAACGGAATAAAATCAAAACAACGCCCACCATCCAAAAACAAGTAACACTAATAATCCAACATATGGTATCAAGAAAATATCGAAGAGCAGCAATAAACTTCACTCTAGAGAAAAGGGAACATCATGACCAGAAAGGAATACCTGATAGGCTGGATGCTATGTTACTGTAAAATACACAAAATCCCATTGTTTGAAGTGCTGCATTACTGAGGTCTGAATTCTGGTGAGAAATGTGCGTCTGAAAAATAAAAAGTGATATTATTGGCAAGTGAAACGAAACCCTCCAATAAAATCCTGGCTAATAGTTATGCTGACAAAAGCCATCTTTAGCGGCGACCGTGAAACTTCGCCTCCCATTTGACTTGCAGTTGGCTGAAATTAAAAGCTTATGACCACCAATCCAAAGTAGGAACTTCTTAGAAAACTTTTGGCAAAAGTGTATAAGGCCCCATTCACACTAAGCGACATACCTTTTGAAGCGGATCCGCCGGGCTGCATTAAAAAAATAGAAAAATTGTGCAAAATACGCAGAAAAAAGGGTCCTGTAGGAGCGACTTGCGACATGGAGCTGTACATTAAGACAGCTCCATTGGAAATCATTGGCCGGCGACTTCTCGCGGCAAAAATGCCTGATATCGCGCAGCAATCCGCTTAGCGTGAATGGGGTCTTAACGTCGTTTACATGCGTAGGCGCACCAAATGCGTGTTTACGTGGCGACGCGCGTGCTCGTGGGGGACTTGAATTTTTTTTTTATTATATTTTAAAAACGGTTTTGTTTTTTTTTGACTATCACATAGGGGTGCTTACAAGCCCCCCCATGTGATAGCAGATGGTGGTGACAGGTACTCTTTAAAGGTGATGCTGGGGGCCCAAAAGACCCCCAGTGTCACCTTCAATAGCTTATAGCTGGGCTGCAGGAGCCCAGTACTGACAGCCCAGGGACCGGAAGTGATGCAATCTGCATCGCTCCTGGTCCCATAGAACGGGGAGGGGATCGATGAACGGAAGTTCGTCGATCTACACCCCAGCTCCCTGCAGACACCGAGGAAGCCGGTCCCGTAGGAGGGGCAACGGAGGCCGGGAAGCACGGCGGGGGTGTCCGGCCCCTTCTTCAGGGCACAGAAGCGATCTGGCGACAGGTAACTCGCCAGAATTGCTTCTGTTGTAAAGCCGACAGTCGGCTTTACAAGTTTAAACAGAGTCCCGGCGGCAAAAGGCGCCGGGAGTCTGTTTAAACAGCCCCGATGCTGGCGACGAACACTGTACGTCGATAATCACGAAGGGGTTAAACCCCATTCACACTGTGCGATGTCCAATATCAGCTCAATGTAGCTCTCCCTATGCTTTTAAATGGAGTTGTTCACATCTCACAGCTCAATGTTGAAACAGGAAACAGCAGGAAGAGGAATTATGTCACATGAAGACCTCTTTTGATTGGATACAGCCCAATGTAGCGAAATGCCAAAAGTAGCGCTACGTAGTGCGACAATATGTGCACTGTAGCTCAATGTCTCTCAAAGTCGCTCACCTCAAATCAGAGCTGATGTAGCTCAGTGTGAATGGGGTCTAAGTGTCAACGGTAGGTGAATATAACCGCTCATCCATATCAATCACACACACGTGTCAAGTTTAATCATATACACAGGAAAGATTTGATTTTCTTCATACCTTAAAAACTGGAATGAGACGGGAGAATTGCTTTCCCACCAAGACATTGAAAGCTTTCCCATCTTCTCCACTAAGACGGCTACAAAGAGGACCAAAAAAAAATTAAAAATTGTCACACAATCTGGTACACATTGTCCTAAATATTATAATTGTGCAATAAGCTGTTCTATTTGGTGCAGTATTCACTATTAAAAAAGGAGAACTATGGGGTCAGGGCTTTTCCCCATAGTTCTCCTCAGGGTAACAGGAGACAAACTAGCGTTCTCAAGTGACCCAAAGCTCAGTATACCGCGAGCTACAGTTACTATACTATCTATACTGAGACCGCCGCAGCCAGGACGGATCCCGACATTACTGTCGAGATCCACCCAGCTGCGTGATTAACACCTGGCTCTGTCTATCTAAAGGCAGAGCCAGCTGTACATACCCCCTCCCCCGGCCCTTCCTCCAGTCAGCACTGAAGGATCGGGGAGGGGGTATCCCTGCAGGGAGCTATGAGTGACAGTCACGGCTCTCTGCAGGGATAGGATCGAGAAGTGAGCGACGGTATGTGTTCACTCACTTCCCGATCAATAGAGCCGACCTGTGAGTTTCATTGTCACACGTCGGCTCGAACTATGAGGCTGAGTGATTTTCACTCACCTCATAGTTCTCCTTTAAGCTATAGAGATCAGAATATAAACACATTGGGGTTGATTCATTCAACCCCTTAATGCCAAAAGAAAAAACAAATCCAGTTTTGCATTTTTCGCACGTGTTGGTAAAACTGCACATATCCTTGCAACTACTTCAGGTACGCATTGTTTTTTCCAGGACATATTGGGCCCTCATTTGGGGGTTAGTGATAATGGATAGCTCCTTAATTTGTTTCCTTACCAAAAGAAAACTGGAACAAAATAGTAAAACTATAATTTTACAAATGTTTTGCCATTACTATGACCCAACACCAAAAAACAACCCAAAACACATTGAGGGGAATTTATTAAAACTGGAGCAGGCAGAATCTGAAGCAGCTGTGCATGGTAACCAATCAGCTTCTGTCTTCAGTTTGTTCATTGAGGCTTTGAAAATCAAAGGTGAATGCTGATTGGTTGCCATGGGCAACTGCTCCAGATTCTCTATGCTCCAGTTTTGATAAATTCCCCCCACAATCTTACTTGTGACGTTAATGGGGATTACACATGTGTGCATTGTCATTTGTACTCGTAGTAGGGCCCAGAAACAAAGGTGCACATTCAGAGAGGACAATAATCCAAACTGGCCGTCACAGTGATGATGTGATTGATCATTGAGGGCCCATCCTACCAGCTCCCGATCATCACTCTCACTGGGAGCTGTTGGAGACAGTGCTTGATTAAATGCACTACTGATACAAAACACATACCCTTTTTTTTTTTTATTGTGGAATAAGGCCCATTCTGCGCTGCCACATATGTGTACAGCTGGCAGGTTGAGGTTAAGAGGTATTTAAAATATAATATATCTCTTATCTCTTTTGGTCTTTTAAATATACAGTTGAAATCCTTTTGTTATATCCGTTTTAATAACAAAAAAAATTAAACTGTTGCTCTTGCCAGAAGTCCTGCAAGCCGCTAACTTAGCGTGCTCTCTACCTGTATCAACTTTGTTACATTTGGCCTCAGCTATCTGAGGACTACAGAACCACAACCCTCTGTTATAGCGAATAGGAGACGGGCATGGTTGTGAAGTCCTGTCTCGTTTCCGTTGTCTTGTCACCCTGGGACTGGAAGTATGTTAGTGGCAGAATCACCAAATGAAAATAAAGGAAAAGCTTAAAAAAGGAAAATGAATGCAGCCACCACATGGAAGGACTGGAAAGCTGCAATATATTACATCTTTGTTTTTAGGGGTTGTTCACAGAGCAAAGAGGATAATCTTCATCAACACAGGTTCACCCTCTTCACTAACATTTATTTTACTAGGTCATCAACCTCAAGTCCTTTAGTAACTCTGGTCCCTTGGAATATTAGCAAAGCAGAAATCTGGAATGTTTCAGTTCTTTTTACTCACTTAGCAATAGAGAGATAAGCATCTGTCTGTTCTGTGTGCGAGGTAGATGTGTCCTCTAATGTCTCTAGTAAAGGCAAGAGTTGAGCATTTTCTGAATTAGCAGCCATGTTCCCAGACCACTGTAAAGAAACAAGAAGTTACTCAACAAGGAATAAGCCCCGTGGTTTGCTACAATAGAAATGAAAGTTTCATTATGCATGTTTGTAGCTCTTTTGGTAAACGCAAAAAATATTGATACGTAATGAAAATCAAATTTATGCTAAGGGCCCATTCACACCACATCCAGATTACCTCCAGACCAGACCGTTTCCGGACCCAAAATGCATCCCAATGTATCCCCATGCTATTTCTGGCCTCTGTCCCCCACCAGCGCAGTCATTTCCAGAACAGAAAAATACTGCTTGTCCTATTTTGTCTGGTCTGGAAGGCATAAAAAATCCATGGAATGCACCTGTAAGACCATTTTAACCTAAAAAAAAAAACCAACCTTTTTTAATTCCAACCGTGGCAAAAACGCAATGCACTATGTTACAGATCTTGTCCGGAAAATGGTGTGAACCCAGCCTTAAAGAACTATTGGTAGAGTAAAATATACTCTTCCCAATAGTTTGAACCGTCGTGTGACTCTGCAGCTGTCACATGTCGGCTCCATAGATCGAGAACTGAGCAATCACAAACTGCTGATCATTCAGCTCTCGTTCTTCTCCCTGGAGAGACCGCTGACTGTTGGTCACTACCCCCTCCCCTCTTTTTGTTCCTCCAGTGCTTATTGGAGGGACAGACACAGTGGAGGGGGTGGGTACAGCAAGCTCTGGCGAGGCAGCTGTCAATCAGGTAGCAGGGTGGATCCTGACAATACTGTTTGTGCTGTTGCAGCTGTGCGTTGTCAGCATATAGCAGGCAATAGCCCACTAGATGCTGAGTTTGGGTCACAGGAGTGCATTAGTAAATGTCCTCCTGTGGTCCAAAAGAGAACTATTGGCAAAAAAAAAAAGGTTTGGCCATATTTCTCTTTTAACATCACTTATGCTAATACAAAAGATTAAGGGCCCATTGACACACATTTCCTGTGTGTCCCATTCACACTACAAAGCAGTGGGCAGAGATTTATTGCAGCTCGCTGCATGCAACTGTACAGCAGTGCCGTGCATCATGCTTCCATGTGGGGACCTGAATGGAGTGTACACATTGTACATTCCACATAAAGTTGGGGGGAAAAATTTAAACGGTGATCACTCCAGCAGTGTGCGATACAATGTAGTCTCTCCACATTGTGGTACTTCTTGAAAGGCATGTGTCAGTTCTAAGAACAAATAAGGGTGTACCCAGGTTAGTACAGATGCTGAAATACATAGAATAAAATGTTTTCAGTCAAGCAGATAATAAAAAGTGCAACCAATGCTTTTAAAGTGCATCTACAGAGTAAAATAGACTTTAAAATATCATTAGGCCGAACATAAGGCCTGTGTTACACTAAAGCTCCATTCACACCTATATTTTAGGTGGGGTTAGGGATTCCTTCATCAGGAACTTGCAATTTCCTGCAGCCGGAATCCCTAATCTTCCGCTTAGAAGTGGCAGCGGTCACCTATTCAAGTTAATGATCGGGTGACAGCAGCTGCATTGCAAAGCGGCAGAACACCAGCACACCGCATGTATGCGATTGATTCCTAACCGCATGTAATCATTTCACTATCCCTGGATGTCCGAATGATACATCCCGAGATAGTAATGGACTCCTAACCACATGTAATTTTATCACATACGACTTACATGCGGTGTGCCAGCGTTCAAATGCGGTGGCTGTCACACGATCATTAACTTGAATGGGTGACAGGTTCCTGACACGGGAACCCCTAAATTGCACCTAAATATAGGTGTGAATGGAGCCTAAAGGACCAACTAACAGAGGTCAATCTGTCCATAACCTGCTCTCTCCATATGCCTGTATGGGGCCCATTGACATTTATGATTTGTGGTAATACTGCAACGCATAGTAAGGCGCAATCCACAGTGACATGCATTTTTAATGGCAACCTAACACACTACTACAGTAGCAGGCAAAGCATCGACAATGCAGTGGTGCCCCATGCTGTCCGTTGTGTTAAAAACATTTGCTTTTCATCGCATTCTGAGCTCCCGGCCCAATCAAAATTAACAGGCAGCAGTAACACACTATGTTAACACAATACATAGTATGAATAGGCCCTTAAGGGCCAATACAGAGGTGCAGAGCTGAGATGTAAACAATGCTGGAGCCTGTGCATGGCACCAATGATGCACTGGTCATGGCTGCAACGCAAAAATTTAATATTTACTTTATTTTATTCATGTGGCTGCCGCACAAATAGGTCCCTGCACGATCTGGCTGCCTAATAAATGGGCCCCTGCGCGACCTGGCTGCCTAATAAATGGGCCCCTGCTGCGACCTGGCTGCCCAATAAATGGGCCCCTGCTGCGATCCACTTGCTTTTAAAAAAGGGCCCCTGCTGTGATCATATCTGAGGACACCGCATCCATCCAATCAGTCCTCCTGAGTGACTTTGTAAACATTCATCCAATCACTCATCATTATCCATTACTGACAGAACTTTCATTTTCAGGGACAAGGTTCCTATAAGCAGATCAGCCCGGAGAGCCCCGTGGACTGGGTATGTCTACTGTGCGGTGCCGCTATAGAGCACCGAGAATCAATATGACAACACAAGGCCTCGCAGGGATACGTAGTCCTGTCACGGCCGCGGTCAGAGGCCTCACAGCTGGGACACACAGCACTCATGACAGGGACGCCGTTGTGGTCGCCTCTGCCTGGCGCTGCTCACAGCTAAGCGGTGAGGGGGACATCTCTCTGCCTTACTCATACAGCAACACCGCGGTCCTCCGCCATCTCTCACCTCCGCTCACACTCCGCCGCCACTGACACACGACCTCCGCCGGCCGTCTCCCGCCACCTCCTGATTTCCCCGCGCTCTGCTGACCCCGCCTCTTCCCGCTGCCGCCGACTCAAAAGGCACCAGATTGGACGAGAGCAGGGCGCCTGATTAATGGAGCGCCGAGCTCATCGATGTTCGTGAGAGGACTCGCTCGCACTCAGGGTAGATGGATGAAAAGTCAGTGACAGTCGAGTGCCGAGTTGATCGATGACGGTGACTGACAGGAGCTGTCTGCAGAGAGGGCGCAGCTCGGTCTGCTTACCAGCTGACTTTTTAAAGAAACCATTACAACCAGAGAGATGCATAGGGGCCTTTATATCAATGTTTTCACACAGGATTCACTTAACTTTCACATTACTCTAATAGAACCTTATATTGGGTTAAAAAAAATGAACAAATGGACCACATTAAAAGTTTCCATTGCTGGTTTTACCTCCTGGAAATGCTAGATGCTTGGCTGCAGGGCTGACCTCTTGCTTTTATGTTTTGCAGCATGCCAATAAAAAGATCTGACTTTGGGCTGAGTTTTCTAATCTGCATATTTCTTCCAGGTAAATAAAATAATATAATAAGTATAAAACAGGGATCCCAACCTGAAAAAAGCAATTTCAGGGAGGTGCCCTTCTCATTTCAGGGAGGTGTGGGGGAGAGCACCCCCCTGAAATGATGGCAGATCTGCTGGTTTGGAGGGTTTTTTGTATTCTGACAGCTGCTGCCTTCAGAATAAAAAAAAAAAAGCATAGGAATGAACAGCTAGATTGCTATTGGCTATTTCAATTTGCAATATCCAATAGCAAGCTGGCTATTGCACCCGCCCTCTGCTGCTGTCAATCACTAGAAGAGGACCTGATGGAGAACTTCAGGTCCCCCTCTGCTGATTGACAGCAGCAGCGGGCAGGTGCAATAGCTAGTCTACTATTGGCTATTGCTTCTATGTTATGCAGTATGCCAATAAAGAGATCTGAGTTTGGGATGAGTTTTCTAATCTGCATACCTGTTCCAAGTAAATAAAAGTATAAAATATAAGTATAAAAGTACCAGGAGGTAGGCAGGATGGCCAGGCCACTGGTATTTTCCAAAAGAGGTTAGCAAAGATGAACTTTACCCACCAAGTTAACGTCTCCCAAAACATTTACTTGTAAGGCATGCCAGCTATCAAGGTTGCCAGTGTTCTTATTTCAGCTCTCAACCGAACTTTTAAGCCCTCAAATGGCTGGTGTCATAACCGATCACATGTGCGGCACCATGGCAACTGTAATCCAAATAGTTGCTAAAATGGCACCTTCCTTGGCTTGGCTCCTTGGCAGACCGAACCTGGTCCCTACCTGAGCTCCTCTGAACACGATAGAGAACTCATTCCACTGCCACCCAATCAGGTTCAGACAGAAATTCCAGCCTGCAGTTGCAGGTAAACAAAGGGGCGGGATGCAGTGATGTCATTGACCTTATATGGCCATATGCCCATGCTATTTAATTGACCTTATATGGCTACATGCCCAAATTAGGTAAATTACATTTACCTAATATGACCATGTGGTCATATACGCTCAATAATATATAGGTGTCTTGCTGCACTCCTTACCGGATGCTCCTTGAAATCCTGGTGGGTGCTCGTAGTGACCACGGATGGCGCCGTGAATATATACAAGTTTGCAAAAGGATGTCTCCAGCACGCCATTTGAGTGAAATCAACAAAAGTCCATTATTAATGAAGTACTGTCATTCCAATACAAGCACATTCGGGGCCGCACAGGATCCCCTTCATCAGGCTCAGAATTTGTTGATGTCACTTAAATGGTGTGCTGGTGACATCCTTTTGCAAACTTAATGACGTCAGTACAAGCATCCCACTTCATGATAAGCTGCGGGGTGGGGAATGCTCCAACTCACAGGTGATTGGTTGGGAGGCCCATATAGCTTCTTTGTTTAGAGGAGCAGACCGAGATTGTTCCGAAGCTGACCTCTGTGCCACAGTGGTGTATTTTGGTTTTGTGCTGCCCTAGGCAAGACTAAACCCGAGCACTCCCCCGAATCCCTAATCTAAATTAGTCCCACCCCTTCCTGTTTAAGACATTTTGCATAACCTGTCAGTCGTGGGATTCAGCGTGCACGGTGTATCTAGATTCTGACAGGTTGCACTATCAACGTAGCGTGACGCTCTAGTTCTACCTTTGCAATAGCCACCTTCTCCATTCCTGGCTTGATGGGCTCCCTAGTTCTGCAGCTACAATAAACATTTTCTCCTGCCCTGCCATGCTGTGCTAGTCTTTACGTCTGCAGCTGCAACACCGATCTTCTGCCATCATATGCTGGGCCCTCTAATCCTGCAGTTACCCATCTTCTGCCTCGGCCGCTGGGCTCTGTAGCATGCCCCGCTCTAGAGACATAACCCTGCACGGAGCTTATAGGCTGCACTTCCCCGGACTCACCACCACGGAGGTGCCGATGAGCACGATGACCATCTGGATCTCAGCCCTGGGGTCCTGCGGAAGCTTCTCCGCTGCTTGAAGTCAGAGATTTGGGTGCCGGTTTCACAGGGAGGTCCGGCGCATGAACTGCCGGTGCATCCGGACGAAGGTCACACACACCAATACATTGCACAATGCACAGCATGTTGACCAGGAAGAGGAAGGAGCTGCAGCCGGCATATATGTTGGAGTAGGCGGCATGGGTGGACATGTTGGTGCCCCAGTCAAAGAAGCACCAGGTCCAGGGGTACCGGCAGTAATTTATGAATAATTTATATATTTTTTTCTCTTACCTAACTGGTTTAGGGGCAGCATTTTTTGGCGCCCCCCTGGAAAGTGCCGCCCTAGGCAAATGCCTAGTTTTCCTTGCAGTAGATACACCCCTAGTGCCACCTCTGCACTTCCCAAAGTGTCAATATTCTTGCAGCCTTTAGTAGAAGATCTCTGTAACAGTGTGGCTTTGGGCAGCCGATAAGGTAAGTATTCATTGTCTTCTATTTCAGGTACGCCTTGCTGGAAGTGGTTATGCCAAGAACACGGCTGCCGCGTTCTTAAATACAAGCGATCCGGCATCTATACAGGCGCCAGATCGCTTGTACAGTGCGGCGCCGTGTCCCACTCCCCCCATCCGCGGCCGCTGGTGCTGCTGTCGGCTTCCCGGGCTCTGCTGTTCCTCGTGTGAGCCCTGGGGACCAGCGTGGAGGGTCTTCCATGATAGATCGGAGGAGAGATCAGCGGCTTCCAGCCGCTGAGCTCTCCTCCTATCACTGGACCCAGAAGTGATGTACATTACATCACTTCCGGTGTCACTGGGCACATTCGCGGGCTCCTAGAGCCAAAAGAAGAAGCTGGTTAGGCAGATCTCTGATGTCTCCATAAAGAGGACCTGGTGAAGGGACCAAACGGGTTCCGAAACGTCATGTTGTGACACCACAGAGACCAATAAAATATTGACTGAACTTGAGCCGGAGTGTGAGTGACTTCTTCATATTTATACTGATTTGCGGAGGCATCCGTGGTCGCTTGGCACCCACCCGATACTTGAGGGGATTATCCGGGCAGGTGTGCGATGGGTTTCTTTTGATTTCTGATCATAAAGAGAACCTGTCACATTATATTTGCTACAACATAGGGGGCTTGTTAGCACCCTATGCAATAGCAAAAAACCTGAGTGTAAAAAAAAATAAAAATGAAAGTAAAAGAAAATTAAATATGCATAAAAAAAATTTAAGTCCCCCGCTCCCCACGTGCACGCACATACAACGCAAACACACGTCGGATGCGCCTACGTGCAAAAACAAAAAATGTGGCACACATGTTACATATCGCCGTGAGCGTTGAAATAGGAGCAATAATTATAGGCCCATCAATCACTGTTAGCACTTAACTGATGCTCCGTTAAAGCTTTTAAAGCATCGCCTACGGGAAATTTTGGTTATTGTAGTTTTTTTGCAGTTTCACAGACGCACACAATTTTAAGACTTGACATGTTTGGTATCTATTTACCTGGCGTGACCCCGTCTTTTATATTTTACCAAAAAATTGGGCATTGTATTCTGTTTCTGTGCACTACATTTTATTTTAGTGTATTTTATCCTAAAAATATTTGGTAAACATTTGCGCAAATACCGTGCAACATAGAAAATTGCAACTAGCATCTTTTTATTCTACAGGGCCTCTGCTTTCAGAAAATATATAATTGTTTGGGGGTCTGAAGCTGTTTTCTAGCCAAAAATTCTGATTTTATCATGTGTGTGCAAATGTAAGAAATTGCTCTGGGCAGCAAGTGGTTAAGAAAGTTGTAGTGTTTGTTAGGTGCAAGAGGACATTGGACCTAAATTCCCACCTGATGGGTGTAAAGTTAGATAGTTTACTGACCTTTCCTTCACCTGTGGCGCCTAGGTGAGGGTGACATCATCTTCTTTCCTGCAAGATCCTGGAGAATGCTGAGTAGCCGAAATCTTGTGAGAACACGCACCTGCACTGAGCTTCAGTGTTTTCTCATGAAATTTGATGTTGATGATGATGTCACCCCCTGTACTACAGAATTTAGGGTGACATCATTGTCTACTTTTTTTCCCCTGCAGAAGTTGTAGAAGGCTTTTCAGCTAGAGGGGGACTTAAAAAGCAGACCTTGTATGGAGTGCAAGGTTCCTTTTAAAGCCCAACTCCGAGCAAAATAAACTTACTAGGGATAAAGTGGTAACCGTGGTAAGTTTATTGTGCCTGGAGTTGGGGTTTAAAGACACCCTCTCACCAATTCACACTTTGTTTTTTGGGGGGGTTTAATGCTTTTTAATACTTCAAGAGTAATAAATGTGGCCTATTTTTTTATTTTAACTGCAGTTTCTTATTTTATTTCCAACCTCTACAAAGTGAATAGGAATCTGACACTTTGCGAATGTTGGATCCAACTAACTGCCAGCTGCTGCTATGTCATTCCCTTGCAGGGCAAAGCAACAGGTTCACTTTAAGGCTGGGCACACACCTTACAACCATCGCAAGACTTTTGTCTTGCGATGGTTGTAAGGTCCTTAAAAAAAACGTACAATCTGCCTATCTTGGACAGGCAGATCGTACTTGCGATGATCGCAGGCCCGCCCCACTGAGGGGTGTGCTTCCGATGACTGCAATGCCGAACGGGCAGTGTGCGCTTGCGCACACCGGCCTGTACGGCTTTTATCGTACGAACATACCACAAACCCGCCGAACATCGTACGATGCTCGGCGGGTTTTCGAACATGTCCGTAAGTTAAAAGTCGTGCGACCTTACAGTAGTAGAGGTCGCACGGCTTCCACACACCTTACGATAATCGTACGATTCCCGCGATTATCGTACGATTATCGAAAGGTGTGTGGGGACCTTAAGGATGATCCCTCCAGCAACTTATTTTCTCCTTCCTTTTATTGCTCCAAAGATCTGTTCTCCACCAGGACTGAGGAGAAGAAACCTACTCAGGGCTGGGGACACTCTCCCTACCCGCATGGGATAGCATTGGGTTCCTGAGATCAGCAGCACTGCCAAGTGGAAGGAAGAGGTGTGAGTCACATGCTTCGCCATCAGTGAGTTTTTAAGTAAAAATCAAATGCACATTGTAAATGAAGGGTAACCATTGACAAAAATCCCTGAACTCCGGGACATGCAAATATTGTACAAGAGTCATGTATATACTTGAATTTTGGTGACCTTTGTGTATTTCTTCCAGATCTGCCCAGTAGTCCAATGTGAAACTTTGCCTCTGTGCAGGAGCTTCCTTTAATAAAGACCGGTCATTGCTGTTCTCTCTCCTTGTGAAGGTGACTGGTCTTTTCTCCACCCCCTCTCCTGTAGTTTACAACTGCTGTCTGCACACTGTAGATTTCACTACTGCTTTTACAAGGTACTAACTGGGTTTCCAAGGGCACTTGAAACACACAAAGAGAATTCATATTCTTTGTGATTATTGAGAAATAAATTGGAATCAAACATTTTTATGCCCGGAGATCAGCTTTATGGCACAGTGTAGGTAACCTCATCACACCAACTGTTGTGGAACAACAAGTCTTATGAGGCACTGCAAGACTCTGACAGCCACAGGCATGACTTTCAGAAGCAGAGGCATGGTGGAATGTGTAGTTTCAGCACAGCTAAGGTTTCAACATAAGGTTGCTTACCCCTGTTATAGTAGATCCAAGGTCTATTTCTTTTTTGTTCATAGAGAAACACAGGAAGTCTGTGCCTTCGGGTTATACTGCTGCCTACAGGAGGATTGGACACTGACAAAAAAAACTGTTGGCTCAGGATAACCCTTGGATGTTACAGGACTAGCCAGGAAGTGACATTCAGGCATAATCAGGAGTTCTGTTTGTGCTGCTTTCCAGACCCAGTACTGGTAACAGTTAACTGTGGAGCATTTTCCAGAGGTGGTGGCATTGCCTCAGAGCTTGCCCTGACTCTAAAGACCCACTTTGTGAGTAGGGCATTCGTGTTGAGCACCCGCAGCTACCTTGTTGTTCGGTTCGCTGAGTGCCATTAAATTTCCTGTCTTCTGTCCATACATAAAGCTGAATCCCAAACATCAGTCATGGAAGGTCATTACTCGCCGCCTGGCTTTCTGATTGGCCGGGAAGCCGGCTCAATGCTAATTGGCTGGGAAGCCGGTTTCCTGGCCAAGCTCAATCAAGCAGGTTAGACAACATGGAGCCAGATTGCCCGGGAAGATGGCTCCATGACAGCGGAAAGACCGGAAACACCGGTATCGGTATCGACGAGTACCGGAAGCAAAGTATCGGTACTTGTACTCGGATGTGAGCTAATATGTTGCGCTTGGTTATTTCAACAACTCGTACTCGATACCGAAAAACCGGTATTGGTGCTTCCCTAATAAATACCATTAGATAAAACTGACTAACAATGAATTCAGGTGTAAATAAACACACAGACAAACATGGTTACTTTTCTGTATTTACAGAAAATACATGGAAATAGTTTTATTAAATATTACCCAAATTAATGTCATAAATTACCTTTTCTAACACTGACTTCTACAGATAATACAGACCTGCTAGCCAGGTGATTGCAGAATGGTTTAGTTGTGTTCTTGGCGTCATTCGGGAGGTGACAGTGCAGAGCCATTCCATTGCGATCTAGACAACTTTGTGATCCAGCAACTTTGTTGATGGACAGAGACCATGACAAAGAATACAGTAATAGGGCCTCATAATATTATTATTTTTTAAATAAGACTAAAGCAGACAAAAGTTAGGACAAAATCACATTCCGAATGTCAGTTTTACATAGGTGGCAAAAAAACATAATTAGATGAATTGTTAGGGGCGGCTGTTTATTTCTGCACTGTATTCACATCCCGCTATTAATAATCACTTAAATTAACTCAGGTACTGCCAAGCTTTACTTAAGAAGAAACGTATATGAAAGACCTAAAGAGAAATATGGAAGCTGCCATTGTTGGCTCTATCAGTGCTCATTCACACAGCTAAGCACACGGTGTTCGCGCTCCGTGCAGAGACCTGCTCCTGGGAAGGACAGGTGCTGCGTGTAATTGCGTGCATCTGCCTGTACCTCCCAATGGTAGGACACGGCTACACGCAACTACAAGCCGACGTGAACTTGCACATACCTGGGGATGCCCACTGCAGGTCAGTGAGTAGCCATGTGCAGCTGCATCCTTCCATAAGGAAGGATGGGCTGCACATGGGGGGGGGGGGGCCTGATGTGTAAACTTTATTTGGAAGTACTCTTACCCTTCAAAGATAAGCCTACGGTGGGAGTTTCCCATTTTATGTTCTCATAGGTCTACTTTAAGCTACCTATACATAGACTAGCTATGTTGTTTTAGACTGGATCTAAAGGTTGTTTGGCCATGTATGGACCACAGAACCCCAAACAATGTCCATTCAGATGAGCACAAGACTCCATCTTTCCTATTTTGTCATCCTGGTCATTATCATCTTTTGTTTGTCACATGATCCAGAGGTTTGGTAGATGTTCTGAACATCCACATGGTAGACATCTAGCTATGAATGTTTATTACTAATATAATAGGAAATGTATATCCTGTAATTTGTTTCAAATATATATGGGAATGTGATCAGCATGTCGTATGTATAGTCTATTCTGTTCTTTTTAAAACAAGTTTCCAGGTATAGTTGTAGCTGCAAAATTACATATGTACATGGGGCAACCATACATAATTATAACAATCTGTTATGTGCTTGTGTTTGCTGCTAAAGCTAGCCATACACGGCTACACACAACACCACCATGGGGTGAACAAAAGGCAATTAATCAATTCCCCCATTCAGCATAGATGGAAGAATCTCCACTGCTGAATATTGTATTCAGCAGCTGTGGCAACTGTGGCTGCCTAAAATACCCGAACGGTGACTGGATCTGATAGGATATAGTTACTGTTTGGATGATAATTTTTCACCCAGCTCAGACTATTTTTAAATCAACTTCTGTTGAACCATTTGGTGCTTGCAGGGCATCTCACGGCTGAAATTTTGTCCAGCATGGCCAAGCACTATCAATATCAAAGAGGGCCCTTCTATTGACTGCTAGGAGGCTTAAGGACTTTATGGTATGGAGAGTTCCTACTCACAACATGTCCTACAAAGAAGTGTACTTGCTGTAGTATGAATATTTCAGACTTTGTTTTCCAAATATGATCGGCCACACACAGGAACAAAGCATGCAAAATTGTGCGTATATTCCTGCCAGTTAGAAAAATGGAGATATGGTGAATGGTATTCCTAACAAAAAAAATAATACTATCAGAAGTTCCTTTTAGATACAAACATTGCTTAGATAAGTTATTTTATAAAGGAAATCCATCAGGAAAGAATTGTGTCACCTGCTATAGTGGACCTCCTTCTGTAAAGGCTAGTTTTTAGCTGTCATACATGTCCTCTGACTTCAGTAGCTTGAATCACTGACCTGCCTTCAATATGCAGGTCGGGAGTAAGGATGAGCTCAGGTTTGGCCAAAACTTGGGTTCATCTGCACCCAGAATCAGCTGCAGCCAGAGCATTCCCCTCCCCGCAGCTGCACGTACACATAGGGGCAGGATTCTGGTGACGTCATTGAACCTATATGGCCACATGGCCATATTTGGCCATATTTTGTCAATGACAACTTCCTTTTGGGTTCGGACTAACTCAAGTATGGCTGGAACCCGAGCTCATCCCTAGTCAGTAGTTGTGACTTCACTGGCTGCATACTTCAAATACTATTAAGAAATCGCTCAAGCCTGGCCCACACTGATCCTGGGTGCATGCCAATGAGACATAGGGCTCACAATGGTGGATGACCACACTTCCAGTAAAGATCAAATACTCTTTTATTAATATAAATTCACAAAAACAGGCACTCAAAGGTAAACAGAGATTTCTGACGTGTTTCACACTAAAAATTGCTTAATCGTAGAGTCTATGAGTAGGTGATTTTTAGAGTAAAATGCGTACCTGTTTTTATGATTTTATATTATTACATGAGTATTTGTCTTGAATCTTTATTGACTGTGTACTTGTTTTGAATCAGTGACTCACAAAGCATTGGAGTCAGAGGATCAACATAACAACCAAGCGACTAGCATTTTCAGAAATAGGTCAGCAATGGCCTAGTTTTTTTCCAGACAGGTTTCCTTTAACACAGCAGCATATGTAGTGATGATGTGGAGGCAGCGGCTTTTTAGTTATTAATCAACATCATAACTGCATTACATGGAAAGAAGTAATTTATCAAAGTCCTTTGGATGTTAAGTGTTTCAGTCATCTCCCATTCAAGTCGGTTGGCCCTGAGCCCAGTGCAGTCTACGTTCACCAGAGCAAAGATGGATGAGTCACCGCCTGAGCCATTCCACTTGATTTCTGCATTCTCAACAACTGGTGTGCTAATGTTTTTACTCAATGCTTAAATGTCAGGGACGGCCTCCAACATCGTGTTTAGGCTCAGTCCAAATTTCAATCCGGATGGTGGTTCCAGAAACGAGTACTTGATTTGAAATCCCCCTCCGACGATGGAGCTGTCTGTCATGAATTTTAACGTCATAACATTCCCTGAAACCAACAAGAAAAACACAAGTTTAGGAGACGTGTGACTAAGAGCTTGTAATGTTCCTAAAGTTCTGTTTAGGTTGAACTCTTTCAAACCAAAATGTTATCTTTTTTTTTCTATGGATTGACCACAACTAGTGTGAAATTCCAAAGTGTGTAAAGGGAAAATTGTAACAGTAGGAAAAATAAACTGACCGTGATTATTTTTTTAAAGGGAATGTCCATTTTTATTTGACTTTCTTTTCTTTGACATTGTTAGGCTGCCATGGCACTGCCAGCACACACAATGCCTTTTTATGTCACCACAACTCTGACATTAGACGGGTGTCTGTACCTTTAGCCATATGGACTGGAGACCATTTGGCTCATGATTGGCCAGTATGCCTTTGATCTGTATACCTTGACATGTTATAGCAAATCACCTGCACTCCATACAGCGTGTGGACCTTTATGTTATCATCCGAGGTGCACACAGGGATGACACGGATGGCGCTGTGTTACTCAAAGTCTTAGAATACACATTACTGTGTTTATCGCAACAACTCCTGCAGTATACCATTTCAGTCACTAGATGGCAGTGTGTATAAGTTCTGTTATATATCTATGGTAGATTATCTGTTGTATTGAAAAAGGTAGAGAAATTAAAGCTGTAGTATTCTTCCAGTTTTAGCCAAGCCATGTGCAGCATGCATATCAGACTGTGTGCGTGTGTTTCTCTGTGAGGCTGTGCAAGAAGTTCCAACACAAAGTTGTTGTACAGAAGATCACCCGCACTCACGATGAAAGCGTGAATTCTTTTTGCTTTTATTGGAATCACGTTCCATGTATCATCAAAGCCAGGATACTGTACATGTGACGTGATTCCAATAAAAGCAAAAGGAACTCACACTTTTATCTTTGTGAGTGCTGGGGATTGTCTGTTCAACAACTTTGATCTGTGTACCTGACATCATAGGGACCCTCCACTTGTCAGACAGCAAGAGAGAACTGCACTATCTGAGCAGCAAACCAACACATCCACATGCAGGGTTCCACAACCCACATGCCATCCTTTCTGGTGTATTATTTTTTTTAAAAAGGGGTCTATGTCTGCGTTAATTCAAGTGAATCTGCACCATACCTGAGAAAAACTAATAACATCTCACCAGCAATTGTGCCAAACTGTTAAAAAAGCAAAACATACTTACTAGTCCATGAGTCCAGCATTCTCTTCCTTGCAGCTGAAGCTTTCTTTGCACTGCTCTCCTGCACCACTATCCTGAAGCTCCTGTTTGCACATGCGTAGACACGCTGCAGGTCTCTGCTAGATATGTGTGACCTGCAATGTATTGGTGCCTGCAGGGGGGTCTCGCATATGTGCAAATACACTGCAGGTCTCCACCATGCATTTTGACCCTGCCACATTTCAGGCATACACAGACATGCCAGAGGTCTGTGGCAGGGCCCCAATACACGGAGGAAAGTTGCAGTGTATGCAGGGCCGGATTTACTCTCTCTGCTGCCCCAAGGCCAGGTTCCTCAATGCTCCCCCACCTGCCAAACCCACCCAATGGAGAACAGACATCCCAACCCTCCAGGACGCTCCGGGAGTCTCCCACTATTAGATAGCGGCTCCCGGACGCCCGGGAGAGAAACACTTCGTCCCGGAAAGGTTTATCTGCTCGATCGAGCAGATAAACCTTTCCCTGCGATCGTTTTTCTTTATTTTCTGACATCGGGAGCCGCGGCCCGTCGTCAGACAGAAAAGAAAAAAAAAAGGCATATGAATGCATAGCTAGCTTCCTATTGGCTATTGCACTTTGCAATAGCCAATAGCAAACTAGGTAATGCACCCACCCACTGCTGCTGTCAATCAGCAGAGGGGGACCTGAATTTTTCTATCAGGTCCTCTTCTGGTGTTTGAAAGCAGCAGAGGGCGGGTGCAATAGCTAGTTTGCTATTGGCTATTGCAAAGTGCAATAGCCAATAGGAAGCTAGCTATGCATTCTTATGCCTTTTTTTTTATTCTGACGACTGACAACTGTCAGACTACTATAAAAAAAAAAAATTCTGAAAAAAAAAACTTGCAGATAGCAAAGGAGCTATTGCTTCCTGTGCTATCTGCCATCATTTCAGGGGGGTGCTCTCTCCCAGCCTCCCCTAACCCCCCCCTCCGTTTATGGTGGGGTGAGAGGGCACCTCCCTGAAATTGCTTCTTTCAGGTTGGCAGATCTGCAGGCTGCATACAAGTGATCTCGGCATCTTCTCCAAGATCACTTGTACAAAACAAGTGGTTGTACATTTAGCTCTGCTTGCCCAAAGCAGGGCTAAATGTGGAAAACAGTTACGCTCCCGGTGCCCGAAACTGTATGTCCCGGGCGATGGAAGCTAGGAATTCCACACCTCTGCTGCCTCTCTATTCCCTGCTGCCCGGAGGCCTGGCCTTGCTTGGCTTTATGGGAAATCCGGCCCTGAGTGTATGCACATGCACAAACATGATCAGAATCATGCAATACTTCATGCCTGGGTCAAAAACTGTGTCCATGTCACACATCCCAGGAGGCAGCGGGAAGCTGACCTACGTCATCCTCACCTAGGTGGGAAACCAAAAAGTAGTGGGCAGCAGCAAGTCTTAAGGGTTTTCATGTATGTCTATATTTTTAGTAGAGTGAGGAAGGGTTAGACCTTTTGACAGTGTTTTTGTTGCTGTCAATGCCTTTCTGTCCCAGAGACAACTGCACCCCCCCCCATACACGGGTATCATAGGACCAAGAAGTGAGGGAAAATCTCCCCAATGATGTCACAGATAAAACCTCTTACCCTGGCTGGAGTTGAAAGGATTACTATACTTTCCTATAGTTATTTTTACAGTTGCCCATCTAATTCCCAGCAACCCCTAAGTTGTTTACTCATCTGTCCACTAGGAGCTGCACAGGTGCTGGTGCAAACTGTCCTGCAAGTCCCTAACATGTTCTTTGCATGTGCACAGAAAATCCCATTTACTACTTTGTAGAAGCCATGTATCATGGGTCATTTGCCATTAAGACTGGTGAGTTTAAAACTTTGGGGGAGGGGGTAACTTAAAGTGTAACTATACAAAAATATGTACTGTATACAAGTGCTTACACTTTCTGCAGTTTTCATATCAAATATATTAAATGTCCTTCTTTATAGTATAACTCCACTTATCATGGACATACCATTATAACTAAAGGTGAGTTTCCAGGTATGAGTGATTTTTGCAGTGTCTCACTACTGTTAAAGGAATGTTACCATATAATATCCCCTCTTACTAGAATGTAAGCTCTCACGAGCAGGGCCCTCCTAAACCTACTGTACTGAAATTGTATTGCAACTGTACGGTCTCCTCCCATTTTGTAAAGCGCTGCACAAACTATTGGGGCAATATAAATCCTGAAAAATAATAATAATATGATCATATGGACTAAATTAAAAATTGAACGTGGGGGGGGGCGTGGCCAACTAGTGGACGAGATGGCTGCTTAGACCCGGAGCTCCGACCATCCACAGGCCCGGACACTAAACACAGCGACCAGCGGGATCACTACCGGCCACCCTCACTGCTGCTGGTATCCGAAGTGCGTACCGGAGATGTCCCGCAAACGCAGGAACGGCCCCAGACCTCGTAAGGTCACCGATTTCTTCCGCCGGCCCCAGCCTAAGGCCATGCAAGATGGCGGCTGCCGCGGCGCTGCACCTCTGCCCCTGTCTCCTTCTCAGGGCTCTGAGAGATCGGAGGGGTCTTCACGCTCCTCACAGGACGGAGAGCAGGAGAGCATGAGAGCTCGCTCATCCCCGCTGACACAACGGCTGCCTGCTTCTCCAACAGGGCTGAGTCCGGCAAAATCGAGGCCCCGGCTTTCGGGCCTAGTGGAAGAGGTGAGCCCTTCTAATAACACTATGGACGACACGAGGGAATTGTTTGCCCCTATAGAGAACTACCCCACAGCCAGCCAACCCCTCTCTGACACCACCCTTAAGGATATGCTAGTGTCCTTGAGGAGTTCACTTAACACGGATATACAAGCTTTGGTCCGCCAGTTTAAATCTGACCTGACTGAGGTGGGAGAGAGGGTTGCACACATTGAACGTCCTGGTAGACGCTCATAACGATAGGGAGGAGGACATATCATGGCTGCAGACTAAAGTGGCAGACTTAGAGGATAGGTCACGCCGCAACAACATTAAGAAAAGAGGCATCCCTGAGTCTGTCCGTCCCGACGACTTGTCCACCTTTGTGCAAACATTCATACAAGCAGTTCTGCCTGATGTCTCCCCGCCAGATCTGACCATTGAACGCATTCACCGTCTGCCTAAGCCCGCTCACCTGCCAGATGGCATACCGAGGGACACCCTGCTCCGTATTCACTTTTTCCATGTGCGGGAAAGGTTGCTTAAGGCACTGCGGCACCAAGCTGATCTCCCCGCCACCTACGCTAAGCTACAGGTGTTTGCTGACCTCTCTCAATTTACCCTTCAACTTCACAGGAAGCTAGTGCCTATCACAAAGGCCCTCTGAGATAACAAGATCCTCTACCACTGGGGGTTCCCGACCAAGCTCATGATAACTAGGGACAACGACCTCTACACCATCACTAACTTGGAGCAAGGCCTTGCTCTCCTGCAACAGTGGAAGTTGTCCCCCGCGGCTGAGGTCCGCCCACCATCTTCCAACAAACCCGCCTCCGATTGGCAGGTAGTGTCCCGCAAAAGGGGTCCAAGACCAAAGGACTGATGGCACCTACCTGAGCCGTTCCGCTCCTAACTCAACCCACGGGATCCTGTGGGCCACCTTGGAGCTCTCACCCCAGTTCAATGCTCAGTTTTGATAACTGCTTCCCTGACCCTTCGGGGAAATGTTTTTTATTTGACTTGTTCCATTTTGATGCTTCTTTACTAGTTTTACTACAGACTTTGCTTTTTCTTCTTCTCTCTTCACACATCGCGAGATACCACTCCATAGCCTTGAACGAGATTCCACTCCATAGCCTTGATCTCATCCGGAAGCTCGACTACACCACTTAAGACATATTCTTCCTACAGCCTGGCCTCCTGACGTACGCCTGTGAGTACTACACATGCATTTACCTACGCTACAGTTGTCCAGTTGGCAGTACAATTTCTATCCCTTAACGCCAAGGGCCTTAACCATCCGGCCAAACGGCGTTCATTGTGGCTTGAAGCTGTCAAGCACCACGTGGATGTGGTGTGTGTCCACTTTAACAAATCCGCTCCACCTCAGTGTTCCCACAGGAGCTTCCCGTTTATCATTACAGCTAACGCCACCTCCAAATCCAAAGGTGTCCTTGTGGCCGTCAGAGACACGGTATCCTTTCAGCAATTGGAGGCCCACATCGACCCGATGGGTCGCTACATCATCTTGATATGCTCCATTAACTCTAAAACCTATACCATTGTGAATCTATACACACCCAACACCCACCAAACGAGATTTGTTACCCGCCTGCTTAAGAGGGCTCGGAAACTCCAAAAGGGGGCACTGATCGTATGTGGGGACTTTAACCTGGTGCCGGACAGATCCATGCACTCTACCTCCTCGCCTCTGCGGCGACTGCCAACACTTCAGCCTATTATCAATAACAATGGCCTGTTCGACATCTGGCGTTGCCAACACGCCAGCGAACGAGACTTCACATTCTTTTCCTTCCCACACAAGTCTTATTTCAGGATAGACCTGTTCCTGGTGGACCACACACTACTGCCTTGGATTCAACGTACCTCCATTCACGACATCACCTGGACTGACCATGCCCCTGTCTCGATGTCAATCTCATCCAATAAACCTACCTCTAACACTTTTGTTTGGCGTAACAATGTTTTTCTTCTACAACAGGCTGACACTGTGAAATCTATTAGTAAGAGCTTGCTTGAATTTTTTGAGCTTAATGCATCCTCGGTGGAGGACCCTTTTACGTTGTGGAACACCCATAAGGCGTACATAAGAGGTCTACTGATCCAGCATAGTTCTAGGTATAAGAGGCAGAGGTCGCGAGCACTAGACCAGCTTATCCTTAATATCCGCACACTTGAGACTGAGAACAAGAGGCAACCTAGTCCTAGCCGTTCCTTGACTCTGTCCAGACTACGTCTGGACCTTAGAAAACTCCTTATGGAACAACACTGCAGACATTCCTTGAATGTTAAGTCTAACTTCTACGTCAGTGGCAGTAAAGCCAGCAAGCTTCTGGCTTCTCGCCTGAAGGCCCACGTAGCCCGCACTAGAATTCCCTATTTACTCCGCCCTTCTGATAATCACAAAGTATACCATCCCCAAGACATAGCCGAGGCCTTTTGTGCCTATTACAAATCCCTATACAACTTACAGGACGAGCCATTGACCCACCAACCCATTCGCCCTGAAATAGACGAATTCTTGCGGTCGATTCACCTACCCGCACTCTCGCCTTCCCAACTTGACAGACTACAGTCTCCATTCACTGTCGCAGAACTAAACAAAACCATTAATTCCATGCCCAACAACAAGTCCCGGATGGATACTCCAATGAATACTATAAATTATTTGCCCCTACACTCAGCCCTCACCTACTCCGGGTTTATGCTGCTGCGGCGACCTCTGCCTCTTTCCCCGCCGAGATGCTCAGTGCCCTGATTGTTACGATACCTAAGCCTGGGAAGACTCCGGACCGTCCTCAGAACTTCCGGCCAATTTCCCTCTTAAATTCGGACGTGAAAATTTACGCCAAACTGATAGCCAACCGACTTAATGATATTATGCCCACCTTACTTCACCCAGACCAGAGGGGGCATTTCGCTCTTCTATGACCTTCTCCAACATAAAAGACTATTTACTAAACTACCAGCTTTTTTAGCCTGGGAGAGAGAACTTGGTGAGACCTTCTCTTCTGAGTCATGGGAGTCTGCTTGCGGCTCCATCTACCTAGCCACAAAGAGTGCCGACCTATGGGAGCTCTACCATAAGATATCTCTGAGATGGTACCTTACGAAATATCGCCTAGCGAAATTCGCGTCGACCAACTCAGCGGTGTGCTGGAGAGAGTGCGGGCAGACTGGTACCCTTCTCCATATCTTATGGGGATGTAAGTCCTTGACGAGCTATTGGAACGGCATTTTTCGGTGGCTATCAACGATAACGGGCTGCTTCACGGCTCCCAACCCAGCGCTTGGACTCCTACTCATAGGCATCGACCGCTTCCCGGTACCTTTCCGAGCCCTGGACAGCATGTACTCGCTCTTCTCTCTGACACGCTGTGTGAGCGGTGTAGAGAGGAAAGCCCAGCCTCCTGTGACAGCACTGTCTCTGCCCACACACCGCTCTGCCGGACTGTGATAGGTGGCAGAGCGGTGTGGGAGGAGACGCCGGCCGCTCACAGCGCTCTCCACTGCAGCACTCGGCCGGCTGTCACTTTCTCTTCTCCCCGCTGGGACATAGAGCGGCGCCCAGCGGGGAGGAAAGAAACCAGGGATGCACCGATGTATCGGCAGGAAAATTGCACTTTCGGCATTATGGCAAAAGTGCCATTTTCGGCCGATATGTTCCGGCGGCCGATATATCGGTGCATCCCAAGTAGATACTGTACTAGTCTCTCTTGGACCAATATAGTATCTGGTGTGCACTGTTGTGGGCAACATACTATACTTGTCCAAGAGAGACTAGTGTAGTATCTGGCATGTGTTCTTGTGGGCTTGTGTTTTTGCGCATGATGGCGCTCCTCTGCGACTGTCGCCATTCAAAACAACACAAGCCGAAAGTTACTTTACTCCCTCTCCTCCGAAATAGAAGATGGCTGGGCCTAGGTTCAGTCTTTGTTTTCACTAAAACAATGACTTCAGAGCAAATAAAAGGAAACCCAGAGCCGTACATGTTTTGTCTGGCAGCTTAGCAGTGGATGGGGTCTGTGTGGGCTCTGTGTGCGCTTTGCCTGTCATGCCCCCTCTCCTCCTGTGCTGTTAGAATGGCTGCCCTCTTCATCCACCATTGTCAGATAGCAGTGGAGGGAGGAGAGGTGAGCTATCTGAGAAGAGTGCTCAGGAACACCTGCACAGATGTGAACACGGACAAGTGCTATGCTGTGGATTTCAACAAACATTTTTAAATTCTTGCAAAACTTAAACTCCACCCAGCATGATGCTTCATGCTGAGGATATATTAATAAACCTCCGCCCTTTAAAAGTTACCCGTCAACACTTTGCCCCACTGGTGCTTCCCAATACCAGTTGTCAATAATAACTCAAATTGGTTCCCAATCATGTGATCTCTATGTCAGCTATGATCACATGCAGGCTGGAAGTTTCATTGACAAAATAAGCTTTAAGGTGGCCATACACTTTACAACCCTTTTGTCTTGCGAGGGTTGTAAAGTAATTTAAAAAACGTACGATCTGCCCATCTTGGACAGGCAGATCGTACTTGCAATCATCACAAGCCCGCCCCCCTGAGGGGTGGGCTTCCGATGACTGTAATGCTGAACGGGCAGTGTGCGCGTGCGCGCGCCGGCCCGTTCGGCAGTTATCTCTCGATTATGCTAACAACCAGATGAAAATCGTACGATTCTCGGCTGGTTTTCCAACATGCTCGAAATGCAAAAGTATTGCGACCGTACAGTAGAAACGGTCACACGCCTTCCATACACTGCACGATTATCGTACGATAGCGGGATTTCCCGCAATTCTCGTACGATAATCGTGCAGTGTATGGGCACCTTTAGGTCTGCAGATGGAATGCAGGGCAGTGACATACTGCAGCCTCAAGGTGGAAGTAATCTTATATTTATTACTATGATTGTCATACACAATTACACTATTAAAATAAAAGTGTTTTTTGCTACATTTTTGAACATCTGTCAGTCTCTAATGCAAAAAAAACAAAACAAAAAACAGAACAGGGATTTTAATAAAACAGTGAACCAAATAAAAGCTTTCAGAAATCTAAAATGTTATGAGTATGCAAATTAATCATAAAGGTCTATCAGTACCTGTTTTCACACTATATTCACACAACTTTCCCTCAAGATTTATATATTTTCTAATGTGATTCAATGGTAATCCTGTGTAAAAGTTATGCAGATATGGGGTAAAACAACATTTATAAATAGACCCCTTAGAGTTATTGTCAGGTTAATTGACTAATGCTGCTAAATTTGTCTTAGGCATGAAAGCGTCAATGACTACTGGCCACAAAAGGGTTCGGTAGGCTACACATATGAAAAGACAATGAGTTTGAGCAGAGTCTGAAATAAAAACTCAATTTGAGTTATTTCATTGCAAAATTAGTTAATTTGGCAATATAGTAAAAATACATATTTCAGATACTGCAGAATATGTGTTGTGTTATATAATTCAAACATTCTAGTTGCTAGTAATTGTGATATTCTGGTACATACCTGTACTGATGATGTCATCTGGAAGCATGTCACCACAAAGCCTATAAAAATTAGAATAGTTTTTTTCATGTATAATACGAGTTAAATACAGACATATATATAAAAAATAAAACTGGTTTAAAGGAGAACTATGGTGTGAAGGCTTTTCCCCATAGTTCTCCTTAGGGTAACGGGAGGACACAAACTAGCGTCCTCCCGTCACCCTAGGCTCAGTATACCGCAATCTGTAGCTCGTGGTATACTGAGACGCCGCAGTATACCGGGAGCTGCTGCTCGCGGTATACTAAGACGCCGCAGCTGAAGTGGATCCCGACAATTGTGTCTGGATCAGCCCAGCTGCGTGACTGACAGCTGGCTCTGCCTACCTAGAGGCAGAGTCAGCTGTACCCGCCCCCTCCCCTGTCCGTTCCGCCAGTCAGCGCTGGCGGATCGGAGTGGGGTGGGGGAATCTAGCCCCTCCCCTGTCACGGCAGAGAGCCGTGACAGGATCGAGAGGTGAGCTCACCTCCCGATCTACTGAGCCGACCTGTGACACTTTCATTGTCACCGGTGGACTAGAACTATGAGGTGAGTTGGTTATGTGTTTAGATGAAGCACTAAGATCTTGAGGAATGCTGAATTAAGTTTTACTTGCTTAGAAGGACATTACATATGAAAACAGTATTGTGCAGGAAACATAGATAGGAAAACTTCCTGTGTATCATAGGTACACATGCACATAGAAAGTAATATTGTACTGCAGTGCCAGCTCAGACATATCAGTATATGCTGCTGTATTTCCAACACATGACCTGACTAATATGTCTACTAGACATGTGCACTGCCAAAAAATGTGTTTAGTTTCGTTTTAAATCCGGATTTGTGTTATTTCGTTTTTCGGGATTCGGGTGTGAAAGTCATTTCGAATTCAGATTCGGACGAAATTCGTTAGCGGTAGTTCGTTCGAACGTTCGTTTCGTTTTCATTTCTTATTCGTTACGTTCATTCGTCTGTTCGTTTGCAGCAAAGTGACATTTGAGGGGGAAAATGTTTTTCTTCAACGGACGAATTTTGATTCGGAATGAAACGAATCGCACATGTCTAATGTCTACTAATAAAGTTCTGCTATAATATATTCTGGTATAGAACACTACGCTTCCCAACATGGCCTGATCATTACTTGATTGTAATAAAATTCTGCTGCATTCTATATACTCATGGAATACTGATGACCACACTGCTGGACATGATCATAATATATATCAATTATTCTTTATGCAAACACAGAATAGTGCATATCTCAGCATAACCTGCCTGCTTGACGTGCTCATAATACAGTTTAATTACCCTCTGTACAGATATAGCAGATTGTGTCCCCCAGCATGTCCCCCTGTCCCCCACTTGTTTATGCCACTGATTTCTGCCACTCACTCAATGTGCTCCTAGAAAGAACTAGTTTTCCTAAAGAGACAGCTCCCGTTTAACAAGAATATTATTTTAGATGTAGTTACTATGCATTAAAAAAGAACTATGGGGTAACCTTTTTATCCCATAGTTCTCTTTAGGGTCACGGGAGGGCATATACTAACGTCCTCCTGTGACCCGAAGCTCAGTGTATAGCGAGCTGCAACTAGCTATACACTGAGAGTGCCGCAGCCGGGACGGATCCCGACAATGCTGTCGAGATCCACCCAGCTGCAAGAGTGACAGCTAGCTCTGCATACCGAGAGGCAGAGCCAGCTGTGCCTGCCCCCTCCCCCATCTGTTCCTCCAGTCAGTGCTGGAGGATTGGAGTGGGGAGGGGGAATCCCACATGGGAGCCGTGACTGACAGTCACCGCTCTCTGTAGGGAGATGATCGGAAAGTGAGCGAGTGACGGTATGCGCTCACTCACTTCCCGATCTATAGAGCCGACCTGTGACAGTTTCATTGTTACACATCGGCTCGAACTATGAGGTTGAGCGAAAATCACTCACCTCATAGATCTCCTTTAAGCTGGAGTGACTCTTTAAATTGAGTTGTACAAGGCTGTAGCCAGCCTAAGCTCAGACCGATTGTTCTGCTTTCAATAGGTTGTCCCTAAGCTCAGTGTTACTGATTGTTTTTGCCTGCTGCCCTGGCAGTGTTCCTGGCAATAGTGTGGGATAATACAATAGCCTGAGTTATGACTTTTTACATCATGCTGGCAATCCGCTAGGAGGTTTGTTGCCAGTGATGCAGGCTTTATAATATTTGGGAGAACCTTCTGGAAGCTATCTTGTCCCTCAGGCTTTGTCTGGGGAAGATGTGGGTTTTATGCTGTTGCTGACATCTCAGGCCTGCTGCCTGTGGAGGACATGTGTGCTAAGATAGGCCCTGAGCTGGGGCCTGAGGCTTGCACTGCCTGGCTGGAGGTGTTGTCCAGGAGCATGGGCATGATCATAATAAGATAATGAGATTCTGTTAAACTTGAATTGACATAGAACATCAGACAATCAAACTGACCCGACATAGATTCATTATAACTCACCTTCCCGCTAAACCGTGAACATCGTCATAGCTGTCGTAGACCTCTAAGTAATCAGACAGACACTCCATGTCATCCTCAATGTCCATTTCTAAAAATTGTAGACGAATTCGCTGGCCAACCTGAATTCGGATATGCCAGTAGCAGATCTGTTCATTCTCATATTCATTCGGATATCCTGGAGACTTAATTATCCTCTCTGGCTCAGTAAATACTCCTCCGCACTCCTTCGCTGAAATGTAGCACATCCATGATATTAGACGGAATCCCATGTTCACAGGAATGCTTGTACTACTATTTTCAACCTATTTCTAAAGTTGCTAGCTGCATCATGTCATGCTGATCCCCTGGCTCCACTGAGTCACACCCAGAACAAGGTCAGAACTCTTGACCTGTATATTTTTTTGAAGTCCATGAGTAGTTGTAGTGAGGTCAGAGGATCAGGATGGCAGCCTGGGAGCCAGTATCTTTAGAAGAGAGATGGGAACAGTCACAGGTATTTCTCTCATAGACTTGCATAGTAAGAAGGAACCATAAAACAGAAGTACTGCATAGCACTGCTATGAAGGAAGCAGAGCCTGAGTATGTAATGATCAAACTTGGTTACCCTGCTCTAGTCATATAATTACAACCTTAACATAAAAACAGGGTTTAAAAATCAACACATATTGGTAAGGTTATTCACTTCAAGCTGGTCTGTTTTACATGTATACTGTATGTAAAAAAAGTAATCATACTAAACATTCGCTTTATGGGTTTGGTCACCATTAAAGTGGAAAAACACGGCAATACATTAGTCAATGACCCAACCCTGCCTACAGTGCTGTCCTGGGGTGACCGTACATAGCCTTGTCTGATGTTTGATAGAATTGGGTCATTTAGGATTAATCTAAGGGGGGTCACTGAAAATGCTTTTAATGTTCCCACAGCTTGTTGGTCAATCTCTATATCATCTGAATGATCCTCAGCCCTAACTTGACTGCCTCTGTCAGTTAGGAGAGTTGCAAGACAAACTGTTGGGTTAGACAATGGCAAAAGGTTTCCTTTGGGGTTGATAAGCCAGTCTATGGATGACCTAATTTGAAAGAACAGATATCTTATGTACTATGGGGGGAATTTATCAAAACTGGAGCAGACAAAATCTGGAGCAGTGGCTCATAATAACCAATCAGCTTCTCTCTTCAGCTTGTTCAGTTAGCAACTGAAAGAGAGAAGCTGATTGGTTGCCATGCACAGCTGCTCCAGGTTTTGTCTGCTCCAGTTTTGATAAATTCCCTTCTATATGTTTATTTAATTTTTATCTTGAATGGAGCCCTTCAAAGAAAACATTTGGATAACACACACTGCAGTGCTGTGTATTCAGATTCACTCTTTGTGCCAGGTTTGTAAACTCCCAGTTGAACTGACACAAAAGCAGCCAAGTTTTGCAAACTAGTATGAGTAATCTTGTCGAAATTGGCAACATATCCATAGAGCTGGCGAGAATTTTACAGCCCCCCTTTCTGGTCAGAGCGTTGCTGACGAGGAATGAGAAAGCACCATTCACACAGCTTACTATGTACGGTATCCTTCAAAGATATGTTAGAAATCACATCTTTACATTTCTTAATTGGCATTATAATGAATCAATTTCTGTTAGGATTAGTACTCTCTCCCATTTTGAGCAATGAAAACGTACCTTCATCCTGGTATAATGGATCTGTTTTTATGTCATAGCCTTTATAGAGTTAATAGTGGTTACAATATTTATGAAGAGGTGTTGATAGTTTTTTTCTAACATTTTGTACTTAGATAATGACCATTCATTTGTGTTATGTTTGTTGATATTTTAATCAATATATATTACCCCTGTGTCTACTGTAGCCCTGATGAACGGGGGTCGCTGTGCCCCCAAAACCTGTTGGCTGTTTTCTTCTGGTATTTTCAGAATTAATAAAATAACAATTTGGATTCTATGAACTCTTGTTTGGTGCCTTCTTTGGTTGAAATGCATGGAGAGTTTTAATTAAACAGTGTTAGCTTTTGCAACACAATGAAAAGATAGAACTGATCAGGGTGTTTAGGAAGGTTTATCAATGTTTGACAAAAGTTTAGAACATTTCAGTTTGATTTTTTTCACTTTACCTACTGGATCTTAGTATGGAGTTATCATACAGTTGTGGCACTCTCATCCTTTACACTTTCTTTGGACTGCTCTGAGAACCCATAAGGACTCTCTGAATGGTAGAGAGCTGTAACACAAGGCTGAAAAATTCACCAGCTTGTATTTGCCTTTGGGCTCCACCAATATCTAAGCAATAGGAAGGCTCACAGGGAGGGGATGAAGCCAAGTTCAGTATTTAAAGGAAAAGTCAACTTTTCACTAACGGTTACACCTACTTCAAGTATTGTATATTCAGTTTGATTGGCCATGTTTATGAATGGTTCACTTTAACCAATGTCAGGCAAGGTAGGGGTGGAGGAGGCTCTGATCTTAAGAGCCATGAGTGAGATTAGAAGGAAGGCAAAAAGTATGGAAAGGACACTAAAATGCACACTGAGCCAAGGTTCAGGGTAAATAACCTTATTTCCTTTTTGGTCAATGGGCATCCCATGTGGAAGAATTAGAAATAAAATTTGTGCCGCCCCATAGCAATCAGTAATATTCTTTCTCCCTTTTCTAACTTGCCTTAGAAATATTACTCTGAAAAGATGCATTGTAAGATACATATACTTCCATCCATACCATGTGGATTGTAGCAGTAAGCGTCCCATCTTTCACTTTTGTTTAACCGGAAGCCATAATCTATAATGCCTTTCTTTCCAAATCCACAGTTAAAAGTAGGTTTTACTATTGGATATCCAACTCTTGCTTTGTGAAGCCATCCAGCAGCACATACATGGAACCCTGTGGACCATAAAGAATGAGAAAGGTCAATTGCAGAAAGCAGGTGTGAAAGTGAGCAAAGCTTTTTATAAGTAAATGTAGTAAATGGGTAATATTGGTGTTTAAAGAGACCCTGTCACCAAGTAGAAAAATTTAAGTTTAAAGTACTATTAAATTAGTTTAAACACCTACAGCCACCCTTATTTTTGTTTTTGAAACATTGTATGTTGTCGGTTCCCTAACTCTTTCAATTCATAGCCATAACTCCACTTACCTCACCTCCGGTCATGGCTCCCAGCATGGCCTCATCTGACAGGTTGTGAGGCACCCTACAGTAGCTTGATCCTGCAGTGTCATCAGAAGGTTAAAAGGGCCATTGCCTGCTGGGCGTCACTGATGTTCGAAATAAGGTAGAGATTTTTGGGCACATACTGTATAAGAAGAGGTCTTTGGGGGAAATTACTATGTTCCTATTAAAAAAACTGCATTATTATGGAATACATGCAATGAAGACACATTAAAACATCGGGGACGGGAGGGAGGGGCTATGGGGTAGTCTCTTTAATCCAATCACTTTATAACTAATGGCTATGATTTTGTCCAGGAACCATAGAAATATGGACTTAAAATGTATGTATTAATAGCCAAAACTCTTTTTTTTCTGTTTTGGATAGAGTGAGGATGGTTTAGATCCCCTGCCAAGTTTTAAGCGATGGGAAGTTTAAAATTTAACAGGTGTCACCAGAACAAAAGATGAGGGTAAATATTGTAATGGGGACACCTGTGATGGTGACAACTAGAAGGGAAATGCCCCTCAATTTGTAGATATTTCCTCTCACTTCCTGTTGCATTTCTTAATATCATGGCCTACTCTAGCCTTAACTTTTTATTTATGTTTTGAAGAGAGTGAAGAAGCTTCTATTAGGTTGTCTAAAGTGGTGGGAAATCTCTCCATTGAGGATACAGAAAAAACACTCTTTAGTTGAGTGGGGTTAGAACTTCTGAGAATATTTTTGATTTCTAAGTTTTCCCGTCCGAGTGACAACTACTCCCCTTATTCCTTGTCCTGTTTTCACAGGGACAGGAAGTGAGGAAAAAGAGTATGTGTTACCCATAGCAACCCGCCAGTTTACTAGTATGGATAGAAAATGAGAGGAAGCATCTGCTATATTTTATACATGAGGCCCACTATGCTTTTATGTTTTGTTTGTTAAGGGGGAATGGAAAGACAATATAATGACTTTAATTATCCTTAATAGTATGTAATTAGCCTTGATGTTGCGTAATATATCCAGGATCAAACAACATGCCTGATGTTAGTATTCGGTTCATTTAGTTCGCAGACCGTTGCGCAAATAAAATAAAAAATTAGAAGGTCTTTAATTGTGAAATATCGTGAAGTGGAATACCGGCGGCCTTATGATATAAAGAACTAGTTTGTTCTGTTACAAAACATCAGTTAGAGGCTTAAAGAGAACCTGTCACTTAGAAGGTGATGCAGTGATGACAAATATTGAAGTTTTTTTTATGATTAAGATATTTTGAATTTGGCAATTTAAAAAACGATTGCTGATTACTTGGAAATGGTAGTGTAAATGTAAAGGATCACAACAGCAAATAATATTTTATTGTGGTAAATTTATGGGGTTAAAACATGCAGAAATGTATACATGATTTTTTTTTTTTTTTTATAATTTCACATAACTATAATTTTCTCCAAATTTACATGCAAACCAAGCTTTCCAGGAAAAAGTGTCAGTTTCTTGGGTTGGGACACAATGGTCAGCTTTTATTTAAACGGGTTAAATCTTTATTTCAGTGCACTGAGGCTACACACCTTTGCTGCAGCATGCCATAACGCATGGCAATGCACTGAAGTACATTACAAAAAAGGATCACATCTGATTTTAAGCACACTAGGGTGCGTTGGCAGCCCAATAATTTAAACGGACTGATTTAATACAACCCATGTTACCGTGCGACATACCCACACAGATTTAAATGGGTCCTTAAAGAAGGACTCCAGGATTTTTTTAACCCTTGCAGTGGGGCTACCCCATTTACTGCAAGGGTCAAGTGCTTGTTCGTGTCTGGGTGCTAAATTTACAAAATTATACTCACCTGAAGCTCAGAGCCGGCTGTCACAACCCTCCCTCCAGCCTGTCCTCAGTGTCCTCACGTCTATACACTGATTTATGGGACCTTAGACCGCTGCAGAGGAGGGGGAGAGACGTAGGAAGGACCGGTTTAAGAAGAAGCCGGCTCGGAGCTTGGGGTGAGTCTAACTTTTTTTATTTGAACCTTGACACAAACAAGCACTTAACGCTTGCAGTGCAGGGGTAGCCCCCCTGCAAGGGTTAATCAAACATTTCATGGAGTTTTTCTTTAAAAAAAACTGCAAGGGTTAAGTGCTCGTTTTGTCTAGGGGGATCAAATAAAGCAGATATACTCACCTGATTCTCCGTCTCCTGGGTTCCCTCAAGGCTGCTAAGGCTGCTAGACCGGTCCCCCCCAGCCTCTTCTCCCTTACGCTCCAGTGGCCCAATGGCTGCTGATGTCATCATGTCTTATGCAGGTCCATTGACCTGCATTAGATGTGAGAATGCCGAGGGACATTCCAACAGCAGGAGCTATAGGCGAGTGCCAGCCGCCGTGAGACCGAGGATCAGGTGAGCAAAACTGCTTTGTTTGGGCCTCCTAGACAAAACTAGCAATTAACCCTTGTAGTGTGGGGCTAGGGGGTAAGTGTGATTATTCCAGAGTTCTTCTTTAAGAATAACTTCACTTTAAGTGAAGTTGTCCTTTTAGTAACCCCAGCTCCCCAGTGAGTGAAGCCAGCCTGGTAAAATTATTATCTTCCTCCCTGTCCTTGCTATCTTCACTGTGCCTTGCCCGGCGCCACACAGCAATGAAAATGTCTGGACTGGCTTCTCTTACTGCAGCCCACACGCACGCTGGCCCCATTCATTCCTATGGGTGAGCTGTGCTCATAAATGAATAAGGCTTTGTAGAGCATACACAGAAGGAAAAGGAGCAAGCTAGGACATTTTCTTTGTAGAGGCCGGGCCGCACAATACAGCAAGAATGGGGAGGAATGTAAGTATTTTACCAGGTGGGCTACACTTGGGTTGGGGGTTACTTAAAGGACAACTGCGCTCCACTAGATTCAGTTTAACTACCTGGCCTCACATAAAAAGCATTCAGAATCTAAGACAACGGGTGGAATTAATACAAAGTGTCAAGTTTTATCTGAACTGGTGCAGCTTCTATCTTTAATTTTTTTGCACACAGTGTAGAACATAACAATGTAAAAGCTGTGCTCCAGTTGGGACAAAGTTGAGACAAAGTTTATCTTGGACACTTTTTATGAATTCCCCCTAGTGTGTGTGTGAGGTCAGGAAGTTGGCAGGTCAGCATCTGTCAAACCTCAGGTGACATCTGACCCCTTGATCCAAGCTGAAGAGTAACACTTAAAGTAAATAAAGCTAAGCAAATGAGCAAATATCATTATCTCCAAGAAAGCATGTGCACTCCTAATTTAATTATAATAATTTGAATATACAGATTCTGACACATTCTAGCTCCCGGATTCCTTCAAAAACTATTTTGATCCTTCAATTTTTTCTCACACTATTGTGAATTTGACCCCATTAACTATCAGTAAATTGAAGAATTCAAGAATAGTACTTATACTCGCCCAAATGCTCCAATACTTACCTCCAATACCGGAACTTCCGGTCAGAGGGAGATCTCCCTCTGACCAGCAGTGCAGAGGGACCATGGAGCTGGCTTCCTTTCCAATCAGGAAGCCGGGAGGTGGGTTATGATCCACCTCCCGTGGTCCTGATTGGCTAGGAAGCCGGCCTCACTTGTTGCTAAGCAGCCTGGCTTCCTAACTAATCAAGCTGGGCGGCACATAATGACTCGCCTCCCAGCTTCCTGATTGGTCAGGAAGCCAGGCTGCCTAGGAACAAGTTCCTCATTCCCTTTCCTGGTGACAACATCTCACCAGGGCAGTCCTGCCCCTGCCAGAAAAGTATGAAGGGAATGGGTCCACCATCTAAGTAATTCAGCTGTGTGTGCATTCTGATCTCCTCTGCTGCTGATGTCTACGTCACAGCACAGTGGGAAAAAACAACCTGTAGAAAGCTGCTGATATGATTTGAGCTGCTGGCCGCAAATGGTAGGTATTAAATGTGTATTTTTAATATTTCATATTATATAATATTTGCTTTTTGTGGGAGATAGAGGGAAAGAGGGAGAGAGAGGGGAGGGGAGAGAGAGAGAGAAAGAGAGAGGGGGAGAGAGAGACAGAGAGGGGGGGAGAGAGAGGGAGAGAGAGGGGAGGGGAGAGAGAGAGAGAGAAAGAGAGAGGGGGAGAGAGAGACAGAGAGGGGGGGAGAGAGAGGGAGAGAGAGGGGAGGGGAGAGAGAGAGAGAGAAAGAGAGAGGGGGAGAGAGAGACAGAGAGGGGGGGAGAGAGAGGGAGAGAGAGGGGAGGGGAGAGAGAGAGAGAGAAAGAGAGAGGGGGAGAGAGAGAGAGAGAGACATAAGTATTAATAACATCTTTAAAATGTACCTGCACCTATGAAATTTCTTTCTCAGGTGAGGAAAGGTAAGAATCTCTCATGTTTTATTGCTATCTGAGACTTTGTTGGGGAAATGTCCCCTCATTCCCTCTCCTGGGAATACAATCTCACCAGGGCAGGCAGTGGGGAGAAATCGCCAGGACCGACAGAGACATTTAAGAAATACTCTCTTTTTAGTAGATTGGGAAAAGGATAAAACCCACTTTGTGTAGTGAGATTTTCCCTCACTTCTTTTCAGGTGACAACATTGTCATTAAGGCAGGAAGTGAGGTGAAATCCCCTTAACAAGGTCTCAGACACCAAGCAGGAACTTACTCTTCCTCATTCTATCCAAAACTAAAAAAATTAAAGTCTGGAGTTACTTTTTAATACCAGACTGTAGTCTAGACTTCTGCCCCTTTCATAAAGTCAGATGGTGCTGATATGAGCAGAGATGTATTAATATTTTGAGGTGAAGTCATTCTAATTACTGATTTCATGTTCTTCCCCTTTCAAAAGTCATTAAAAAACAACTTGAGGAAAAGTTACACTTTGCAGGAAGATTTTGTTGGCTTGTCTGGTATTTCAGAGGAAATGATTTCATAGAAGTGAGTACATGGAGAATTGTAAGTACCGTATTCCTTCTGTACTTACACAATGCCATTATTTTACCCGTGCCAAAAGTCAACGAATTGCAGATGTTTGGGAAAGCGCTTTCCTCCCGGAGCTTTTCATGGATGATTTGAAACATTTTCTCTTTCGCAGATACATTAAGAAACTGTGATCTGACATTTGTTTGCTTGTTTTTTCTCAGTAAATCATTTGTGATGCAATAATCGGAAATTAGTGCTCAGACATAAAATAACTCTGCTGAGTGATATTTACATTGAAAGCTGACATATATGCAAAGCAGCTGAATACACAGATGAAATACACATATGAAAGCTGTTTTATCTGCCAAAGGAGTTGTATTTTTATTAATCCTGTCCTGAGATTTACACAGCTCTGCCTGTCTGGCAGGGCAGGATACCTGATTGTTCTAAGCTGTAGTTAAATAAAAACTTTTATTTTATTTTTTGGTGGAAATGAAGAAAAATGCCACCATTGAGTGGGTTAAAACATGGAGTTTGGTAATAATGCACAAGATACAGTAAATGTACAGGTTATAGACAAAGGGAGGAGGGGGTGAAGGGGTTAATGTACAGGTCACATACAGAGGGAGGATGGGGATGAAGGGGTTATTGTACAGGTCACATACAGAGGAAGTGGCTAAAGTACAGGTCACATACAGAGGAAGGATGGGGATGATGGGGTTAATGTACAGGTCACATACAGAGGAAGGATGGGGATGATGGGGTTAATGTACAGGTCACATACAGAGGGAGGATGGAGATGTGCAGGATAAGGGAGATGAAGGGATTAATACACACATCGGAGTAGAGATAGAATGTAGCTAACATATATAGGAGAGGAGGGAGGGTGAAAGGGTTAGAACTTTTCTTTTTTTGCTGCTACTGAAGCCTGTTTTTACAGTAGGAAGCAATGGATGGATGACTGAATAGATGATGAATGGATTTACATCCCCTCCCACTGATGTAAGAGGAAGGGGAGGGCTTGACAATGCAAACACTGCCATGTGATTTCTGTGATAACAATCACAGCGATCATAGGACACAGAGATGGTCCGATTGGCTCTATGTCTAAAGCTGCTGTTCTCCACTGTCTAATGAGTGCGGGAGGAGCAGGGGCAGCAACGGCACACACACACCCAGCGTTCATGGGAGGACGTACAGGTACAATGCACCAATGGATCAAATATAGAAAATGAACTGCGCCAATAAGCAAGCTAACAGCTACAAGGCACTGGAATGTACACCCACCGTGAGTGTGTATACGTGAAAAATGAATAACTAAATGTGCCGAGCTAAAACAATGATCAGATATAAAGAGTAAAAAAAAATTAAAAAACAGTGACTCAAACAAATGTCAGTGAAAAAAATCAATGTCAGTGAAAAAAATCACTTTACACCTGATTGATTTTTTTCACTGACATTTGTTTGAGTCACTGTTTTTTTATTTTTTTACTCTTTATATCTGATCATTGTTTTAGCTCGGCACATTTAGTTATGCACCAATGGATCAGCCCTTTAACACAGCAGCTGGTCCGCAAGTGGTTAAGTTACACTTACAGGTCTTGTTCCTCCCTCTGCCTGTGACTGATGAGCTCTGCTAGGACATTAGCATTACTGCTTTGGTTTTTGTGCTGCTTCTCCTTTTCACAGTCTAAGCTCTGCTGTACTGGGGATTGCAAGAGGCTGATATTAAGCCAACATACATTAAGCCAACATACATTTCAACATACATGTTAATTATGTATTGATAATACAGAGCTGCGTTAAAATGTGTGTTTTATATCTTCCAGGAGTTCAGCTTTACACCAGTAACGTATAGCCCCAATGTAATCTAATGCACTATGCCTCTGACAGCCACACATATCTGGGAAGATTCTAAGAAAAAATAAGAAATGTGTTTGATCACAACACTTTGGTACGTTATGGCTGTCAGTGGTGGGCACAGACACAGCATGCTTCTTACTGGTTCCCAATGGTCTAAGAACTGGTGTACATCTACAAATTTGAGTTTTGGATGCAGCAGTTGTTGAAACAGAATTTTAAAGGATGGTGCAGATCAGCATTTTTAGTATGTTTACTTTGGGGTCTATTTATACAAAAAACACAACACATAGTTTACTTGTACAGTGAAAAAAGGTTTTAGCTGGTGTGAGAATGGGGCAAAAATAAATGTTCTTAATGTAATTTCTCTTCTCAATAGGTATATTCATATCATATAGAGTGAATGGGGAAAATACCCCACTGTGGCCACTAGATGGAGATGAGAATCATAGGAAATAAATACACATTGGTAAGGAGATACAAGGTTACAATTCAAGAGACTGCTGGAGGGAATGAGCATATAAATGTAACAATTGATACTATGGGGATAGCTATGGTTACATTTATATGCTCATGCTCTCCATTGTTTTCTTGAAATGTATCTCGTTACTAACATGTAGTTATTTCCTATAATCCTTAGCTCAATCTAGTGTCCATGGTGTGGTATTTTTCACCTTTCACTCTGATCTTTATAAAGTCTTGATAAAGATGGACTGAACTTCATTGAAACGTTGACATTAAAATGTTGAAACTTTTTCTTGTCTCAGCTGCAATACCCGTGAATGTCTCTAGACCCATGAATGCCTCTAGACCAGCAGTTCTCAACCTGGGGTCGCGACCCCGTCAGGGATCAAATGACGATTTGCCAGGGGTCGCCTAGCGGCTCCCAGCCGCCCGGGAGAGAAACACTTTCTCATCACTCTCTAATGCTAGGTGAGAGTCCTCCTCAGCCCTCTCCTAGCGCAGCAGTGTCAGTACTCCCACCACGCCGCCAGATGTCGTTGCAGTAGCCATGTCATCCCCAAATTGTACCGTTGGGGGTCACCGCAACTTGGCAAATGTTACCAAAGGGGTCCCGGCCCTAGAAAGGTTAAGAACCACTGCTCTAGACTATAATAATCACGACCCACGCCCTTTAGGGTTTTTGTATTTTGGCTGTGGGCAATATCTCCACTTTTCCTTTCTTTGTGCTTGGTTCCCTCCTGATATTATTCATCTTGTTTTCTAATTGCATATGCAAAGTACATGGAGGCCGTCCATTACAATCACATTCCAGAATACTATATTGATTTAGTGACAGATTCACTTTAAATACTATTTACATTTGCCTGTACCTATTTTTCTAGCCTCTTCCAGTTGATCGAACGTAGCAAGCTCTCCGCCTTCATATTCACACACAGCTCTGGCCTCTCTGTAGGTAAGTTGGTATTTTCCGTTCCGTGATTCTCGGTGATAAACTCCAGCTGCTTGTTCTGGAGAAAATATAAGAAATAACAGTTATATAGTTTTTCGTTAGCAGTATCCCTTCCAAGACATCCCACCTCCAGCATTGCATATCATACAGAGTACAGTAGTGTATCTGTGCCAGAATCAGACAGCGGATTGGTTCCACTAACAGGGGGATCTTGGACAGAAGCCCAGAAGCAGAACAAAGCTTTTTATGAAAATCCTAATGTTACAGTATGTCTTCCACATTTTGGTTTCAGGCAATAATACCTCCTGCAAAGTCATTTAAAAGTAAACACAATGTTTGTTGGTTCCTGAACTTTCTAATCTCTAACAATATATTTCTTTCAGAGCAGAACCTGGGAATGTCTCCAAGAACCCTGATCTTATGGTGCGATATGATTGATGTAAAATACTTACTTATTTATGTTGGGTTATGTTGGATGGAATTCTTATTTGGTTAGTCTTATAGAGCAGTGATTGCAGAGCATGCTGTTTAGTACTGCGAAGATGTTTTTACATCAGCAGGATTGGAATAATTTTGTCATCACACATATTAGAAATTTCCCTCTCTTTCTTTCGATTTCTCTCTGTCCCCTCTCTCCTATTTAGTCTTACCTTCACCCCCCTCTTTGTCTCCCTCTTCTACTCTATTAGCCATCTGACTATTCTCTTGTTCTTTCTCTCATTTTTCTTGCCCATTCCCTTTCTCTCTCAATCTATAATGCCCCCCAAATATTTCCCTCCCTCTCATCTAATATTATCCATCCCTCTTGCTATCTCTCACACTCTAACTCTCTGGTTTCCTCTCTGTCCCTAGTGCTCTCACACCACCGCCACTTCTTTCTCTCTCTCTCTCTCTCACCCCCTCACAGTCGGCTTCCCTCTCTGCCTCTAGCTCCCTCCTACCACCCCCACTTAGTTTCTCTCTGTCTATCTCTCTCTCTCTCTCTCTCTCTCTCTCTCTCTGTACCCTGTGGAAGCACTTTTCCAGCTTTCATTCATACCATCCTAGCCACAGCTAGGGACAGCCAGAACTTTGGGAGGTCTGAAGTCTTCCATGCACACACACCCTTACCTCTTCTTTACCTTTCCCCTCTTTCTATCAACCCATTGTTTATTTTTTTATGTCTGAATTTATTTTATACAGGTCTGTGCAGTAAGGCTGTGCAAAAAAAGCACAATTATTTAAAGAGATGTGGCTGCAGAAAAATGTAATCTGACTGCTTACTTACTGTATTTTGCACAACATTGGAGGCTCACTTTTGTAGAGAGGCAACATATATTGTGTCTTAGCAAAGTAATGTTTTACATAAGAAAAGGTCCAACATAAAGGACAAACCCTGCCGTTCAGGACCCAGCAGTCTCCCTACAACTTGAGGAAAAGGGACATTTAAAGACATCAAGGTGCCACGTTTTGGACAGAGGAGAACTGGTCCACAAGAGGCATCAAAGATGCCATCTACGCCATACTTGAACAACCATCCCTAAACGGGGGTGGGGACCTACCACACTATCTGTCATCTACATATATCACTGTTATCTACATATAATATAATTAATAATATAATTAACATCTCTTTCCCAGCGATTTAACATGAATTCATACCATCAGCCATGTAACCCAGACCAATAACACTGCTCCCAAACTCCAGGACACCATGCAAGGTGTTTCAATCAGCATCTGCCTTGACTTTCATTGGAACTGCAGTAGCAGTTTGGCTTTTTGAATGTGAATAACTGCTACCTC